CCTCGCAAATAGCCAGGAGCACAACTTGGGCAACACCACTGGGCTGAACAGCGCCAATGGCAACGCCCCTGATGATGTTGATTAAAACCGGGATAAGGGCAAACGCAGCAACCTCGTCTGCGTATGTATTATACAAAGGCCCAAATCGCAGGACGGTAGGTAAGTCATCAAACAGAACCGACTTCGGGCGCGTAATGATGATTAAATAGAGAAGATAGGATGCAAAGCCGATGACTACTGCCAGGGTCAGCGCAGCCAAGCCAACAGCGTAGCCCGGCGACTGGCCGGAGACGACAAATTGGAAGCATGACAATGCCACAATAGGAGTCAGCATATAATTGAAGACAACGCGCACCACGTTGCCAATGACAAACGGGAGGTTTTTGGCCTGCAGATCTTCTTCTGAGGTCTTCCTAATCTTTCGGAGGATCCATTGGATAGCAAAGCCAGCCTGGATGAGCACGATAACGGCAGCAATAATGACGAGGAGCCACACCATCATGCCAGGCCATATATCCTCCGCCTCGGACATACCAATGAGCTGTGCCGTCTTCTGCAGCCCGTATGTTGTGCCTGGTTTTGTCACATATATTCCATCCACCACATTCTGCCATGGCGTGGTATGACCAAAAAAGCTCTCGTTGAACATGAGGGAAGACCATCCAACTTGGCTCACGACAGGCTGAAAGAAGCCAGGGTAAGCAAGAGTAAGCGAACCCGTCAGGACAATAAATTGAATATACTGCAGACAGTCGCCAAATCCAGGAGTTACTAGCCGTAGTAAGTCAGCGTCCCGTCCATAGTTGGATGTCCAGTGGAAAATGTTAGTGGTGCCCCAGGGGCTCCATATTCCAGCAAATGGGACCGCTATGCCGGCAAATATCAATACCAAGAGTGGCATGAATTTGAGCACCCAGGAGATGCTGCCCAGGTCAGGGGTAATGGTGGCGGAAACACAGCCAATATTGGTGGCTGCCTTGTCGCCATTGATGAGGAGAAAAGTAAGGGAGAAGGAGCTGAAAGCGTAAGAAGATAAAAAGTCATGGCTCAGATTGACCGAGGGAAGCACATAGGGAAGAGAGCTGGACAGCAAGATTTACGTTAGCTACTTGACATTGTACAGTAATAATATAGCAATAATACGTTAAAGACCCAGCAATGGTGAGGAATAGTTGTAAACAGCCAGATGGTGGGGAAGAGATGGGATAAAAGGATGCCAATAACTCAGTCAGGTAACAAATGACTTACCTGTTAGTGTAATCAAACACAGGCGCCAAAGGGCACGTCCCGTTAACAAGGCTGTCTGTGCAAAAGTTGGAGCGGTCATTGTAAGGCTCGTACGTCAAGACATTGACTCTTTTGACCAGCGTCGTCGCGAGAGTATCCGAATATGGCGTCTCGTCGATTTTGCCATTCGTCTCATTGGCGTCCTTCCAATACGGATCGCCCGGGGGAGGAAGCGGCCCAACATTCTGCGAGCCCGTCACGTTCCCCCAGGCAATGACCTGCAGGTTGTAGTTTGGCGTCTTGGTGTCGAAGACGGCATCGAGATACAGCGGTACCCATTGCAGCAGAGGTGGCTTGTTTAACACGTACGAGTCGGGGAGGCAGTTATCGAACTCGAGCAGAACGGCGGCGGCAGGCGTTGCGACGGCGGCGAGGAGCAGAATCAGGGTGACGAACGTTGATCTCGCGGTCAATGCGAGGATGCGGTTGGGGTGGCACCATCTCGTTCGCGCTCGGATGACGCATCCCTCTTGGACGCCGTCGCTGCTGCACCCCTCCATCAAAGCGTCAGCCTGGGAAGCATCCAGCTCCAGGGCTGAGTAGGAGTCCATCACGGGATTTGGCGGCGAGGCTGGGCGAGGCTGGCCCTCGGTCGAGGCCATGGAAAATATTCGAGAATCATGCTGGTGGTGGCTGCTGTGATTGCAGTCGCAGCTATGGCGACTGGGTCGACGCATCGTGGGCGGCATCGACAGCCAGGGGGCGGCCAACTCTGCAGGCTTGCATTCAGAGGTCGCGCATCTTTAGCGCATCAACCAAGACTGTGTGAACGAGCGTACAGAAGGCCGTGCTAGCGGGCGCAAAGGGGAAAAAAAACGAGGGACTGTAGGTTAGAAGCGAAGAATTTGTGAAGGGTTCAATGTGCAAAAAAGTGCAAGAGAAAAAAAAAAGTTGGAAGATGTTGGCCGGCGCAGACGATGGCCTGGGAGCTGGTCCAGAAGCTAGGGTGGAGTGGGAAGAGTGGCAGTGTTGGCGCCGTGTTAAGCAGCAGCGGGAGCTTCTTAGGTGAAGTAGCGCCTACAGGAGCTGCTTCGGGGCGGTTGCGGCGCGAGATGCCCTCGCCAGTACGAGCGCTGGTGTTGTTCGGGTAGGGTAGCCATTGCCTGTAAGCAGCGCACTTTGTAAACTCGAGTCGAGCTGAAACCTGTTTCTACTGAAAGTCGCCCTCCTGTTTTTTTTTCCTTATCTTTATGTTTTCATTCTCTTTCGTCTCCTCAGAAATCATTCTACCTGGCTCTGCTTTGCCTCAACGCCGGAACCCTTCCAACAGCCCAAAACGGACAAACAACAGTTTTTGCGCACGTCATCCTCCGCGCTTCGTCCTAGCCAATGCAGCATCCAGGCCCCCCATTAGTAACCCTGATAGCAGCTGGCTGCCATCGCGGATTTCCAGAAGAGGTGCCCGCCGGCCGGAGCAGAGCAGTGGCAGTGCAGCCGCCGCAGCCCACTAAACAGGCCGGCCGTTGGCGCCAAAAGCAGCCCATGGCGCCCTCTTCTCGGTGGCCTGAAACACACAAACAAACTCGTTCCATCGATATTTTGTGCGTCTTGTGCTGTGCGCCTGCGTCACGCGAATGGCCTCATCGAGCACTGAGCAGCCCTATGCCGATTTACACGTACATATACCTACCTAGCTATACATACTATATATTACTTACCAGTCCCCTCCTTTTTCCTCTCTTTTATTCTCACTAGTCTACTTTGTATTCATTTGAGTGCCCGTTCAAAGTACCTTACTGCTGTTAAATAGTAGGTACCTACAGCAGTACCTCTATAACCCCTACCACGCACTTCCTCTGCTTGTACCATCACTGCCCACTCCTCTGCTCCCGCACTTCGTATCTCCTCCATCCTGCGCGCATTCTCTTGCATGCCCGCACTCTCCAAAAATATTTTCATGCACAGAAACATTACATACAAGCTTATTGCCATACTTGTACGGCGGTGCTAATTCTAGAAGCTTACGTTATTACCAGCTCAGCACTTTGGACTGCGTTAGCACCGACCGATACTAGTCGTAGGTACTATTGCTACTAGGAGTAGTATGTGACTCCCTCTTTATCACAATGCCCTCCTCTCGTCCTCTCACCACCCAAGGGGCCATCCCGTTCTCAGATCTGCTTAGTGGCCGATAATGCGAAATACGAGCTTCAATGCAGTGTGTGATTTGTTAGACAACGCGGAAAAAAACATATCCAACAGCTGTTGACAAGATCAAGACCATGGGGGGGGCTTGTGGTGGATCTTCAACATTGCCGTACTTCGCATGCGCGTGAGCTCCATATCAGGATGACAAACAAGAAAAGAAAAGAAAAGAAAAGAAAAGAAAAGGAAAAAGCAGAAACAAGCAAAATGCTCTTTTCGGTCTCGCATCACTCCCGTAAACAGTCATAGAACCCTTCCGGTCCAAACAGAAAGAAAAAGAGGCTTCTATCGTGGCGTCGATCCTCACGCCCATCATCAGCAGATACGAAGTGCCCTTACCCAGCTTTGGGTCCATCTACCAGGGGTGGCCTAGTCGACATCCATCCTAGCCCGGGTCTCCTGTGCCTATTTTTAATCCCATTCCAGGCCGCAGGGCCGGGGTCCCTGTCGTGGCCCCCCTTTGGCGCTGGCGATTGGACATTGCAGCGTAGTATTCTGCATCAAGAAGCCACCGATGTGGCTTTTATACGCACCTGGTTACTCGTATGAGGTGCCTTTACATCACCTGTAATGCCAACTTTGGTGGCGCTACTCCGTACCTATCAAATACAGGTGTCAATTCAAGGTACTAGTCCCCTCTGTCACATAGCATATACACGACATTGGGCTTTCATCCCACAACATAGTCACGATGGATGCCTTTTCTCCCTGATAGCACCACGTCACAAGCGTCCATCCACCCACCCACCACTTACGCAGCCGCGTATACGAGACATGCATCAGAAAAGCCTCGCCTACTAGTATACCTAGTACGTTAGTGCCTAGGTCATTGGCCTCGCGAGAGATCTCCATCAAGATTTGAACCCCCAATGCTCGTACCTGGATTAATACGAAGTTTTCAAGGCGAAGAATCCCACTCACAGCTCATCTCGATCGCAAATTATACCCCAATCAAGCCAGCTCTCTCTGCAAATAACTAAATGTGTTTCAAAGAAGAAGAAGAAAACAGTCTTTCAGCTGTAAATAGCTCTTCGCGAGCATGGATTAAGCTGCTTGATTATATTGCTGCAGGCCACGATTACGGGTCAACGGCACCCCTGGCCCTGCTTCTTAAAAACGCAGGAGATTTCGGAAGCCCAAACTCCAGCCCCGGCTATGTACCTACCACTTGCATTCCCGGTCCGGTATCACCGCCTTCCGTATCCACTTTTTACCGCCAGATGCCAAATCTTCCATGACGCTTGCCTGCTACCTTGCGTGTAACGCTCTGTGATCCGCTCTGTTCAAACGTCGTCCGGATCTCTCGGCCGGAGCTTCGCTCCGTCCCGTCTTCACCTTCAAAGCCGTGGATATAAGGCGAGCTCGGCAGATGAGTAGTAGCTACTATCGAGCAGGAAGCCTTTGTTGCATGGTGAGTACGTCTAGTCGTGTGCTCTCTTTTTTTCCCTCCCTCTCTGGAAGTCCATATAGCATGGTGAAAGGACATCACGATAACCCTTCGCCACAGTAACCTCAGAACTTTCTCTACTAGCGTAGCTCCACTCTCCAACACATTTCCCAGCAAATAGTTATTGGTCAGTAAATGCAGGATTCTTACCTTTGGCGGCCGAGCGTAGCTTGTATTCTACTTCAATCGCCTGATTCTGTGTCTGCTTCCACGAGTCAACTGCATCCTGGAGACGGGATTCTACCTTGCCAGCTTCCTCCATACTTTTGAAAGTTATTGCGTTACCCCAGTCCCCTGGCACAATATCGTAGCCTTGCAGACGAGTCTGTCTTGCCAATGTCTTGACCCTTCTCAGTGAAAGCCTACGAGAGGTTGATGAACTCTGCATCGCCAAGTGAATTGGTGTCACTTCGAGGGGAAGTCGACGGGATGACAGTCGCCTCGCAATACCATGCCTGGCTTGTGAACGCCGCCTCTTGATAAGATAAAGTCTCGGATCCTCCAGCTTGCCATGTGTATTTCTGAAAGGCGCTCTATTCTGGGAATCTCCGCAAACGGAAGCTTCGATTGATGGGCGAATATCACGCTGGGGGGTTGCTGAGAGGTTATCACGCGCGTTTAACACTTCTTGGGCTCTCCTTGACGATGGTATATCGCCAGAATACTGACTATCCAGCAACGAAGTCTGGATAATATGAGAGTGGTGGCCTGGTTCATGTGAGAAGAAATTCTTATGTGAAACAGGTCGCCGGGTAGTATCTAGCTGTGATGCTAATTCAAAAGCATTAGTCGTTCTGTCTTGCTGACGATTTAACCCTTGAACTCCTTGGAAGTATAGCTGAGCGCGGGTCTCTCTCGGGTTATCTCTCGGTATGTCTACTTCTTGTTCAATCGTCTCATTGTGTGTTAATCGTCGCCGGTTACGGTTTTCCCCTGGCAATATAAAGGGTATTGTTCTGCCACTTTGCGGAGCTCTCGGCCATGGTCGTACTGCCACATTTCCTGTAGGGCTGTCTCTCGCTGTTGTTCTCTGCTGGGGTCTAAACGAAGAATTAGAGAGTCTCACGTTTCGTAAAGGGCCAGACGAAGGAGGGGTTAGCCATTCCGCAACACTTCTGAGCTGACGCGGAGAACGAAGTGCCAAGGGTTCATGGTCCGGCGAAGACGGAGTAGGAACAGGTGAAATTTGCTGGGCTCTCTCTTCTCTGGCATTGGCGTTAATTGTCCTCTCTGTATTATCATCCAATGTCAACATCTCAGGCTCTGCACTAGACACATCTGATTCTGAATCTGGTTGACCATTCATCGCATTTAACATGGATTCAGTCAAAGGCTGCAGAGGCTTGCGGTTGAATATACCTGGGGGCGATTCGGGGGGGCCTGTCTGCAAGTCGCTTTTCCTGGTTGCTGTCTCATCAGTTGCTATCTTGAATCCCTCATTCTTTCTCGAGAGTAGATATCGTTCAATGTTTTCCGATGCAGAAATTCTGGGGACTTGTGGTCTCCGGCCAGGTGAGATTTGAGATGCAGCCATGAGTGAAACAGGCACTTGTATATCAACGCTGTTAATAGTACAGTCTTCATCAGTAGAATTGCTGTTGATACGAGACATATTGACTATTTTTGATGTCCTCATCTTGGTTAGTGATACTCCATTCTGTGAGTCTGGCTCTCGGGGTAAAGGTAGTAATGCAGTGACTTGATCAGTCAGATGGTCGCCTTGCGATATACCGCTAAATATGTTCAAATCTTTAGTGTGCATATTCCCACTGTTCTCTATGTGTGATTTTGAGTCCCCTGCCTCCTCTTCAGACCTCGAAGACTTTGAGGATAAAAAGGGTTCGGCCATGAATCGCTCGGAGTATATTCTCTGACACAACCCCTCAAAACTTGCAGTAATCTTGTTTTCATCTCCAAATACAACTTCGTCTTTCAGTGGCGTCACGTTGGCATCATAACTATGGGCTGGACAGCGAATATTGAGTCGTAGAAAGGGGTTGGATACGCTGGTACAAGATTCGTTGCTACCTGTGACTCTGTTTAAATGGTTTTTGAAAATGGCTGTAATCTTTTTTGCTATATCACAGGTAGATGAGAGTGGTCTCGAGTCGACAGATAAATAGAGGCCTTTGCCCTTGACAGCAGGGAGGTCAAACCCGGTTTTTGGCATGAAAGCTTCTAATATGAAGTCTTCAGTTGCCTCTTGGCTGGCTTGGGTAAATGCGGCTTGATCGCATGCAGAATTACGAGACACATGTATGCAGCTGTTAGCGAGAGCTTTTCCGAATATCTGTAGAGTGGCCTCGTTGATCTCTGCCGCACATGCTGGAGCATATGACCAGCCGCCGACGGCCTCGCCCAGTATTTTGAATGACAATCTGAGATCAGGTCGAGCTAGCACATAAGCTTTAAAAAGATCTTTGGTGGATTTGATGTATTTGGCGCTGTTTCTCAAAGAATATTGTTTCCTTGCCGGCAGGGTATCAAAGAGCTTGGTAACTTGAACGGTTGTTCCAACAGGGGCCGATGTAGGGCACCGATTCTCACTTCCCCCAACAGCGCGCTTGAGTTGTAAACGAGTCGCTACCACATCACTTGTTGTCCGAGTCGTGATAGAGATGGTAGCGAAAGTGTTCATCGCTGCAAGTGCTTCACCGCGAAAGCCGAGTGACTCTCTAGCTCTTGACCCAATCTCATTAAACGCTTTCAGCTTGCTGGTATGAGCTCGCCGACCTAGGGCATCAAAGTCGTCGACGTCGATTCCATGGCCATCATCTCGGACTCGAATCGTATCGAGATAGTTAGAAGAGACTGCAACTTCAATAAAGCTGGCTCCAGCGTCTATGGCATTGTCAATAAGCTCCTTGACCACGTCACAGGGAGTCGTGATGATAACTGAAGAACCTAGACTTCGGATAGTGGATTGAGGAAGAGCTGATATGGGCATATTGGTAGAGGTTAAGATAACTGCAATATAATGGAAATATACAAATGCGCTTGTAACACCTTGGAAATTTCCCAATATTGCGGCAAAGGCGAGGACTATCGAATCGGAATAAAGCATTGAAGATGATTAAAATACTGTGTCTACCGTCAATTCTACATCTATCTACTAATTTGCCTGGGCGGTGACTCTAGATCAATCTCTCCTTCCCAAGTTGATTCAGTGAAATATTGGGCAAGGGAAGCTGCAGTCCAGCATCATGTCAGTCAGGTACCTCTCTACATTGGCACAGCTGAAGCTGAACTAGCTAAAAGGACCTCCCCCCAAAGAACCCTCACAACGACAGAAGAGGTACTGCAAGCCTCGTGTAGCCACACCGTAATCGCGCAGCATGCGAATGACCTGCTCCCAAAGTCACCTGCCCCCCAGCTCCTGCACAGCAAAATGACGTTTCCGCCCAAATAGCTCAAAGTACTTCGTACCACCGCACCTACCCCGCCGTGCCTCGCCATTCCGCTTCCGCCAGTGCCCCGCCGAAATCATCAGTCAGCGTCAGCTAACCGAGCTCTAAGCTTGTCGTCCGCCGTGGGAGGGATCGCATTGTAGTAGTTCTTGGTCTAATTCTTACTGTTGACTCTTGCCTGAACAGCTCCATATTCCTTCTTTTTCTTTCTTTTCTTGGATTCTTCAACACTCACGCTTACAGCACTCACTCAGCACCTTATTTTTTTCTATCCTTACCAACCAGCCACCATGTCTTCTATCAAGGGCCCCGCTCCTCAACACCACGACGGCTCCAGCCTGCGCATCGGCATTGTCCATGCGCGCTGGAACATCGCCATCATCGAGCCCCTCGTTGCTGGCGCAAAGGCCAAGCTCCTGGAAGCTGGTGTCAAGGAGTCCAACATTGTCGTCCAGTCTTGCCCAGGTGCATGGGAGCTTCCCATTGCTGTCCAGCGGTATTGCCTCCTTGCCTCTCGTTCTGCCCCCCCTCCGCTGCGACTATTCCTCAAAAGCTTCTTGTGTCGCCTTGAAACCCGAGATTACTAACGTATTTCCTCGTTTAAAGGCTATACTCCGCTTCCCAGATCCAATCCAATGCTTCCGGCGCTCCCTCAGCTACCGACCTCCTCGGCGCTTCAACCCACGACCTAACCGCCCTCTCCGCGGGCGATTCCAGCGGACCCTTTGACGCAATCATTGCCATAGGCGTGCTCATCAAGGGCGAGACTATGCACTTTGAGTACATCGCCGACTCTGCCTCTCAGGGCCTCATGCGCGTCCAGCTCGACATCGGCATCCCAGTTATTTTTGGCGTCTTGACCGTGCTCAATGATGAGCAAGCAAAGTCCCGCGCGGGTATTAGCACAAGCGCGGAAGGCAAGGGCCACAACCACGGAGAAGACTGGGGCTTAGCGGCTGTCGAGATGGGTGTCAAGAAGAATGAGCTGGCTGCAGGCAAAATCCTGGGCTAAGGTCAAAAGCTATCTACGGTAGCCCCAATAGAAAGGGTTCAAACAAAGAAGAAGAAAAGAAAGAAAAAAAAATACGAGGGAAGAATATTGCGAAACTCATTACCAAGAAATAGGCACGCTTGCAGAGCAAATTATAGAGGGTCAGATATCGACTCCATGAGTTCAGCTATTATGAACAGCTAATGAGTAGGACAATATCCATTAGCAGTTAACTATAAAATTTAACAATAAAAAAAATCAATAAAGACGCGCTTTGGATACATCTGTCTTGATTCCATATCAATACTATGCTTTTTTCTTTTCTCTCTTCATTCCCCAGCGCTTGTAGTCATGACCATCCCTCTGCCAGACAAAGGAAATAGGAGAACAACTCGTTGCAGACAAATTATTCAATTACGGCGTAGAGCCATTTCTATCATGCATACGCGAACCCGTCCAGATAAATGTTCCCACCAAATTTGACGCCCAAGCGGACGTCTAAAAAAAACATCTAGCTTGCCAATTAATATTTTTTCTTTTTATCGAGTCGCACCGCATAATATGACGGACCATGGTATCCAAGCATAGCATTAGAGGAGGTCTCAGTTAAATATCCCAAAATTATCAACCTTGTGCTCGCCCGTATCCAAAAACAAGACAGAACACACTCGCATACTCACAGATCCACGCTTTGTTCCAGAGACAGATGCACGCCCATGTTATCCATACACATCTGTTTTTTTCGCCCACAAGATGAGACAAAGGAGAGGGAGAAAACAGACACGGAAAGGATCGATACGACATCTACACTCAGATGACTGAGCTCAAATTCTTCTTGCTTCTCCACAGAGACCTCTTCTTATCTCTCTTATTCTTCATCGCCTCCCAGCCCTCTTCATCGTCATCGTCATCGGAGGCTGACTTGTTCACAATCCTCATCGAGGTCTTGTTCTTGTTATCAAAAGCGGACAGAGCCCCTGAAAACGATTGAGACTGCATATGGCCAAGTCCAGCCGGGTTCACAGCCTGGGAGACAGGTCTATAACGATTGGGAAGGCCAATGTTGCTTCGCTCTGACGGCGCTATCGAAGGAGTATACCCATGGACAGACGACCGGATAGACCCGGCATATCCGGGGTGAGGCATAGGTGTAGCCATAGGTGCCGAGTTAGGCTGCACCATGCTCATAGTTCGCATGCTACCGTAATCACCACGACGAGGCTCAAGGGTCTGCTCGCCAATCATGGAGTTACGAGAGGAAATGTCCACCATGGAATGATTGCCCATTAGGCCACCGTAGGGCTGTTGATATGGGGACTGCATCTGTTGTGGCTGCTGCTGCGGTCCGCCGCCGTTTTGGTTTGAGGCCATCATTTGCATGAACTGCATCTGCATCTGCATAAACTGCGACATTTGCTGCGTCATCTGAAGCTGAGCCTGGTCGCCAACAGTAAGCATCGGTGGCGGCGTCATCATATGAGGCATCATGCCAGGCATTCCACCTCCCATTTGTTGCTGGGGATACATCATATGCGCAGGGATCCCAGCAATAGGGTCAATTGCAGTGCCTCCAGGTGTATTGTAGCCACTGCCCATCAGCCTTGAGGGGTCGACGCTTGGGCTTCCGCGCCGCATCGCTCTCTGGCGTTCCTCACTAGCAATGACACCAACAAGGCCTCCAGGAGGAAGTGGCGACGGGGGCTTGGGGCCCATACCCATCTCATTGAACGACAGAGATTCCCTGAGAGCAGGCTGGGCAATGCTAGCTCCGACAAAGGGATCTTGAGGCAAATTGCGTGCAAATGCTGGAAGGGTAGAGTGGCGTCGGGCAGCAGCAGATTCTCCCATTGACGAGGATGGACGTCCTGGCATGAGCAAAGCTGAGGCTCGAATGTTGGGGGTTGATCCCACGGTGCTGAGCCTAGTTGGAGGTCGATTCTTGTTGGGGAATCCATGTGCCTGCAAGATGGCAAGAGGAATCTCCTCATCATCGTCGGCCTCATCAGACGCTCCGGACACACCGGTCATGGCAGATGCTGCCGCCGGGTCAAGGGAAGGATGCTTCATATGGCTGAGTTGTGGTGCGCTCATTGAAGCTGGAATACCAAGTCCGTTTGTCGGATTCGCTTCACCCGTCACCTTCATCATCTGCTGGCGATAAACAGCCATGTGAGCTTCCTGCTTCCTTCTCTGCTTCGCCTGTTGCTTAGACTTTTCAGCCTCGTCTTCGTCGTCGTCATAGTTGATGTCGTCTTCATCATCATCCTTTGAATTGCTATTTGTCCTATCATGACGAATCTTATCTTCTCGATACTTTTCGAATTCCGCAGGGGTCATGACTTTGTTCCGAGGCGCACCATCCGGTGGAGGGATGTACCGATTGTTAGGCTTAGAGGGCCGGGCTCTATTGCCATCAAACAGTTCATCTCCGTCTCCTCCGTTGTTGGAGTTGGACGCAGTCTTGGCTCGTGGAACTACCGTAAAGCTATCCTCCTCTCGCCGGTATCGCCCGGGTTGTGGGTTTTCGTCAAATTCGTCATCTTCAGCCGAAAGAAGCTGAATGGCAGTGTAAGTTTCCTGTAGGAGCTTTGCATCCTCGTCATCTTGTGCTTCCTCGGGCTGCACAGGCTCTTGAATAGGTGACTGCCTCTGCGGTGGTGCCGGAGGGTGGTGCATTGGCGTCTGGCGAGCTGGAGCTGGGGGTTGCTCAGCTGGTGATACTTTCCTGACTGGCGCTTGTCGAGCTGGAGAGCGGTACCGGGGAGCTGAATGATTCGGAACTGGTGGGGGGCCTTCATCATCCGATGGATAGTCATCGCCGATGTCATCGTTTTTGGGTGTGTTCCATGCGCCGAGCAGCGGTTGAGCCGGCGTTGCGGTGTCCGGGCTATGTGGCATCTGGTGGTGCATTTGCGGGTTGCCAGTGAGAAACCGGGGAGAAGCCAAGTCGTCGTTCTTTAGGGTGGCCATGCTGGCCCTCTTATCGAAACCTGATCCTGAAAACATTGATCCAAAGTCACCACCCATGTCCATAACACTGATATCGCGGGGAGCTGGCTTGCGGGAAATGGTTGGGGCCTGCGTGTATGTAGTCGTACCTCTAGATCCAGTGCGTCCTGGTTCAGCCATGATGGGCATGGGCGGCGGCAAATCCGGCATGGGGGGGTCCTCCAGCGGCGGGGGAATGCTGTACTTCTTCTGTCCACCGAACGAAAAGGTCCGGCCAGCTCGGTCTAAGAATTTGGATCCGATGGATTTGTTCGATATTCCGCGACCGTGTATATCGGATGATGAACTCTTGGGTGGGCCATTTCGATTGTCGTCGTGGAACAAGTTGCCTCCGCTAAAGTCCGCCGAGGAGGGTGCTGTCGAGGCATTACTGTGGCGCGAAGACGTATCAGTGGACGTGGTGTGCGTGGTATTGGACAAGCCGCTTCCACTTTGCGACAGAGTCAGCATAAGATAGGCCAAAGCATCGTAAAGTCGCATGGTTGAGTGTCTCGGGTGTCGATATATATTCCCCCTTTTCTTCTCCCCGGGAGAAAGAAGAACAAGAGAAAAAAACTTCGGGCATGGAAGAAAGGGTCAGAACTCACCGGTTGGCCTTCATATCAGAAAACATGTTGTCGTCTGCCTGAAAATCAGGCTTTGAAAGCATGGCTCCATTTGCTTTTGCCATCTTTACGCCTCCGTCAAACGACTTGACGCCAGAGTAGTCGTGTCGTTCCAAGACCCTGAATGTACCTTGTCCTGGGGGGGTCACCTCAGCATTTTCGATATCGTCTGCGGTGCTTTTCCGCCTGGCAAAGGCAACCGAGAATCTAGGCATGAAGACCACGGGATCGGAAGCCTTGGGTCGAGAATTTGACTATACCTCCCTATTCGCAGCTCGACGGCGACCTTTTTTTTTCCGACGCTACCCAGCAATTTTCCGTCCGCCGAGAGGTGGGAACCGGTCAGCAGGCTTGGGACCCTAGCGATACGAGGTCCGGTGATGGACAAAGGCGACGAGTGAGTCGGAGCGGCTGTCACCAGTGATGGCGTCAAGCTCGTTGGGCGACACAAGCTCCAATGGGTGGCTGCATAAAGGAAAAATCAACATTAGCAAATGGTCAGCTGATGCATCTCTGTGTTGGCTGTTTGTATTGTATATTTCCTCCACCGGCCAATGTCAAAATAGATGAGAATATACCACGGACGTAACAGAGATTGATTGAACCGGTTGATTACAAAGGGAAAACCAAATATGCTCCTTGTTGGTAAGTTGGCGGTGGGAAGGTATTTCTGGCTGAGACACGACCAGGTGGTTGGCCGGGAGCGTCCGGCATGCGCGAAGCTAGGCAAAGAAAGGCGTAGGACTCACATTAATCTCGGAAGCACAACGCGCGCAAGAGCACAGGCTCTTAGCTGGTAATTCCAAAAGGGCCCGATGAAGAGGGGAAGAGGATGCAAAAGGCGATGAGCAAAAGAGGGTAGAGAATTAAATAGATAGATAGGCAAGATGCAAGAAAATTGAAGTTATAGTACTAGTGAAGGGGGGCCAAGAATACAGTTAAAAATAATGCAAAGTAGCGATAAATGATGCCAAAAGAAGCGCAAACAAAAGCCAAGGGACGGCGCGAAGAGCGAAAGGTATGTCGATGAAAAAAAGCCCAAAGAGAAGGGGAAAAAATAAAACGTCGAACGAGTGAGCAGCCGAGGCAGCTATCAAAGAGAGGGGGAAATGAGCCAAACGGATGTACTCTTGAGCTATACGAGGCAGGACAATAAAACGCAACTTGTCGCTGAGAAAGACACACCCGGAGCCTCGATTCGGACGTCGATGGGCGATGAAAAGAGAGCGGCAGGAACAAGACAGCGTACGGAGTACGGCAAGAAGGGGTTGAGAGAAGAAAAAAGGGATGCAAACTTCAGGAGAGCGACGGGAGGAGGCCAGGCGTTAAGATGCGTGCCGGCTATTGACTGGCTAGCTCGTCCATCCATCCCATCCCATCAACCATCCATCAGATTGGTCCCCTGTCGGCCGGTCTGCGTTCTGCTAGGCCGATCTCGTAAGCCATGGGTGGCAGGCCAGAGGCCGGAGTTCAGTGCTCAGGTCGCCCGCCCCTATCCCTGCCTGGCGCTGCCGTCCCATTCTGGCTTCCCTGTCCGCACACGGAGGATCCAGGCGCCTCTTCTCGCTAGCCATTGCGGTGGAGGGCAGGGAAGACTGGATGCGAATCAGGTGGTGTGGTTGGCTTTCCGGCTGCGACAGGCGTGGTGGAAATTGCCCGGGATTCAGACCATGGTGGAACGGATTCTGGGGATCGAGCAAGCACGCACGCACGATGACAGCAAGCAGCGCCGGCACAGCCAGGACAGCATCCATCGCGACGCTTCAGCACCAAGAACGCATGTGCCGCGCTGTAGCTGCTGCCGTCTCTTCAGATACGAGTGCCTGGAGCATCAGCCCGGGCGGCAACCGTGTGGAGGCTGGGGCTTAGTCCAGTTAGCGGGCGGTTATCACGGGTGGAGACGTCTGGTGGACTGGCTTTCAGTTGATGCACCGTGAGGTACGAGTGCCCATACATAGTACATACGAGCGGTATCCATGCCACTGGTATCCATCGCCAGCGGTGGTTTATTTTGGTGCGGCAAGCTGTAAGCCTACCTTGCCAAGAGCAGTCGGCTCATGGCTTGGTGCTACGTCGAGCTCCGTGAAGAGAATCCCCTCTGAAGACTCGCCCGCATCAACACAGCCTTTGCTCCCGCCAGCTACGCGTTCATGATCTTGTGGGTTACGACCTGATCAGCGATGTGCGTGCATAGTTAGTTTGGTGCGCATGCACATGCATCGCAGGCATGTACCGTCGTACGGGGTGGTATTTAACTGGAGCCTTCGTACGTGCATGCATAGGCGCAAGAGATTTGACTTTCGGTGATGGCGCTGGTGCACCCTCCCGAAAAGCTTTCAAGGCCTGATTGCAGTCAGCGAGCATGGCGCACTCGATATACACAAGCATGCATGCTAATACGGAGTATTCCGGAGAGCTTCTGCTCGTACAGATCCAGCAATTCAGCTTAGGCGGCGGGCAAAAACTGCGCTGTTGGTGCCCTGTCCGAGCTGGAATGCTAGCACCGCGGTATGGAAGGACAGACACAATCCGGAGAGCCCCCGTCCATGTCATTTGGTCTTTTTTCGTCGCCTCTTTTTTAAAATTTTCTCCCCAAGAGGGGACATCGTGTTCTCGGCCTCTGCCCAGGATGGCCATGGAAGCGAATAACTGGGGCTACAAAGCCGCCCAGCCAACGGGGAGGAAACGTGCGGCTGCTGCCCAAGCCGACCTGTCGATGAGCTTTGCTCTATGCGTGGTATGGCGTGTTAAAGTCTCAGCTCTCTTGCAAACGCGCAGCTCCAGGGGTAAATGGTCGCCACTGGCTAGCGCGGCTCTTGGCTGAGGTGAAAGCAAAATCCTCGGGTTTTTAGATGGAGCAGCGTCCAGTTCTTCAGCTGTGCAGGTATCGAGCACAACAGGTCCCAGGACGCCTAATCAACGTGCCCGCCACTTCCGACTTGGCGCGACGGAACACTACAGTCTCGGCATAGTCGAATATTTTTCTCTCCTTTGTCTCATTGCCTCCCTCCCGAGTGCTACGCCAGGCACTCGCACAAGTGGTAGCTCTCACTGTAACTCTCCACTGTAGTAATCGCCTTGGATTTCTTCCTCTGTGCGCGACGGGCGTTGCCAGAAACCTTCGTCCACGGCAATCAGACGTGTGGTGCAATACAGCGTACAAGGCTCTCATCTTGAGCAGAATTCCTATACCAAGCATCGGCTGGCTGCGTTGACCCCGGGTTGATGGCATGCTTCCCACTCATCCGGCAGGCGTAGCAAAGGAATCCATGGCCCTCTGTGTCATGGCTGTAGGGCCTGGCAATCGGCACTGTTGATCTTCAGGGTGAGCAGAGATCACCAGCCTTCTGGAGAGCGATCGGCGCCAACAAGCTTTTCTCGTGCAATTGAGTGCGTGCAAGAGAAGGCATTGTGGAATGCGGACGGGTCCCACCTCCACAGTCGCCTTCGAAGAACAGCCATGAGCTGATTGCGGGCGATGACATGTGCTGTCCAGGCCAGTCGCTGGATGGGAGGCCCACTGGAGACGCCGGCGATGCAATTTTTTCTTCCAATACTTGCACAATGGCTCCATCTGAAGTCCACCCTGCAGCCGTCATAACGCAGCCCTGGGAGCACCAGCAGTCGACCGACTCCCCGTCGACGCCGGGCGGCTTTGTCCAGTCCATGCTGAATGGCAGCAGACAAGCAAGCACATGCTAGTGCGCACTTCGCCTTGGACAGCACGCTCCTGGATGAGGCATGGTCAACCGTGGATTTCAGTGGGCCTCTCGATCCTTGATGGATGAATGCATGCGGGGGGGAGAAGCAAGGCGTCCTAAACTTTTCTCATGGGCTGTATCAGGCAGGTACATCGCAGCACAGCGTAGGAACGATACCTCCGATCGGTACTCGGACTCTTTCCAGGAACAGGCTACCCGGGATCTAGGAACAAGAACTCTACGGCATAAGATTTTCGAAAAAGCATAAATTTATATAGCATCATGCCTTTAAAGATGGTTATCTAGCAGTTTTCTGTACTGCTTTGCCTTTATATGAAGCTAAGCAGGCACCTACCCAAGCCGGCAAAGGGTAATAAACGTGAAAGAACTCCATGGCCAATTTTTATGTCATCATGGGCGGTAGGTGATGATTGCCTTGCTCCTTCCTGCCTTGTAAAATGCGCTGGTGCTTGGAAATTCTAAATGGTAAGCTGTGCCTAGGGAGAAATGAAATAATAAAAATAAAAACAATAAAAAAAAACTTTCCAGACAAGACACGAAACCAATTCCCATGCGTCGATGGATCATCATTTCCTCCCATTCCACCGCCACCAAATTTTTACAGGCAAAAGCAACCCCAGCCCGGAGAGCCAGTTGTTTTGCTATTCGCCAAAAACTCTACGACGAGATTACAATTCGTCTCTCCAGCTGCCAAAGCATCTCTTGTCCCTACACTGTACAGCGCGCCAATCAAGCAGTGCGACTCAATGTTTCGCCCAAGTATCCTCTGTGGACCTCCTTCGAGTTCTGACTTTTTGTCGCAGCTTGTCTGATACCTGATACGCTGCTCTGCGACATTTATGCATTCTTGGCGGACCACGCCTGGATTTTGCCTCTCTATTGACCAAGCCATCCAAAGTCAGTCGCGACTATACGAGCGCATTGCCAGTGCCGCCCACAAGGCCTCGTATCAGCCGGATCGGGCCCGAATCCTACTCGCCGGATCGGTGGAAGCGGGCACTTGGAATCTCAAAGACCAAGCATGGGTGTTTATGCCTGCGCTAAGCTGACTTCCGGCCGGCACGCCTCTCTCTCTAGGGCTGCTGCGGTGCCTCTGGCTGATGCGAATTCCCCGACGCGCCGCCTTTCCAGCACGAGCCTCTGAGCAGTTCTAGACCAGCCATATCGATCAAAGTTTGCCCACTGCTCGTGGATATGCACCCTTGCCCTGAGCTACTAGCAGTCGATTCATGCCCGTCAACCTGACGCATGGGCCAATGGCGTTGGGCCATCAGTTCCAAAAACGGGAGGCTTACTTTGGCGGCCTCAAGTGCATAGCCTAACGGCTGACTAGTACCTCGTATGAATGGATAATCCAAGGCGCTGGGCTGGCGGCCTATCGCGCAGGAGAAAGGCAAGGCGCTATTATCCTTTGCCTTGTCCTCGCGCTACCTCGCAGGATTTTCGCGCCTGCCTACGTCATCAGAAGCATTGTGCGACTCCAGCGTCAGCTTCTCGGTATCAATCGTTTCTTCGTTTCTGTGCTCAATTGGCTTCGGAGACCTCATGGTAGCGCTGGTCTTCGCACAAGGCCCAGAAAATGAGCTCACCAAACCGGCATTGGCTTAGCCACGAGGATGGTTTCCACTCTTCTCCTCTGCATACCCGGACAAGCACCCTGACAACATTGATCCGGACCCGTTCTCAGCAGAGCCTATCGAGCCCACGGCAGTCACCTCCGGTGCCGCGCCATCTCGTGGAAGATGAAGAGACGGGACCTATACGAAACTCGAGGTTGTGCAACGAAGATGAAGCTACCATTGAGAGACTCTTGCGGGACGAGCGACGGCTGTCGCAGATCCTGCACGGTCCGCAGGCGCGAAGCTTGAGGCTCATCGGGAGGAGTAACCCGCGGTATCGCTGGGAACGGTACTGGAAGACGCAAGAACAACTCAATGCGATGAAGAAACCAATGTAAGGACAACCCTTTTAGACATTTGCAGATAGTTCTCCCACCTGGCGCGAGCGAAATGCATACTCGGAGAGCTGACTTCTTGTTCGCCTTGAAGACGCGAGTTCTACCAGAGAACAAACTCGCTTATTCAACAGTACATGTATATCGACTGTCTTCTTGATTCTTCCATCCCCCATGAGCTCTTGAACGAATATGCAGATGAGCTCGAGGCTTCGGCCTTTAGATCCGTTGATGTCCCGGATACTATTGCTGAAGAAACTCCCCAAGCCTCATACAAGACCCAGTCACATCTAGATCAGGCTGATGGAACATATGGCTCCATCAATAACACTTCCAGTATGAACAATAGCAGCTCATTATCAACTCTCAAGGGGTCACTTCCCCAGAGGCGAACTCCGAAAGACATTTTCCGCTCTTCTGAGAACTTGCCTCTGTTACAGCACCAGGATGACGAGGGCGTCGATAGCGAGCCGCCCTCACGACCGCACTCCCCTCAGCCAGCTACACCCAAAGAAGCTGGCCCTCGGCCAAATCTTCCGTGGTTGGAGGATGCTGACTTGGATCACGACGACCCCATTGTGACTTTGGCTATTTGGATCAACCTCATTGCAAATATCATTCTTCTGGCAGGTAAAATTGCCGTCATCATTTCTGTTCCTTCCATGTCTGTCCTCGCAGCTTTGGTCGACGCTGTCCTTGATTTGCTGAGTACCGCTATCGTCTGGACGACAACACGGCTGATCTCGGGAAGCCAGCGGGACCAGCACAATTACCCCGTTGGACGCTCACGGTAAGTTTGATATGGCGCCGTTAAACTTGGGGTTTGTAGGCTGTTATTCTGATTTTGGTTGCTATAGATTGGAACCTCTTGGCGTACTAGTTTTCTCGGTCATTATGGTGACCTCCTTCTTCCAAGTCAGCCTTGAATGTGTTCAGCGACTTGCTGGCCCAAATCATGACGTCCTCCAACTGGGAATGCCAGCCATCATCATCATGATAACAACCATTGTAATCAAAGGTGGCTGCTGGCTATGGTGCCGGCTTGTTAAAAATTCAAGTGTCCGGGCCTTGTAAGTTGCTTTCTTCGTTATTTGTGGATAATATCAAACTGACCCGTGCCCTTAACAGAGCTGACGATGCAATAACTGATGTCGTATTTAATATCGGCTCCATTCTGTTTCCATTGGGTATGTCTATTATATCCCNAGATTTCTGATTCGGGCTTTCTTCGCTATCTCTAGTTGGCTTCTATGGCCGAATCTGGTGGCTCGACGCTTCCGGCGGCCTCCTCCTCTCCCTCGTTGTGATTCTTATCTGGAGTCGCACCTCCGCCCAGCATATCCGCAATCTGACTGGGTTCTCGGCCCAGCCTGATGAACGAAACTTGCTGCTATATCTCACTATGCGCTTTGCCACCGCCATCCGCCAGATTCAGAACCTGCGTGCTTATCACGCGGGCGACAAACTTTTTGTGGAGGTGGACATCGTGCTCTCGGCTATTACGCCACTTAAAGACAGCCATGACCTGAGTGAGGTACTGACTTATTTCCTCGAGTCCGTTCCCATTGTGGATAGGGCGTTTGTCCATGTAGATTACTTGAGTTACAATGCGCCTACACACATGCTCAAGCAACCTGCTACATGATAGGGCCAAGTTGATGAACTTTATTTAAGGAAAGGCGGTTTTGTACGATATTACTACTACCAACATCTCATGATAGCTACGAGGTTTTTGTTTGGTATTTTTTTTATTAAAGGGTTTATAGATTTGCTCAATTAGTTGCGCTGGTCGCTGTTTAGATATAGACGCTCGGTGTTCTAAGATAATAAGCGATAGTTCAAGGCAAGCGAAATGACTTTCGTATTTTAATATTAGTAGTACGAAGTAGTAGAAACTATTTACGGGCATATATTGTATGCGCAATATTACGTCTTCTGGCTGGCCCTTATTCTACTCTCCTCTAATGCCTTCTCTCTCATTTTAAGTGGGCGTGACCGAATAATGTTGTTCTAAAAAAATATTTCTCGAAAGAAGTATTAAAAATGAATTGAAATCACACAAACAGGCAGGCTGAATGAAAAAAAGGAGGGGAAAAAAATGTAGCTCGCTTAATAAGGAATCCCGTTGGTAAGCAGCTGGAACTGGTCGTAAATACCAGTACTGTAACTCGAGTAGCTCTTCTTGATAAGGTCCCTCATAAAGTCCGCAGCCTCCCGCTCCGTCTTCTCCATGACGAAGCGGTCCCTGAAGTTCTGCACGCTCTCCGGCTTGAAGCACGGCAGGCCGCTGTCCATCATGAGCTGGACAATCTGGCTGAGCTTCTCGCAGTACTGCCGGCTGGCGAGGAAGGCCTTGATGCAGAGCTGCTCAAAGGCCTTGAAGCTCTGGTGGTCGGTCGAGCCGCCCATGACGGCCATCATTTCGCTGGTGAGCTTGAAGGGGGCGCGCTCGAACTTTATGCCGCCGGGGGCGATGTCGAAGCAGAAGCCAAAGTCGATGTGGAGGATGTGGCCGGCGTCGTCAATCATGATGTTGCCGTTGTGACGGTCTTTGAATTGGAGCAGGAAGGAGATGATGGAGTAGGCCGCCATGGATTTGACAAAGTTGCTACGGGCCTGCTGGAAGCGGAGCGAGTCTTCGTTGCCGTATTTGGACACGAAATAGTCGTAGAGCCCGTTGACGGCTTCACGACCAAGCATGTCTCGGGAGATTGAGTTTGGCAAGACTTCAATGACACCGCAGCCTGGGGCTGTCGCGGTGACGTGGTATGGGAATACGAAGACGTCGAGACCGACATTGTGGAAGATGCCTCGGAAGGCAGCAATCATCTGCAGCGCCAGCACATCCTGTCTGCAGTCATCTCCGACCTTGAAGATACAGGATTGCCAAATCTCGACGGTGTTGTCTTCAGGTTCCTTGCCTTCTTCTCCTCCAGTTCCTTCCAGCAGCTGGTTTTCTTGCTCGAGCCCGCCCTTGTGCTTCTTGATACGGAAGGTGGCCATGTACGGGGCCTTTGCGTGACTTTGTAGAGGCTTTCCAGACTTACGATCGATGCCAATGACGATACCATCTGAATCAATGGGGAGATAGACGCCGACGTCAACTTGAATCTTTCGAAGCTCTTCTTCAATCTTCTGCTTCTTCTCCGGCTTGGGCCGTTTGATGAACGGCTTCAGTTTTCCTGAAATGCTGGTGACTTCGTCAAAGAAGGCGAATTCTCTTTGATAGAACTCTCTGTCTTCAGCAGCAAAGCTGTCAACCATCTTGGTCATAACAGAGTCAAGAGTAGGTTTGATGGCATCTGGAATTTGGGCGTCGTCATCTTTGTACGCATTGGCCTTCATGTTCCAAATGATTTGGTGAGCAAAATGCTGAGAGAACTGCGCGGTCTCAAGAATGTATCGTTCCACGTATCCAAGATTGTCATAACGTAGAGTCTGGACTATTTGAGGCACGTAGAAGAAAGTAATGTCTACAGAGTGGCTTTCTAGGGCTCGCATGGCGTATTGGATAAGGAAGGGGTGGTCTCTATACGCGGGGAGGAAGAAAGTCACTGCTGTGAGAGGATTAACCGGTTCCCAGAACAGGAGATACTAAAAATACTTTGGTTAGAATCTTTCGGGGAACGGACTAGGGACGGGAATGGAAGATTTACCTTGAGCTGCGAATTGACGTCGTCAGGCAGGTGTCCATCAAGAATGAGGGGAAGAGCCTCAGGTTCAGATATAGCCCTCTCAGGCATTGCAAGAAGAAGCAGTCTAATCTCGCGGATCAGCCGAGGGTAATGGAATCTCGTGGCTAGCTCAATGGCAATGGCAGGATCCTGCCCCCAGGCAGTTCGAACAAGAGGTAGCAGGGAAGCCTCTACCGCGGCCTTGGACGAGTTGTGGTGAAGCGTCAGATGAGCATGGTGCTGGTTGAGCGGGCTGATCCAAACTGTCAACCGCGACTGCTCGTTCTCCAAAAGTATCTGTAGCAGCTGTTCTTTGGAATGGAGCGAATTGATACCGGTTGTATTGGCGCCAATGACGGAAACGGCCTTCATAGCGGCGAGAACATCAGAAATGAGGCGGAACTCAGTCTTCAGCTGTACAAGATTGCTACCAAACGACCACTTTGGCGAGCTCCTAAACCAAGAGAGACCTGCTGATAGAATCTTCTCCTTGAGGCGATACTGGGCGGTTGAGCTGATTATGGTGCTCCATCGCAGAACTTGGAGGCCAAAGAGGACAATCTGCAAGCGCAGTTCTCTTGCCAGTGGATGAGAAGTACATTCTTTAACAGCATCAAGGGTCAAATCAAGCATGCGAATAAAAATCCTCTGGATGTCTGGGCAGCCAAGCCTAGTGGCGTTGAAGTGGCTGCTGAAGAATTGCAGCAAGCGAGCATGAGGAGACAGGATGTCGTGCACTAACTGCCGTCTCTTTGCTAGCATTTCCAACTCACTTGGTGCGAATTCTTCCTTGAGGAAGAAAGGATCGGGGTGGCTTAGAGCGGGATGGAACAGGCCAACTTTGCGAGAAATGGACAGCTCCCACTGCTGAGCAATAGAATTCAGCAGTTTGGGCTCCAATCGCGGATTCTCGTTCATCACGCCGAGCCATAGCGAGACGCCCAGCTTGATTGATTGTTTTGTGAACAAAGCAAAAGGTATGTTCACAAGGTAGCGAGCAACCGATGATTCGTCCTTTCCGCCACGGCACAAGAGGGCAGCGGCTCGCCTAAGAATCTCTCGAACCTCATTCAAAGAGGTGGACTTCTTGCTCAAAATTCGAGCCTCGATGTGAGCCAAAGCAGTGGCGGCATTAGCGCTCTCTATAACAGTAGACTGCACAAACGACGACCGGCGGTTCAGATTCATAAAAGATATCAATTCAGATCCACGATCTGGGAGTATTTCGCCGTAGCGGTACTCCTGACGAGTAGTATACTGGGCGATGAGATCAGACGCCGTATTGAGGGCAGTGCCACCAACACGGTCAAGAGATTGCAGTCTATTATCCGTAGATGGAACGATCGATCCAACTTCCAAAGCGAAAGACCGGCCAAGTGAAACATGACCGTATGCGCCATCGTCCTCAAATTCTGACAGGTATGTCTGGAGGAGACCCTTGACGTCTAACGGTGCCAAATTGATAGCTGCGGTTACCCAAGCTTTGGCCTTGCGGTTGAGGATATCAAGAGTCCACCGCCGGAAGTCGTAGTCGTCAGATAGCTCTAGGGTCACATTGCCAAGTTTGGAACTGAATATTGATCGCGGGGTGTAGATGTCAGTCTCTGCCTCGAGACAACTCGTCCATAAAAGAGAAAGAAGCTCCAAGAGGGCAAAGAGAGACGTTCTATGACATAATGCCGAAGGTACATCCTTGATTATACGGTCTGCACAAGCAAATGCAGCCTGCTGGACTCGTTCGATGCGATGACAGCAATTGCAGAAGATAGAAACAAGCTGGGTAGCAGCATACTGAGAAGAGAAGCTCGGGTCAATGCCGGCAAGCGTCTTCTTCAAGTATTTATCGACGACAGCCGCAGCAATTCCCTCCATGGTGCTGCTCACATCACCCTTTCGCATGGCCGGTTCCAAGAAGTACGTCAACGCCTTGGTACAATCACCAGAATCGGCACGAAGACTCTCAACCATGTATGCGGCTTGGAGGAAGATGACCTTTCGGTAGCTTAGGCCCTTAATGTCAGCTGCCTTTGATGGTACAAGCTCACTAAGAAGCTTCTTCTGCATTGCCTCTCGGTCATTGCTATGCCCTCGTCTTAGAACAGTATTGAGTTCGATGTCACTCTCGACTTGCTCACTACGCTGGCTGGCCACAAGAGCGGGCGAGTGCACGGCAATCATGCGAAGCTCTTTGATATACTTTTTACCACGATCAGTGGTTGTCATGAAGCCATGCACCACAATGTTGAACCATGCATCTCTAAGAAGGGCATATGAATCATCATTTGCTAGTGGCTCTGAGGCAAGATCATTGCTAGCCATGAACACGGCGAGAGGGTGAAGCAGTTCGGCAATCTCCAGAGCAGCGAGCTGTACGTCTGCGTCTTTGGTGGTTTGCCCAGACGCGTGAGCATCTCCCAGAGCAATGATGCTATCCAGCAGATGCTCCCAATAGATGTCGAATAAGGGAGAATCGCGACGCAAGCGAGCAGAGATGTGAGCACGTGCTCTTCTGACTGAGCCCAAAAGGAAGTCTTTTTTCTCCACAACGCCGATATGGCATATCCTCGAGTACAGCTTAAGGAGAGAGCGGAACTCTAGTTGGCCGCCACTAAGAGCCAATGTAGCTGCGCCAGCTATGACCTGAGTATCCACGCTGACGTTGACCTTGTCAAGTTTTTGCAGAAGCATGGCTTGGGCAAGAGCAGTAATCTTCTCATCGTCACATGCCGCTGCAATGCCGCATATCGCCTGAACAACATTTCCGTAGATGATTGCTGTTTCTTCCTCGCCGTTCATTTGAAGAGAAATGGCACTTCCTGTGGAATGTCTGTTAACATATATAGGGGCCAAATTTGCCTCACCAGCGGTGCCATTTGCTTGAATGCCAGTAATGGTCGCGTCGGAGCCTGGGCTCAACACGTTGCCCAAAGTGTAGAGAGTGCTGATGACTGCATCCTTGGAGAGCAGCTTCAGAACATAAGCCAAGCTTTTGGATGCCACTCCGACAGTGTTACCCTGTGGTGCGGTTTGGACGAGGAATCGCGGAAGCACCCGGCTGACAGTCGAAGAAAAGGATGGCGCGATGCGGCAGCTGAGAGCTAGACACTGGAGAACTGTAGACGCCAGCGTTTCATCGGTCATCTGCAGAGGGTCTTCCAATGCCTCTTGAAGCCACGTAGTGAGAACATCTGCATCTGCAATCTCTTCATTCAGAAGAGAACAGTTCAGATATGTGATCATGGCAGCAGATTTGACGGCATAGGCAAGCTGTTGCTGAGAGTGTGCTCCAAGTCGCACAAAGTCAGCACCAGCTTCAATGTAGTGCATCTGCTCCACTGCAAGATTGGTATATGCCTCAATGGAGCTAACATCAGCCTCTAAGCTTGGATTTGATACACCGTTCAGACTTGCGTCCTTGGACATGAGAATATCCAAGATGTGAGTTGTCCGAAGGCGTGGCCCGTCCGCCACCATCAGAGAGCTGCTCGCCAAGACCAGCCACATAAAACTGCGTTGCAGCAGCATTGCCCCAAGGGGCCGCCCTGAAGCGGCATAATGGCGAAGGTGCCTCTTCCACTCCTTAACCTCTCGGTCCTGGCTGAGAGAGTTGCGGATGGTCGAGATTGCCGTCTCGACTGCAACTAGAAACGGTTCGGAGAGGAGCTGGCGGATTTTTTGTATAAGAAACAGCCGGCCATCTACTCCCCAGAAGTCTACTTGGGCTGATACAGCATCAAGGAAACCAACAAGAGCAAGAGCAATAGTAGCAGTACGAATTGCATCGTCTAGATGGGGGTTTTCCGCATCTCCAGCATGTGGCGAAAGGACAGTTTCGGTAACTTTATTACAGTCGTTGGTGAAGTGCCAGATTCCATTGGAAATCTCCTCGTGTAGCTCGTGATAATTATTGCCAAGCGACAGCAGCGCGGCCGTAACGTGGAAGGCCAGCGATTCGGTCGGCGACGGCTCGATCTTTCGAAAGAAGGGCGAAGAAACGAAAACTTGCGTGTGGATATCGAGGATGTAAGGAATCAGTCGGTACGAGAGCTTCTGAGCGCTCTGGCTGGATTGGATATTCGGCGCGGTCTTGCACAGAGCGAGGAGGACTTCGAATTCGCGAATCGACTAACAAGTTTAATTGGTTAGCTCCTGGGGCCTTTCACATGCAGGCTAAGATGCGAGAAACTTTATGCTGACCATAGGAACTCTCCCAATGGAGCCGATTGGCTTCGAATTATGGGTTGCCTGCGCATGTTCGGCTGGTTTCGCTCCAGAATGACACGCTTTGCTTAGTCGATCGAGATCCGATTTCTCAAACGAGGTCGCGGGTCCGGTAGCTGATAGCGAAGCTATCTTCTCCAGCGCTTTGGCGCGGATGTCGCGCATGGTGTCGCCGATCTCGATGTCCACACAGGTTTGATTATGTATTATAGAGAAAAAAACAGCGAGCAAGCTCCCGTGTAGCTGCGCAGGCGATTTTCTGCGACAAAGAGTGTAAAAGCCGTCGAGCAGTGCGCAGTCGCGGAGTTAATCTAAACACCTTGAAAGGGGTGGTCACTGTTGAATTGCGACGACTAACACCGGCGCTTAGTCATCCAAGCTACCCCCCCATCCCGGCCTAGCAAGGCTCCCACTTGACGCGTGCATGCTGTAGCGATATAGCATAGCATCAAGCCTGACGACAGGGCATAGCTTGCAATCATCAACCACATCTACCATCGACGAAGCTGCCAACCACCACCACAGAAACCCCGCAGCCATGGCCGCCATGTTCAGTCAGAACCCGCTCATGAACGGGCCCAACTATTCATTCTCAGACGCTCCCAAGACAGCTCGGGGCGAGCCTCGAGAGCATGCCTTCAACCCGTAGGTGCTCCAGCTCTGGAGATTACACAACCCCAGCTCGTTAACTGTTGCAATAGCTATACCGACAATGGCGGCTCTACTCTAGCCATCTCGGGCGCCGATTTCACCATCATGGCCGGCGACACTCGCCACACCAGCGGTTACAGCATCAACTCCCGGATGTCCCCGAAGGTCTTCAAGATCGGTGGCACTACTGCCAACCAGGACGATGCTACCATAGTTCTATCTGTCTGCGGATTTGCCGCCGATGGCGAGGCCCTGCGTGATCGTCTGGATACCATCTGCAAGATCTATCGCTACCGACATGGCAAGCCAATGTCCCTCAACGCATGTGCCAAGCGCCTATCCACCATTCTCTACCAGAAGCGATTCTTCCCATACTACACGCATGCCATGCTTGGTGGCCTTGACGACGAGGGCAAGGGTGCTGTGTACTCCTACGACCCGGTTGGAAGCTACGAGAGGGAGCAATGTCGAGCTGGAGGAGCTGCGGGTAGCTTGATCATGCCTTTCCTGGACAACCAGGTCAACTTCAAGAACCAGTACATTCCCGGCAGCGGAGAGGGCCACGATCTGAAGGAGAGAGAGCGTCGTACATTGTCACGGCCGCAGGTTGAGACTATTGTGAAGGACGCCTTTGATGGTGCTGTGGAGCGTCACATTGAGGTTGGTGACACTCTGCAGATGTTGATTATCACAAAGGAGGGAATCGAAGAGGTCTTTTTGCCTCTAAAGAAGGACTAGATGCGTGTTTTGTTTTCTATTGTTTGTTGAAATGCGTAACGATGTATAGTAGCCGTTCAGAACGAATGCCCGAAGAAGGCTGGATTTGGACGCACCCCTGGACTCTTCCCCCGCGTGACCATAAATTCTCTTATCAATCTCCGCTTCAGAATATGTATGTAGCCACGCAGCCCACGATGACACCACCCACACAGGTAGATCTAGAACCAAAGGCGGTGTACACCACCAAAAATGGTTTGTAGGATTTCGGCAGTACAAGTGTGTACCGTAGTCTACATGTACTTGCAATATATCGCCTCCACATCCATCACCAAAGTTTGCACTCGTTACGAGCTCTGAGTGGCGGCGAGGTGCTTCCAGCTCCACCGAGAGTCTGATCAGCAAGGAGGAGGCGGAGACGGGCAGCCCTTTACTGGTAGGCAGCTTGAACTGTCAGTTCATCGCGTTGTGAAAATTGCTTCTGAGAACTCTGGTTGGACGATTAGCCCTGCCAGCAGAGCCAATCCCCATGGAGCTCTGCTGCAGCCGAGCTGATTTCAGCGTCCCTCAATGGCGCCTAGTTTACCAGCCACCCCAAAACGGGCTTGCAGAAGAGAGAGAGAGAGAAAAAAAAAAAGGTACTGATAGAAGCTGCAAATTTGATCGTCGGGTAGATGCAGTTCATTACAGATCGGGAAGTCTTCATGTGAGGGCGAGAAAGGATTAAATGGCGCTTTGATGGCCTGCCATGTCTGAGAATCCGTGTAAAAAGAGAACATATTTTATCAAATTACCTATAATTTGTGTAAATTGGGAGAAGTAGCTGGTATTTAAGTACATGTAGTGGTTCAGTAGTCGTTTAAGATCAAACAAGAAGCAATACCTAGTTGGGTCTTTTTCGAGGTTTGGCAGGATACTGACTGTCCCGAGGTTCAAAGTTTTATGGCGTCTAGATATATAGCGCTTCAAAGGCGCCTCAGTCCAAGATTGGTAGGCAGAAACCTTCAATATTCATAGTTGAATATCGAGAAGCTCCCGCGTCTCATCGCCATGTTGGTGACATTGCAATGGATGCAATTGGTGCGGCTGCGTATCATGCATTGAGTGAATCCCGGAGTAGTGGTGGTGTTTTCATGTGACTTGGCAACATCGGCATTATTGATACATGATAGCTCGCTCCAAGTAGCTAACAGTCTAGAAGAAGCATGCTCAAAGATAGAAGAGTGTATTCCTACATTCGCATTTTGTAGTTTACGATGCTAGAGGGGTATTCCATGCACTATCGGCTTCTATTGCCTAATCTTAGGGAGCAATAGAGTGCTGTGGAGGTAACCTTACTTCTACACGAATGGGAAAAATGAGTTTCTTGGTCCGCCGCGTCCGTGTGACGACTTACCTACTGCTCCTCTTGAATACCATCACCCAGACGCAAACAAGTTAGCATCGAGGGAAACAGATGAAAGCATGTAACGTACGCCAGTGGAGCTCCGCAGGAGTGCCCGTAACAGCTTTCAGGGGTTCGAAGCGTTTCGCCGTGCTAAAACAGACTCGCCGCATTTCGTAAAGGCTGCCAATGGGGGACAGCATCATGTCAAGGTCTGCTTCGCTGCCTGGCCCTATTGCATTAGGCCTGCCGGCCGAGTGCAAGGATCCGAACCTTACAACGCATACGTGGCAAGCAGTACATGTCGGCCTCGACCACGTGGTGAGGCCTCTCAGTTGCCAGTGCCGTCGTATAACGGCCGATCAATGCCCCGCGCGCACAGCGGCCGGTGCAATTCCATATGTTTCTGAGTGCTGGTAGGATGGATTGCCAAATCAAAGGGCAGGGGTTTTCTCCTCTTTGAATCTAAAAGGTGCCATTGACCCCCTTTTGGTGCAATTTTGTGCGGCCAGGGACACATAGACCAAAGCCTCAAGCAATTACTCGTATTATGAATATGTATCTTCGCAGAATTGCGGCTCATGCGTCGACTGTCTCGGGGCAATAACGATGAGGTGCATAATGCTTGTCCAATAAGGGTCGTGTGAGCCGTCCGAGATATCCATTAATAAATTGGTACTAGGGGCCTGGAAGCAGGGATACATAGTCAGAAAGTAGGGACGAATGATTTTGCCGACTGGTTTTGATCGGGGCGGATGGAGAGTGACAGTCCCGACGAGCTGAGGTGGCCATGCAGCCATCGTGGCGAGGGAGATGGTTATCGCTCCAGGTCTCCTGATGGCGTTTCAGATGATGCACCCAGTCGCCATGTTCCTGAGATGTCGTGGTTTGTCCATATATGATTGACAGCTTGATCCACCGTTCATGCTCTGCTGCCAATTGCAAGCCTCCGGCCGCGTGTTTGTGTGTTGATCGGAGCCGCGATGGGAATTGAGCTGCAAACACTTTTGCCACCCTGATATTGAACTGGGGTGAGAGCTGGACAGCTGTGGACATGAGCCGAGGCGTGATTTCGCGAACATTCGTCGAGCACGGGATCAATGAATCAACGACAGACGAGACAGCTGAAAAAGTCCGAGACGAGGTCACTATGAAGGGACTATGAACAGAACAGGAGTTAGCACTACTGCATCAATAGCCCAATTTGCGGTGATGACAGGACGCCTACATGTGCGTTCGAGAACGCTGTCCCACTCAGCCTAAGACGTAGTGTCTCGGGGACCCCAGCGATGCGGAGTAATAGAGATGTGCCTTGGAATCGGACTTGGATCTTGCCAAAGGTGGCGTCATGTCAAGCGCTTCAGCCCTCTGCACCAGGGACTCTGATCTCTCGGCCGTGACGCAGATTGTGTGCTGTTGAAAACACACCGGGACCAGAAGAGCGAGAGATGCAGAAGCAACGAGCTGTCTAGGTAGGGACATGTACCCTATCTGCACACGGCTACGTCACACAGCGCACAATGCGGGGTGTCATATGTAAATGCAGCGGGCAATATAGCATCAGCATCTGATGTGCATCACAAAACACTCGAGCAAGCAGGTTTGCCATGGCCATGTCGTCATTGCAAGAGCTCAGCGGCCAGCGTCGAGTGCCGTCATCCCCCAGCCAGGCAAGATCTGCACCCTTGCAGCACGAAGCCCTGGATAAGCGTCGAGAGGGCCGTTGACAAGGAGCCCCAGCCTTGGCAACCAGCCACTCGTATAGTAGTGCGGCTGTACATGCAAATTGGTCCTACCTACATGCTGAGATGCAGCAGCAACGCGCCCAATTGCATCCGCTAATGCAGACGGGCTGGCCAAGTAAACGGGCCATTTCGTACATGTCTTGCGTGCCTGTGTACTCCGTGCTCAATGCTCTATCTAGAATGTGCCATGTAATACGGCATATGGCTTCAGAATCTACACATTTTGGATTTCCTCTCTGATAACTGCCGAGCAGCTCTTCCCGGAGCATACAGTCCGGCTGCGTCCCTTGAATCGAAGAGGGTTGTTGTTTATTGCCTAGTTCGTAATACTAACATGAAGGCGAAATGCCATTTACAGAGCTAGCGCTGGAAAACAAGGCGCAGGTACGCTGCTTTGCTCGAGGAGTGAGTACTGTGCAGCACCAACGTGGCGTGCAAGCTACAGCGAGGTCGTCCACTGCAAGTACCTGCTCCATAGCGCGTTCCTGGTTGTGGACGTGCAAGTGTGGCTGTACGTAACCGCCTCGGACGTCGATGGCTGTGGGTGGGTGTAGGTGGGTGTGGCGCTTCTCGGCCGCCGGTGGACAGAATTCATACGAGGGGTCAAGGTTTGGCCAGAACCTGCTTTGCGGCCTCTGTCCACTTTTGTGCCTCTGACTTCATAGGCGTTCCCACCAGGGTCCAAGTCAAGGGTCCAAGCCAGGGTGGTGGCGGTGTTCGCGGGGAAGCGCCTCATGGCGGGCTTCTGGCTGCCTCGGAGCAGTAGCCGATGGAACAATGTCGAGCATGCTCTGATCACGGGCCCAAGCACTCAGGCCATAGCGTGATTAGAGGAGAGAGACGAGCTGCGTGCAGCGAAGCAGTCTGCGGCTGTCTTGTGGGCTGGATAGAGGGTTGTGGCATCGTTAGACAGACCCAATTGCCCGTACATGGGGAATTGGGCGAAATCCGATACCTGCGTTATCGGGAAACTGGCATTCCCCATGCTAGCTAGCCTTCAATTGCAGCATAGTCTATGCTCTCCCGCAGACAAATGCCAAAGTGTGTGTGCGACAGTAGTCGATTAAAGAATTTTTAGGCCGCGGGATGGGCTTCATACCCTTGCGTTGAGGAGGCTTGGCTACTAAGGATATGGTGGGTGGGCCGGCATAGCACAGATGGGAAGTGATCGACAAGATTCCATGGACCGTCAACCAACGACGTGATATCTAGCTGCGTATACTAAGCCTTGCTCTGCTTGTAGGCCTCGGACGTTGATATCCCAGGCTCCGCCATCAGCTTCGCAGCAGAGCTTCGACGCCGATCATAGTTGATTCAAGCTAGGAACAGGGTGCCCTCCAGGAGGACTTGGCGGGTGCAGGAGACGCCGCTACAAGTATTTCAAGGTGGCATTACGGGCTTTGCAAAGAGCCCAGCGGGCTGCGTCAGTAGCTCGGCCTCGTGCTTGCATACTTGTACATGCATACATGGCGGCCCGTGATCAATTGGTATAGTAGAAGAAGAGAGACCAAGAGGCGGTTGCATTCTGTTGTCATGAAATCTCTTCATCTGGATACTACTAATACTAATAGCGAGCGACTCACGAGACTCCATCCAAGAGGGATAGCCATGCCGATCAGAGCCACAATCACGCTACGAGCACAACTCTTCCAGCAGTGGATGCCGCCGGGGCCGTCGTTTCAAGCAATGGACGAGGTATCCATCTCATAAGCGCGCTCAGTTCCGTGGCTTGACGGCTAGTATAAGCCATGGACTAAGTGGCGCGTTGTCTGGCAACAAAGCGAAACGAAACGAAAGGGGGAGAAAAGCAGAGGCCACATGGAACTCCGCGTCTACGAATCGACCCCTTCTTGGCACGATTGAAATTTAGACTCGCGGAAGCCATTTTTTAGCCTCGGTGAAGCCGCGGCCGCAAGCCTGGCGCCGGTGTGAAGCTGCCCTTATGATTGCTTGATTCTGCTGGCAACCGCTTGCTCCGAGCGAGAGAAATGCTAAACACGCAGATACGGGTGGTGTGAAGATGCTTACGACGCTGAACTGGTGGCTTTGCATGCATTGTGGATTAGAGCAGTTGGATGAGGCTAGCGGCGGCCAGTGTGATGAAGCTGCCGAGTGATGCTTTTCATCCTGGGCCTTTACTATGGCTAGCAGCGGATCGTGGCATTTCTATGTGGTGGCGAACCGGGAAAGCCACATACGGTTTCCCGGATACCGGTTTTGTTTAACCTCGCGTGACTGATGCAACTCATGGCTGCCCATCCACCCGCTACATTTCCAGATGTCAATCCAGGGTTCAAGCTAGCAGCTGACTTGTGCAAGTTGATTCGTGCCTCTTTCAGGCTGTCTTGTATTTTTTCTTTTCTTTTCTTTTTTTTGGTATCATTGTGGCAACCTTAGTTGCACTACTACTTCGGCTCCCCTGCTTGTTTCCCTTGGGGGCTCCATTATCCATGGCCAGCCCCCCAATCCTTGTTCACACGCCCCCAGGGCGCCCTCCATAATAGTCCCATCATAGCTATGCTTTTGACCTGTTGCCCTGCTTGGAAGCACGGTACATCAGTTATCAGTTATTAGACAGTACCGCAAGTAGCAGCAAAGCTTAGTACCCAGTATTCTGCCAAGTACACGCATGTGGTCGCTGGTCAAGCCCGGCGCCACCTCACCTCGCTGAGACTCCACCTCCATCACAAGGAATTCATGCAGACAAGCCACCTAGGCTGCTCATCGTGCCCTATTGACGGAACTCGCAGAGATTTGCACCGGTAATGTTGGCAGCTTTGCGGCCTTTGCTATGTTTAGTATGGCCAGGGGCTAAGCAAGTCTCCGCTTCCACAGTCGTTCCGGCCCAGACAAAAGGGTAGGGATTTCCAAGCCGGTACCTTGGTACGTCTGAAATCTCACAAATATCCGATTCTTGGTTCGTGCTCAGATTGTACTTGCCTCTTGGCCACACTGTGCTCGGACCCTGTGATACTAAGAGCTAATCATAGCGGCCTTGCCTTCAGCTGCAAAGCATCATTCAAGTTTTGAGACATTTGAAACCACACGAGAAAGTACCTTCGGATCTGCCTACAGTGTAATCTTTAAACGTTTTGCCCTGAGAGACATTTCCTTCAGGTACCCTGACTAGTTTGATTTCAAGGAGATGAATCGGGTAGGACAGCTGTAGTTCCCGAGACCGAAACGCGATTTATCTTCCTCGATTCGCCAGTCCCAGGCATAATCGGAGCAGCGTCATCGACTTTCGATTCAGCTCTGCAGAGATTGTCCAAGATCTTTTCCATCTTTGGAACTCACAGAGCTATCCAGAGCCACGCCCTTTCCCAAGAAAGTGGCGGAGACTTGCAAGGCTGCAGCTCTAGACGGCCTCGACTACTTACCGAGGGCCCCATAGTTTCTACTGAAGCTTTGACTTGTGAGTATTGGATCATGGAGTCTGGCCTTGACTTACCGACAAGGTTAACACGATTGATTAAATGTTTGACTGATTTATGATGAAATGGTTTGTAGGTGTGGACACCAAAGGGCGTGAAACCAGTAGCTTCGCCATCTTTTTTTTTTTTTTTTTTAAGAAAAAACTTAATTCGAAATTAATACCTACCTGCCTGAGTAGCTGAGCCACTTCAGAAAAATCTTTGTACCAGGTATGTCAGTACGACCCAATCCTCTGGTTCGATCTGATGTGGCTAGTGGCCGTTGATTACCTTGGGTCTCGGCCGTCATAGACTCTCTCGCTCATCAAGCCTATTCATCTCTTGCAAAGAACCTGTTATACTACCTTCCAGAAGGCTCCCCCAGTCTAGTGTCTAGGAGAACTGCTGCCAGTCATCACCAGATTCCACCAAAGAAGTGGGCTCTCTGACGAGGAACTGCCGGCCTTGTAGCTCTCCCGGCCTTGGGCTGTCCAGCTTGTGCATTGCCTCGCCAAAAAAAATCCCCCCATAGGGTATTATCACCCCTGCTACGGGCACACTTCTCTATTACAGCAGCATAGCGCGCATTATCTGAACACTGGCTTCCCCAGAAAGGATTGGCTATCCCTTGTCGCTCCGCTCTGGAGGCAAATAGTGTCTTGCTGCACCCCTGAGGGCGAGTAGCTTCTGGCTCACGTCACCTGAATGTTCACGAGCCCTACTATCATCGCGGAATACCCTCACTCTACTATTGAAGGAATGCTGGCATTGCCACCGTCTTGAAATAAGAGTTAGGATATAGGATCCCATCCCTAGTGGACGCGTTACTTTGTGGGCATTTTCATTTGTGGCGAACGTCAGGGTGTATCATCTCCAGAGTATGCAAGGATACAGTTCGCTGGACGTGGGCGACTCAGGCATTATCAACCGTTGCGATCTAACTAGATAATCTGAGGCCAATAACGATTATTCAGCTTGCCTTCTGCTACTTACTCCACGATCCTTTCCAAAGCCCCCTTGTAGTCGGCTACACCTAAGCTTCAATCTGTGCCGGCGGATCGAGGACTTAGCGCAGCGACCAGCTCTTGTCCATTTCCGCTCTTTTCAATGGGCGACCGGCCAGCCCCTCCCGCTTCTGGGACGGAGATTGTTGGCCTGATCATGTCTGAACCAACTACCAAAGATTCTGTGGTGCCTCAAAGTCATGATCACGAGAAGACGACCTCCGGGCACGATAATCACCAAACTCTACCGAGTAACCTCGCAACTTCACAGCATACGCCATCTCTTCAGCAAGAATTGGCATCCGCTTCGATCTTTGTCAATCGCCAAGGCCCCTACATTATGACGGCCATGGCGAATGCCTTGCCTCTAGACAACAACTATCATCACGGTCCGTTTCAGAGAGGGGTTCAACAAAGATATCATACCGGGCCGCCACCGCCACCACCAATGGGTCCTCCCATGCCACAGATCCCTCAATATACGGGACCTTCGCCGATGAACATGGCTCCTCAGGGCTTCTATGTTCACCAGACCCATCAGATCTCGCCGTATTACGGTGGCAGTCATTTACCTATCAATCAGCTCAACACGACGATGCTGCAGAGACAAAACATCGCATACTACCCGAACCCGATGGCTATGGGACATCCTCATACGCAGTATTACTACCCTCAGGCAGTTCAGTATCCTGTTCAAGCCCCGAGCATGCAACAGGTTATCGCCCCAAACCAACCTCCTCGCACAGCAATTGTTCAGCCCGCAGCGACAGAAGCCATAGCTCATAGTCAGCCTTTGAATGGGCTGCAAGTACCATTTGTACCCCAGAAATCTACCCAAGGTGATTCTTACTTCCACCCCTTTCAGGCACTGCCATAATAACAGATATCCTGGCAAATGACTTAGATGAACAAAAGAGTTCCATTCGAGGATCTTCGCGCAAGCCTCGACAAACTGGTATGCTCCCTGTATCCCTTCGCGTACTCTATAATTTTTTCTTTCTCCTCTCCTCCTAAAAACTCGTAATTAATCGCGCTATTGCTCTAGGTAATGCCGTTTGGATCGGAAATCTTCCACCTCAAACCGATTTGATGAGCCTCGTAAACCACGTTTCGAAGGAGACAGAAGGACTTGAGTCTCTATTTTTGATTGCTAAAAGCAACTGCGCTTTTGCTAATTTCAAAGACGAGGCTTCTTGTATCACCGCGCAACTCAAACTACATGAATCTAGATTTCAATCAGTTCGACTCGTTAGTAGACTTCGAAAAAACGAAGTCGATGGCACTACCGGCTTGTCTGCACCAACCGGGCCAGCGTCAAGTACGATCAACACTCCCAGAACGATCAGCCAAATAAGGAGTAAATCCGCTACAAAAATTGATGGTGCAGGCTCAGCCGGTGCCTCTGGTGGTGGAGAGTACCCGACAGTTGTTTCCTCAGGGGGACTGGCAACGAAACATGATAGATTTTTTATTTTAAAAAGTTTGACGGTTGAAGATCTTGAACTTAGTGTACGAACGGGGATTTGGGCAACGCAATCTCACAACGAAGAAACGCTGACGAATGCGTTCAAGGTGAGCAAAAACTCCCATAACCTAAAGAGGGACTTTCTTCATTAGCTAACAATAGTAAAGCAATGTAATAATGTGTATCTAATCTTTTCAGCCAATAAATCTGGAGAGTATTTTGGATATGCACGAATGGCTTCCGAGTTTAGCCCTTCTCTAGATTCGACGATGAAGATTATTGCCGTACCTCGAACGACGACCGAAGTGGATTTACCGAAAGAAGTTATCACGGAGGCGACTGAATATCTTCCAAAAGGTATCATCATTGATGATCCAACGAGGGGAACAGTGTTTTGGGAAAAATATCAAGAAGAATCCGAAAAAGGCGCCGATGCTGAAAATAATGGCCTTGATGGCAACGATGTTGTTTCAAACGAAGAGGAGGACGAACGGTCATGGGGAAAGCCATTCAGAGTCGAGTGGTTGTCTACAACTCGTCTCCCCTTTCACCGGATCCGCGGGTTACGAAACCCCTGGAATTCTAATCGAGAGGTCAAAATCGCCAGAGATGGAACCGAGATCGAGCCTTCTATAGGCCAGAGGCTCATTGGCCTTTTCAATAATGCACAAGGCAATGGGTCATCGGCAGTTGCAAGACCATCTGTTGGTGGAATGCCCAGGTATCAGCAAATAGGGCCTTACAACCAGTAGGCCAACGTTGCCCATAACATCATATTTGTTTGTCCTCTTTGTCGACGGTCTTCTTCTTTCCTCCCTTTTCAGCGACTTTGTTTCTCTCGGGGATATCCTATAGAAGTCTTACTCTGTTCTGTAGATACATATATAGGATTCCTGGACTGATGGTTATATGATCATGGAGATGATGCTATGAACATTATGGCACAAAAAATGGTGGGCAGCGGAGAACAGATATAGGTGTTTCTTGTATTGCAGTATCATTTTTAACGCTGCGCTTTTAATGGCACTCTATCTTTTATAATTGCCAGGTGGCAGAGTATGTATTTATCATTATGAGATTGACTCATGTACTAAGCTGTTGCGAGCACAAGAGTCGGCGGCAAGCCGATAAAATGTCTCGGGTAGAAGCTCCCGATCCCGCTCATCACTACGATGGTGCCAACGATGAACGCCGCCACTTGTGGGGAGTGATCTTTGATTTACAACCTTCAATGTCAGATATATATTTATATTAAAGTCAAATACCGGGTGGATATCTGTAAGCGTAGAGTGGGAATATTAAGGTTAGCAAATGTGGCTATTGTGCCGGGGAAAAAACAGCTAATTCTAAGCGAAGTGCGGTAGTTGCAAGCAGTATACTGTCTCGTACAATTAAATACCAAAGTACATATTCGTAACTCAGCAAATTATGGTAGAATTTGCGTGCCAAAAGACTGGATAGAATGATCAAGGCATTGCAATCAGCAAACCCTCCAAATCGAAGTGCTAGTAGCTACATATAGAGGACACAGTAATGGATTTAATCCTTGCATTGAATTCAATGCCTAACCTGTAATGAGCTGTTATTCAGTGTGGCTGGTTTCGTTTTGTGGCGATTGCGCCACTTACGGTGCGCCACTTACGACCTGCTTAGCTTGGCTTCACAAAGCCACAGTGAGGCTTGAAGAACCTCATCAATCAACAGTCCAATAGATGGAACAGTGCAAGCGGTCGGAACTTTAAAATCTGGTTGCTGTGAAAGCTACAATTTCAGATATTTCCAAGTACATAGTATTTTACCTGAGTCTTTCCCTGCTGCCAAAGGCAGTTATGTGACGTGCAGTCGTTGGATTGATTACGTAGGCTGCTTAGCGTATTGAAATTGCATGTATAGTGGAATCTTCTAGTGTCTGCCAGAAGAACCTCGCAACCGCCACCAGCAGCTCGTATAGCGGCAGGCTTCAGCTTGTTCAGCAGAATTATGAAGCAGCGCATTGCGCAACAGAAACCCATGGTAGATGCTAGTAGATTCGCCCGTTTACTTGGAATATCAGTTTCGTCAGCTGCCTGCCTGATCTTACCGTCCACTGAAGTGATGCAATTAGCTATAAAGTGCGCCATGAAGTCAAGCAGAAGTGAATTTTGTTTCCTCATCAGAACATCACTCAGATACCTAGCGAACACAAACACTCAAACAACAACTATCAAAGCAAAGCCTTCTAATAAATCTCTACGCTATCTAACAATCTCCGCCATACACAATTTACCAACTTGAACTATATTCTTCAACTTCAAGATCAACCAATAAACACAATGGCTTTCTTCCCACGCACTTTCTGCCAGCCCTCTGAGCCCTCTCTCACTCCTCTCTTCCGCCTCCTCGATGACTTCGACAGCTACAGCAGGCAGAATGGCAGAAGCAGCAATGTGCGCCGAACTGCTCCTCAGTGGCAGCCCAAGTTTGATATTCGCGAGACCACCCATGCTTACGAGCTCTATGGCGAACTCCCCGGCATAAGCAAGGAGAATGTCCACATCGAATTCGCTGATCCTCAGACCTTGGTCGTCCGCGGCAAGACTGAGCGATCATACACCGCTGGCACATCACCATCAACCTCTGGTACAAGCACTCCAGCGACCGAGGCTGCCACTGAAAAGCAAGAACCTGTGCGCAGAAACTCCAACAGCTCTCACCAGGCTACTGTCGAAGACGAGGATGAGGCTACCGAGCGCGAATCGGGCTTTGAAGTCGTCACCACTGAGGAAGAGAAGAAAGTTGAGGAGAAGACTCCACAGAAGCCCGTCGACAAGGCCCGATACTGGCTCGCCGAGCGCAGCATTGGAGAATTCTCTCGCAGCTTCCACTTCCCTACATTCGTGGATCATGAGGCTGTGAGTGCCGGTTTCCAGGACGGCATTCTGAACATTAGTGTTCCCAAGGCGAAGAAGCTCGAGTCTCGCCGCATTACCGTTTTCTAAACCACTTTACAAACACGGAAAGACAACCATCATCATCCCACTATGTGATACTACGACTTAGCTCGGGATTAGCTTATAATGTCTGCCTTTCTGCGATTGCATTAGCTGGAGTTGGAATGGATATTTGGGATTAAGGAATCGTTTTCGTCTGGACTTTCTTTGGAATTGGCTTGGCTTTTGATAGCATATTAGAGCAATACATGCAAATGCAAATAATACATTCTTTTTTCATAAATGAGAAACTCTACTTCCCCTGTATTACCAATATGAAATGTGTAATAAGTGATGCCTGGTCTTTGGCGAACAATCCGGTTTCAATTAGAAATCAAGTAGAGCATCACGTGATCTGGCGTCAAATTATCCTTTGCCGGCCTGACTCGACGCGTCGGGTCGCGCCTTGTTCGTCAACATACCAAGCTCGTATTGCCCCCGTGCTGCCTAACTGTGGCTACTGAGCCTTTAAAACTCTTCGTACAGCGTGCATTTCCCTCATTTCTTCTTGACATAGACAGATCGATCGTTTGTGGTGACCTAAAATGGCAGACGAATATGACGGGAGCCAGATGGGCGACGAGGGTGCCACTGGCCCTGGTGCGCCCACGCCGCTCTCAGCCTTGGAGGTACATTGGTGATGCCGTTAATTATACATATCGAGGACTTTAGCTGATAAATTTATGTCTAGGGAGTTGCTGGGATAACCAAGCGTGAAATCCAAAGCATTGTTGAGGGTGGATTTAACACAGTTGAGTCTGTAGCTTATACCCCGCGCAGGGTTCTTGAGCAGATCAAGGGCATCTCAGAGCAGAAGGCGACCAAAATCTTGGCTGAAGGTATGACGGTTGTATAAACTCCCTTTTTAATCAGAAATCCTGACTTTCTTTCAAGCGTCAAAACTCGTACCCATGGGTTTTACAACGGCCACTGAAATGCACCAACGCCGCAGTGAACTCATCTCCATCACAACTGGATCCAAGAACCTGGATACGCTTTTGGCGGGAGGTATCGAGACTGGATCCGTCACTGAGTTATTTGGAGAATTCAGAACAGGAAAGAGTCAAATATGTCACACACTAGCTGTGACATGTCAGCTGCCTTTCGACATGGGTGGTGGTGAAGGCAAATGCCTGTACATCGATACCGAGGGCACTTTCCGACCTGTTCGATTGTTGGCCGTCGCCAATCGATTTGGCCTCTCTGGAGAAGAAGTGTTAGATAATGTTGCATATGCAAGAGCATACAATTCAGATCACCAGCTGCAGCTTCTGAACCAGGCGGCGGCCATGATGTGCGAGACAAGATTCTCGCTTCTCATTGTTGACAGCGCCACATCACTTTACCGTACGGATTTTACGGGTCGAGGTGAGCTCTCGAACCGCCAGACACATTTAGCCAAATTTATGAGGACGTTGCAACGACTTGCGGACGAATTCGGCATTGCAGTCGTCATCACAAACCAGGTGGTCGCGCAAGTCGATGGTGGACCTAGTGCCATGTTCAACCCAGACCCGAAGAAGCCTATTGGCGGTAATATCATTGCCCATGCCAGTACGACGAGGATCAGTTTGAAGAAGGGCCGCGCTGAGACTCGAATTGCCAAGATCTACGATAGCCCTTGCTTGCCAGAGAGCGATACGCTCTTTGCCATTGGCGAGGATGGCATCACTGACCCTGCTCCAAAGGACATGGACAAGGAGAAGGACTGATTAATAGTCGGGAAAATCTTGCATTGTATGAGGTATGATTAAAAAAATTCGGAGTCATATGGAGGAGGTATATGGATTTTAGGCGTTTCTTTACGGATGCTTGTTTACTTCATGTCTGCTTTAGGGAGAGGAGCCTATGGATGAATAGATGCATAGATCATGGGTGCATGGATGTACATGATGAATTGGGGCATAGTATCTTCATCTAGACTTAATAAATCCGGCTATGTAATTTCTTTTCAATTTAGAGTTGTATCATGTAAATATTTTCGTAAAGGTGTAAATAATAGCTGGATTCCTAGCAAGCAATTGCCCACCAAGCTCGTTTCCAAATCGGGTTAGCGCAGCGCGATGCTGAAGTTGAGACAGAAATTCTGCCCTGCAACGCGACCGACCTTGAGCATCACTAAAACGAACGACTTTGCGCCAACCACATCTTCGCCACCGTTTCAATTCCCAAAGTGCAAGACGTATGCGACTTGGGGAGGCGCGATGGATTCGGGTGAGATTCAGTATCTCTTCAAAGAGACCCGCTTGAACCTCGAACCTCCCTCCCAATCGTCCATCGTTACCATTCGAGTGCCGTCTGGGTCTGGCAGCAGAGGCCGCCCCAAGGTATCCCACGATGTCGAGGACGAGACGACGTTTCGATTGAAGAATCTGGCGACCGCGGCTTCGATATACCGACGAAAATGGCATGACTCGCCGCGGAGCTTCCTATGGAGGGTGCTGGAAGACGGCACGCTGCTGAGCATTCGGGCGGTGGATGTTAGCAAGAAGGACAAGGCTGCAGATGCGTCTCTGATCATCAACTTCCATTTCACGGTGCCTGTCCAACAAGGATGCGTGGTGTTTTCAGATCCGGAAGAGCACGATGCGCTGTGTGTGCATGTGTTGGATCAGGCATGCTATCTCTACACATTCACTCTCCGACCGGATCTGTTCAAGAGAAAAGGCGCGGTGGATGCTGGATTGCCCGAAATCTGTAAAGTGCAAGCCCCGGCCGGTCTAAGTTTCAAATATCCTCATCGGATGGTGGCTGTATCGGCGAATACCCTTCTTGTTACGGTCAATGACGGTGGTATGATACGCTTTGACAAGCAAAAGGGAGATGATGGTAAGCCGGAGAGTGCCCAAAAGGAAACATGAAGTTTTCTTCTTCTCATGTTCTATGTGTCTAACTAAGTCTTTCATCTAGCATCCACTGCGTTATGGAAAGAATCGTTCTTCAACGTGCAGGGATGGGCACAGAATCTACGAAGTCTCCTTCCCTTCCAAGGCAAGAACCTTATCAAATATGGAAGAGCCAACATGGAATACAGCTCCGCGACATCCATTGAGGTCTCTGATTTCGGACTCGAGAATTGTCTATTCGCAGTTACCGTCTGCCTTGACCACCGAATCCGTATCTGGAACGCAAATGACGGGCAGATTCTGCAGTCACTGGACATGCTGAATGCCGAGAGGCCGCCTCAAGAAATGGGCAAATGGTCGATTGATCCAGCCCAGTCAAATCTTACACGGGTTGTTGGCCGAACCAGAGGACAGAGAATCTGTGCAACTTATTCGCCAATTGGCCCTGGAGAATTCAAGTTTTGGAAGATTGTTGCCAAAGACAGCCATAATGTTGTCATCGAGGATCTGTTTTCGAAATGCACATTAATCCCTGCCACACCATCCTCTTCAGACATTTGGACACTGGCGGACTTCGTGTTAGGATCAACAGAGGAAGGACAAATTAACCTGTGGACTCTATGGAAGAACAACATGACATATCGAGTGCAGCGTTTAGAGCTTGACCGAAAAAATATGGCTCAATCATGGGAAGATAGCTGGGACGGCGTATTTTCCGAACCTCGAAGTCTCGCAGTGCAGACGTCCGGCCCTTGTGATCCTACCGATGTAACGGAGAAGTGGCTACAGATGATTTTGCAGCCAGGGAAATTTACCAAGACCACGTTAGAAGCGGCGCTCGCCATATACGAGCGCGGGCTCGGCTCATCAAGAGATAACAACAAGGGGCGTGGATTGGCTGAGTCTATCTGCTCAGTCCTTGGTTCAACTGCTTCTCTGGATCGTGGATCATCAGGGGAAATGGACTATGAGCAGTTCAGAGCATCAAGCGAGACGCAATGGAGAAGATTCTATCGATTGTTGAACGAGCTTGACAAGCAGAGAGGAGAAGCCATTGGCATCACTCTTGATGCCGATGCCGACATGGTCTGGGTTCTCTGCGCAGATATCGTCTCTATTGTTCGAGAATGTAGCCACTTGGAACGGCTCTACCATAACCTGGCTGCACCAGACCAAGGATCTTCGCGGCAGGCAGATTTAATCGGCGCCGGACTGACACTTGTAGAAGGCTTCTCAGACAACTTGGTGCAGCTTTGTAATGCTACACTGAGGCCTGAGTTGTTTGGAGAGTCTTCCAAGACAGATCTCGAGCGGATACAGTACTTCTCAGACAAGGCTGGCTTCTGGCGAGGAATCACAGACGATGATGCCCAGCAAGTTGTGGACACACTGGATACCAACTTTTCAGTTGTGACAAATGAGCTCTATCGAAAGGTGCTGGGTCTCATGGTCACACCACTAGACGACAAAGTTCGAAGTCCTAGCCATCCACTAACAGAGTTTGGTAGAAAACTCGTCATGACAGCGGCGCAAGAGCACATGTCTTTGCAGTGGAAAATATGCTTTAGTCAGCTCATCCTTCTAGTCCATATGGAGTTTGAGTTTGACAACGAAGAAGATGCCCTGCACCACAGGATAGATGTTGGTACCGTATTCCGGCAGCTCATCGCGACATTGAAGAGACTGGAGCTTCTGAAGTGGCTGTCAACGACCGAATTGGCAATCCCGCTACCAGAACACAGTTTATCTCCTTTATCAAAAAGGGGAGAGGACGTCCAAATTGTGACTGCTTTGGAAGCCAATGTTGGTCACCTACTGGGCTTCCAGGGGCTTGCGGAGGAGCCGCTTGCAGTTAGCATCACTGACCTCGTTACCAACCTCTGCTCTCCCAATGGCGACATCGAGGTATCTCCGTCACTCATCCAGTGTTCCCTTATCAAGCGGGATAGAGCAGATCTGGCACTAGAACTTGAGCCATTCTGTGATCAAAATCCCTTTTCGATTTATATCCACGGTAGAGTCTTTTTAGCGCTGAAAGATTTTGAGTCTGCTTCTATAAATTTCAGAAAGGCGGCTATTGGCATGGGTAAGTTTTATGATTATATTCTTTCAAAACAACGAGCATGCGCTAATCCCAGTCGCAGGAAGCGAATCAGTTGAGCTCGAGCGTCATAGCAGCGGTCTCCTTGACGACACAGAATGGAATCTACTAAACAGCGGGCTAGCTCAGTACTATTCACATGTTGTAGCTTTGTTCGAGAAACAAAGGGCTTACTCATACGTGGTTGACTTTGCTCGGTTGTCAATTCAGTTTACCGGGAACGCACCAGAGAATGCCAATATCAAGACAGATATGCTGAGCCGTCTTTTCAACGCCGCCCTGGCCACATCTCAGTTTGAGCTGGCTCACACCACTTTATTGTCGATGAAAGACCAAGCTTTGAGACAGTACAACTTGCGGAAGCTCGTGGATAAGATGTGCGAGACGTACCATAACTCCGAGCTGGTGACCCTGACCTTCCCCGGAATGCAGCAAGAGGTTGATGATATTCTGTCGCTAAGATGCAAGACTATCATGGACGTTATGCATGCGTTCCCTTACCACCAGGTTCTTTACTCCTGGAGAATCAAGCACAACAATTTCCGGGGCGCTGCATCCGTCATTCTCGACAAGATTCAGAAGCTGAGACTGGCTGGAGAAGGAGACCAGATTTCGGGAGAGGACGTGCTTGATACGCCAGTCACGAAGCAGTATCTGCTGCTTATCAACGCGCTCAGCTGCGTGGACGCCAAGCAGGCCTGGATTTTCGACGAGGGCATTCCCACGGGAGACAAGGACGCGCCTGCGAAGCGTAAAGTCGTCTCGCTAGCCGACATCAGGAAGCAGTATCAGGATGAGCTGGATCGGATTGCCGCGATTCAGAATAACCAGTTTGGATTCGAGGCAGGGGATGTAATGGATATTGCATGAAGTGTAATACGCAAATGGCACTATTTATTTGCTTTAGAGCAAGGAAGGGTGGTGAAAGAGTGAGAGAGAGAAGGTCTATGAAGGGGGCAATGGATGAATGAATTTTAGACGAAAACGAACCGCAGCCCAAGAAAAAAAAAATCTTTTGTATGTAGATTAATGCCTGTATCTTCCCAAGGATGAAAGGAAAGGGATGAAATGGGTTTAGATACCTTGGGGAATTAAGCACGGGATAACTTTGGTTTTTCTTCTTATAATATCGGAATCAGACTCAAGTTTATGTGCTTTACCCATTTTTTCTTTCTTGTGTTTCGATTCTTTTGGATCAAGGTGATCGATCGTTGTATATACATTTACATATATATCATCTACGACAACACACTTCCACGAAACAATAACATTACTACTATCTTCCCGTAACGCCGCTAGTTTTAAAAAACCCTTCCCCTATGCTAGAAAATAATAGAAAACAAAAATAAATAATATAGTTGAATGTGCTGCCGCTGCGTTGGAGAGAAAAAAAAAGGAGAAGGCTTGAAAAAGAGGAGAAGAGTGGCTCATATTTATAGTTGGTCTAGCCAATTTCAAGCATGAGCACTTTTGTTTCTTATTTTTCATCTTCATGCCTGAACCGTGGCAGGGGCAACTTTGTTTTCAGGGGGAGGGGGTAGGCTTTGGATGCCTGCGCCTTGGATGGCAGGGGCGTCGGGGGCTTGACGGTAGAGGATAATTTCTGACTGCTTGAAATACCGTCGGGCATCTAATGGAGAAGTATATCATGTTAGCACAATTTGAAGATGAATCATATTGCCGAGAGACGCGGGGTTAAAAGCTTGCCTTCGTCAATAAGGACGAGACTGAGGTAGTATCGTGTGGAAAACTTCTTGTTCACGTCACGGAAGGTGGGTGTCAGGTCAAAGCCTCCGAGGAATAGTCGAATGGGAATCGTTTCTCCTCTTGAGGGAGAGCCATCCATAATCTCAAACCGCACTAGGGTCTCGCTCTCATTATACTGGTTCGGAGCCGCGCCGGTTGTTTCTCTCCTGATAATGGATAGCTCCATGTGCTTAATCTTGAGCCGGACCAGCAAGAAGTAGATGCGTCCAACAATGACGTCCTTGAGGTGGTACTTGCTCTTGCTGTACTCGAACTCGATGTGCAGGCAGTCCTCGATGCCGACGTCCATCTTGATGCTGCTGTTCATCTCCGGGGGGATGCGGTAGCTGTAGACCCAAATGTCCTTTTCGCGGATCACGTCGGCCATGCGGCGCGAGACTGTGACGCGGACAAAGTAGCGCAGCTTGACGTTGATGCCGTTGTACGACTCGTACTGCTTCTCGACGTTCTTGAAGTTAAAGTCGAAGGTCTGCGGGTGCTGCAGCTCCCCCGGCGCGGCAAGCTCCTGGTTCAGCGAGAGGAACTCGTAGTGGTTGCCGCGGTCAAAGAACATTTCTACCAGCCCGTCAGTAACCTGTTGGCGCTGCTGCAGGCCCAAGCGGATGGAGGGCAGGGTCCATTGGGGGGTCAGGAGGCCGAGGGCGCCCGAGACAAAGGAGGAAGAGGTGGAGGAAGAGGAGTAGTAGTAGGAGGAAGAAGATGAGCGGCGGCGGCGGAAGATGCTGCTCTGCTGCTGGTCATAGTGGTCTAGCTGCGTACCTATCGTGCCGATGAACTGGACCTTGATGCCCGTGTGCTCGAGGCGTTTGCCGTCCTTGGGCCGCACCGTCACGGCGCCCTTGACCGACTCGCCGTCCATGTACAGGGGCGCCTTTTCACGGCGGTTCTTGTCAAGCTTGACATCGACCATGGTGCGGTCATCCGGCTCGTCGAGGACGATGTCGATGTCGACGGGGGTAGAGAAGAAGTACGACATGGTGGAGAGGGAAATGCGGCGGCTATTCCTCGATGTGTGTTTGGTATGCGCCTGTATGCGAGAGTCTCTCTTCTCTTATGGCTTCTCCTGCTTCGTCTTCGTCTTCGACTCCTTCTCTCGCACCCTGTTCTTGTTGTTGTCGGGATGCCGTATATGTCTCGCTGTTTGGATCCGGATTTCGGTGGAGGGGGCGGAAAGACGCAAGTCGAAGGCCAAGTGGTTCGGCCCTTGATACGCAATTGGTCGTGGGAACAGACAAAGTCGCAGAAGAATAAAGTGCGCCGCTGCGTCAAACGTTGTCGCGCTGAGGTTACGAGGCGGCGCTGACGTACGTTTATGGCTAGTGGGGGACGATGTTGGCTGGTCTTTCGCAGGAGGACAGAGCTTTGGTGGAGAGCTCGCTGGGGAAGTCATCCAGGCGGGGAGGTACAGAGTACGGCTGTGCCCATAGCGCGGTGGCGGAGGCCCGAGTGTATATTGTACCAGCAAAGCGCAAGGGGGAAGGCCGGATCAAAGATGAACAGGTGAATCATGCATATTCAAGAGTGAAGCACTGTCTGGCGTTTATGCGATTTCTTTTTCATCTTCATACTCAGATAGACTTCTTTCGTTTTTTTGGCTCTGCATGGGTTTGCTTGGGCCGGGAGAAGGCGGTCGTTTATCAGGCTCATTTATTGCCGTGCATCTACGCAGTACATCCACCACATGCCCTGGCATTGGCTGTGGCTGAGGCCTGTCTGTCGTGCCAGCTGGGTCAGGGTTAAGTCAGCAAGCTCCTTAGCTTCTAAAATTCAAACATCACGTGCCATGTCACGCATTGTCTTTTCTTTCGTCAGTCCCCACCCTGGGCACCCACAACGGCTCAAATTCGGCTGCACAAGACTTTGCGCTCACGTGGAGCGAGCCCTAGAACTTTTCTTGCCCACACGATTTCGCCAAACAATTCGTGATCGCGGACGGACGACTCCAGATACCCTCAACGCCCCGACAATCCCCAAGTCACCGCAGCCATGAGGTACATTCACTCCCAGGAGATTCTGGAAATTCCAGAGGGCGGTAAGTTTTCTTTTTTCGATTTCATTTGAATTGCAGATCCGATCGATTGCGCCGGAGGAATTGTGTCTTTGCTGGGCTGGGAAAGAAAGAGATGGGATGTATTCACGATCTCTTGGGGGATGTGCATATGGCAACGGGAATCAACGGCCGCAATGGGAAGAGAAGAAAAGGGAAATTTGGATAAATCGATTGGAAAATTTGCACTTCCAAGGATCATGAAGCTGACATGGAATTTTTTTTCTACGAATAGTCAAGGTCAGCATCAAGACCCGTATCGTCACTGTCGAGGGTCCCCGAGGTACGAAACACCATCCGCCAATCGCTCTTCAAGACAAACTCTTGAACGGCAGATTCGACAACTCAGCAGGAAAGCGAAAATTCTAACATTGGAGGATTATAGGCAAGCTCACCAAGAACCTCGGTCACTTGGCTGTCAACTTCGGTCACCCCAAGAAGAACACCATCTCTATCGAGATCCACCACGGCAACCGTAAAAATGTTGCCACCCTCCGCACCGTCCGATCCATCATCGAGAACCTGATCACCGGTGTCACCAAGGGCTTCAAGTACAAGATGCGATACGTCTATGCCCATTTCCCCATCAACGTCAACCTGGAGAAGAACAAGGAGTCTGGTCTGTTCGAGGTCGAGATCCGAAACTTCATTGGCGAGAAGATTGTCCGACGAGTTACCATGCACGAGGGTGTCGATGTCGAGATCTCCAAGGCCCAGAAGGATGAGCTTATCCTGACCGGCAACTCACTCGAGAACGTCTCCCAGAGCGCCGCAGATATCCAGCAGATCTGCCGGGTGCGCAACAAGGATATCAGAAAGGTAAGGAATTCTATTCTTTTACCTCGTTTTGGTGCACTCGCCATTGGAGCTGTTATGGTGGAATGGAAAATATCTATATCTTCTATGCACCCGCATCCTAAATATGGATTAATGCTGACTTTTGCTCAATCTAGTTCTTGGACGGTCTGTACGTCTCCGAGAAGGGCAACGTCGTGGAGGAGGCCTAAGTGTACCAAACAAGGATCTTTGTTTCTTTTGCGTTTCTGGGACTCCGGAGTGGCGAAGGTTCATCATTGCATGTCACGTAGCACGGGGCTACTTTTTTTTAAAACAAAAAAATTAAAAGTAAAGTGAAAGCGATGACCACTTCTTTTTTTATCTCTCTTCACTGTAGTTCTACCATAACATGCATATGCGACCTATTGCCGCACTTATGAACTGGGAATGAAATATCATCATCCTTGGTTGGGGAGAGGATACAGTCGTCGAGAAGAGTGAATCTAGCAGATGAACCATGGCACTGATGTTTCACACTGATGAAACCTCGTGTGTCAGCCCTAATGATAGAAATGAAGTCACATATTCTTGCATCTCACTTGAAAGAAGCCACAATCAGATTTTGCACAGCTGAATTTTTCCTTTGTTTCAATTTTCAATTTTTATTTTAACTATATTCATACATTATTACATGGACGTCAAAATCGAGCACACAGCAATTTTGAGTGTCAAAAGTCATCTTATATTCATTTCATCTTGGTCTTTCATAGTATGTACTTTTCATGCTTCATCATCATCACTCTCTCCACCGCCTTTTTTTTTTCTTGTCTCCTCATTTCTTTCATTTCTCTCATGCCTTCATTTCAAAGTATATTCCACGTAAAATAGCAAAACTCATAAAATAGCAAAGAAAAACCGACAGGTATATATGGGCAAAGGGATGCCACATAACAAGTCGCCTTCCTGCGCCGCAAACGCCATATATATGACCGTTGTAGATAAGGAAAGGAGGGAAGAATAATTAGGGGCATAAAAAAAGGGAGCAAGGCCCAGTTTCAAACTGTATGGTCGTTTGCCTGATGAATATGTTCATGTCGAACAAGCAACAGCATTAATACTGATAGGCGTCGTGAGGCTCATGTACAAAACGTCGCAGCCAGAAGAGCGGCAAGACTATGGCCGCTTGGCGTATCGCTGTGATTGTGATCGTCCGCCCCGACTGGATCTGCTGCGGCGACTGCGCGATCTTTGTTGACCGTTGCTAGAGCTGGCAGCTAAAACGAAAAAGGAAAAAAAAAAGCATTAGCAAAATGTTTCATATTCACAGGGAAGAAAAATAAAAGAAGAAAAAAAAGAAACGTACTGTTGCTTTGAGTATAGTCCGAGTAGCTGTAGTAAGAATTGCTGTACCGCGAAGGCGACTTGCGAGAGTTCGGCCGCTTATCCTTCTTAAGGTTAAGCAGCGTGAAGAGAGTCGCAGCCACGGCTCCAATTCCAAGCCACTTCCAGCAACCTCCACTGCTGCTCTTCCTCTTCTCACGGCGATCCGTGACGACGGTAGAGGTGCCCGGACGGCTGCTGCCGCCAAACCAGCCGCCGTGGCGATCACGACGAGAGTAGGCTGAGGCTGAGGCTGCGCGGCTGCCGCCCTTGGAGTAGCGCTCCTCGACGATTTCCTCTTCGCGGACGCTGCTGTCGTTGGATCGTCTCTTGCCGAAAATAGCAGCCCATAGGCCGCGGGCGATGCAGCAGAAGCAGAGCAGCAGCAGCAGAGCTACACCGACGAGAGTTCCAATCACAATGCCGGCAATGGCGCCAGGGCTGAGGCCGTTGCCGTTGGTGGTTTTGCTGCCGGCGCCAATGGCCTCTCCATCGCCGGTGGCGGTTGCAGATGCCCCCGTGTTAGTGCCCGTCTGAATGCTGGTGATGGTCGTAGTTCCGGTGACTCGATAGGGGGCCGAGTATTGGGTCGTGGTATGGCCATCGGAGACGACCACCACCGGCGTGGGCTCAGCGTAGCCAGGCTTGGCCGAGCACTGGCCTTGGAAAGCACAGGTCTGCCATCCGGCGCAGCAAATGGGGCCACAGGCCGCCTGTTGAGAGTCCTGCGGCACGCAATTGACGCCGGCGGTGGGCGTTGGCACAGGCGCCCAGTGGGTGAAGTAGGTGGTGGTGAAGGTCCTCGTCTCGGTCCAGGTGCTCGTGTATGCGCCGTATCCCCCCAGACAGGTGGCGACGTTTCCGCTCAGCGTGGTGCACAGCTCAGTGCTGTCGCAGCAGTACTGGCTGTCTGAGCCGCAGGGCGTGCCGTCGCAGCCATCGCGTTGGAAGAGATAGGCGTAGCCCAAGTCGCTCTGGTCGTTTCTTAATGGGCCGGCGGACACAATGGCCGCCGTGGCCAGCAGCGCGATGAGGGGGCGCATGGTGAGGCGCGGAGTCGCTCCTCGGAGGCGGATTCGAGCTGGAGAAGAAGCGATTCGTGTGTGTCTCAGAGAAGGAGAAAGAGAGCCGGCTGGAATGTGAGAAAAGCCAGGACAGTCACAAGCAATGGGTGAGATCGGCCCAATGAATTAGCCCTTGTAATGGCGGTGTTCTCTGAGATGGAGGCGCTGATCCGCGCGGCGATGAAGAAGATAAGAAAAGAGGCGCCGTTACACTGACAATGGCGTTCTTTTTTTTTTATCAACCTTGCATAAGACCAAAGTCAAAAAAAGGGAGACCCGGGAGAAAGAAGAATGGGAGCTGCAGCTGGCGGTCTCGGCGCTGCACGATGACTTTTATCGGCTGTAAAAGCTGTCAATCCCCAACCTCCCACTTACACCCACACCACGCTGCAATCCCAGCCCCTCTATTTTGACCGACTCGACAAAGGCCCGCGACTTGGGTTATCTCGTCATGCAGCCCGGATGAGGTACCTGGTGCACATACCCACCACACCTTTTATTCTAGCTGGGTAGGTATTTTCTCTAGTTGCTGCTATGGGCTGGGTATACAGGAATCTGGCTGCGTTTACGAGCTGTGGGCATGTCACTCTCACACACACCTTTTCTGCTTCTGACAGGCACCGTTGAAACGGGCCGCAAGCCGCGGTCAAGCAGGAAAAAAGAAGGAAAGAAAGAAATGCGGGCAGTTGGATGGTGCAATCGGCTGCGGGCAGCTTGGCTACATGTGCTTTGTGCTACTGTAGCAGTGCTATCTGAGAGCGGGAGGGTACCTGACATGGGAAAAATACAGGCAAAATGTGTGTTGTAGAGCGGGAGCGAGGCTAATGCGCTCTAGCTGGTAGCACTCTGGTGGGAGGCAAAAACAAGTTCCACGCCAAAAAAAAAAAAAAAAAGAGAACAAAGAAGAAAGAAGAATTTTGAGCCCCTGACTAGAACTAGGAAGCGATGCAAGATGCAGCAAGGGCCGCTCGGACCGAAATCTGGCTTCTGAGTCTCTGGTGTCTGACTGTTGCCTCAACAGCTGTGAAGGCGGCCACAGAGAAGAAAAATGGCAGAAACAACAAGGTCTCACAGAGCACATGGAGCAGCCAAGCCAAATACTCAGCAATACGTAGTACAAGCAAGTCAATACAAGCTGCTGCTCTGGTACCTACTAGGCAGCTTAGCAAGTTGCACGGAGTGGCAGATGCCCCGGGGGCGATGGATGAGCTGGCAGTCTGTCGGTTTCCATCAAACTTCCTCATTGGGCCGCTGCACGATTTGGCAGCCTCCGATGGGCTGGAAAGGCGAAGCGAACCTGGGACCGGGGGCTGGCCTGGCCTTGTTCCGCCTGACCCGTGTTGCGCCTGAGATGATGGACCGATCGCTCTGTTTTCCCACAATTCTTTCTGTAATCCATGGCGGCTGCTGCATGTCGACCGCCTCGTCCGTCGGCGCGGTGCTAGACTGCATAACTGCATGCGTGTATGAGACTGCGTAATGGCGTCTCGATGGAAAATGCTAGTTCTATCACTAGTGTGCAGGTATTTAGCGCTACGAGTAAGGAGAAAAGAGAACATAGGCCACAGAGATTTACATGTGAGTTGATTGGAAAGGCTTCTTCCTACTTGCGCTTTCAATTCAGAGTGTAGGGTGGCCATTTGCAAAGAGCATCTCGGAGCCTACAAAGTGCTCCGGGAGAAGCATCTGGGAAAGACGGCACATCCACCGGCTTCAGTTTTCCGCAAGTGAGCTTTGCCAGTAACTATTATTCATAATCTCTCTTTTACTGTTTTTGATCCAGTCACCGATTGATGAGCAAGCAACTGAACGCGGAATATAACATGTGAGTAGAGAAAGTCATATACACCGCCGCCACTGTCATTGACGCTGTGAAATGTGCCCCTCCGCCTGAAAAAGAGAGAAGAGTGGCTGGTGGGGTGGCTTGCCTAGCCTGGAAGCTGGAAGCTGCGGCTTGGAGCTCTGCTGCGGTCCCTGATCTGTGGCCGAACGCCGGATAAACTGTGCCAAAAAAGGTGGGGTGCAAACATCATGGGAGCTTCCACTGCAGAGCAGAGCAGAGCTGCGCCATACAGTGACACTCTTCCTCTCCAGCTTCACCTAATTTTGCATCTTCAGCCTCGCTCAGCCTGCTGGATGCTGGTGGGCTGCTATCGCCTCTTCAATTGATTTCGCCCTTTTCTCTTCCACCTCTCTTGGCTTCTCTACATCCATCTATTATTTAATATCCCCCTCGTCGCCCGTCCCGTATTCCGCGCGTCGCAGCCTTGCTCCATCGTCATCTCGCATCCATCCCGTCCCCGACCGCACCTCGCCGCCATGTCTCTCGATCCACCAACCTATCTGGCCTCGCTGCAGAGCAATATTCGCCAGCGCCCGATTCCCTGGGATGGCGCTGTCAGAGCGGGAAGCCTCACGGAGGACCAATATGCCAAGATCCGCGCCGTCGACAAGGCGAAGAAGCCCGAGCAGAGGAAGGAGATTGTGACGGCAGACCTCGACGGATATCGACTGCTGTTTGTGGGCGGCAATGGCAGCCCCAGCGTGTTGGAGAAGGCAGGAAAGAATGCCAACCTCGTCCAGTATATATTGGTTCTGCTAGCCGATCTGCTCGACGGTAAGTCAAACTCTTGGCTCCACGCGGCATCAAATAGTATTCAATGGTCAACAAGCAGCATCAACACAGCCGCGTACACTGATGCACTGCTACTCCACCCCAAACATAAATTTATAATTGTTGATGCACTTCTTATACTTCATCATTCTCTTTTCGTTTCATCTTTAGAGCTACCACTGACGGGTTCTGTCATCGCAAATAGCCGTACCGCTGCTCGCCAAAGCACTCTTAAAGTCTCCTGAGCCATACCAGCATTTCTTACCACTCTTCCGCGCCCACTCCAACGAAGACCCAATCCCGCTGCTTACCGCGCATGCTTTGTCGAACCTCATGGCTCTGGCGCAGGATGATTCTAGAGCCACTGTCCTCTCGCTTCCCCTGATCTTTACCTACCTGTCCGGCCTGGCTCAGAGCTCCGATGCTGGCTTGCAGGATTTTGCTGTGCAAGAGTACTCATCCTTGCTGTTCGGACACGTTCCCCGGGTACACTTTTGGAAGCAGCACAGCGAGACTGTTGCGCCACTCATCAGCATCCTCCGAGCTGCTGCCGGTGTTGGCAATGGAGGCGACTCATCAGCTAGTCTCTGGAGCGGCACTGCCAGCATGCGCGGCTTTGAGGGCTCATTGAGCGGAGGCGTTGGTCTGCAGCTTTTATACCATGTTCTCATGGTCTTGTGGCAGCTGAGCTTTGAATCAGAGGAGATTGGAGATGAGTTGAACGAGTAAGCATCTTGCGATTTATAAGCCTGCATCTGAGCTGTCCATGTTTTGGCACTTTTCACTGACCATGATCATAGCGAATACGATATTATCCTTTTGTATACTCACCTTCTTCGACTATCACCCAAGGAAAAGACGACTCGATTAATTCTGTCTACTCTATACAATCTGCTCGAGAAGAACCAGAAGACGCTTCTCCCTACTGCTGTTCTCGCCCGTCTGCCTGCATTGCTAGAGAATCTCAGTGGCCGTCATCTCACCGACCCTGACTTGCTTGAGGATCTTCAGAACTTGAAGGAGCTACTTGATGAATACACCAAGACGAAGACTACGTTTGACGAGTACGTGGCGGAAGTCCACTCTGGTCACCTCCGCTGGTCACCGCCTCATCGCAGCACCATCTTTTGGGCAGAAAACGCAAGAAAAATTCTCGAGTATCAGAACGGCGAGGTCCCTCGAAAGCTGGCCGAAATTATGCAGAAGCCCTGGGATAATGACAAGCAGGTTCTGGCGATTGCATGCAACGACATCGGGTGCCTGGTAAAAGAGGTACCCGAGAAGCGATCACAACTGGAGAAAATTGGCCTAAAGAGACGGATTATGGAGCTCATGGCATCAGACGATGAAAACATTCGATGGGAAAGTCTGCGTGCTTTGGGAGGCTGGCTAAAGTACAGCTTTGAATCAAACTAATGGATGGGCGATCATGACTGACCGGACCATGCTAATCATTTTATTGAGTCCGTCTTGGCGGCAGAAGCGACTGTATTCACCTAGAACTGGGGAGGAGCTCGACTTGTTCTTTTATTCTTGTTATTTGTTATTTGGATGCCTCTGTAAGGAGTAGACGCAGTATCATTTGGGGCATCGCTTGCAATTGGTATGACTATGTACCTACCGAGCCGAGCCTGGGAATTAGTTAGACCCTGGCTCTGACTGTGTATGACAATAAAGACGCAGAATTCTTGAAAAAAAGGCATGTCTCTGGTTACTGTGAATAAGATTGAGAAAGCTGCGGCAAACACCTTGTCACGGTGCGTTGTTTGCAATTCGGTTAAACGTTATAGCGATTATAGCGACTATAGAACCCCGGATGGAAGGCTTTTGCTTCGATATCGGAGTGCGGATCTGCATTGGCGCTGCAATCCGCAGCTACCCGAATTGGCCCCACCATCACAATCAAAGTCTATTACCCAATTGATACTTATCGAAGCTCAACGCTCCGACGATTTTAGCATTTGGCCTCTTTATCTTTTCTCCTTTCTCTCCATTTCCTTTCGATACCTTCCTCAATCTCCACTCTTGCTTGTTCTTCTTTCTGTCTTTATTCATATTCGCTTTTTAGCGGCCAATCAAACCACCATGAAGAGCTTCACCAGACTTGCCCGGGCCACGCCCCGCGTCAAGACCTCGCTCTCTGCTGGCCGGCTAACTGCCGCTGGAAGCATCCGATGCGCCTCTAATGCATCCAGCGGAGAGGAGCTCAAGAAGACGCCGTTGTACGACTTCCATGTTGCCAATGGCGCCAAGATGGTGCCTTTTGCGGGATACTCCATGCCCGTCCAGTACTCATCACTGTCTCTTGCGGATTCTCACCACTTCACACGGAACCATGCGTCCATCTTTGATGTCAGCCACATGGTTCAGCACATCTTCAAGGGACCCGACGCAGTGGCCTTTTTGGAGAAGGTGACGCCTTCAGCGTGGGGAAATGTGGCCCCCATGAGCGGCAAGCTGACGACTTTTCTGTGGCCCGGCACAGGAGGCATTGTGGATGACACTATTGTGACCAGAATCGGCGAGGACGAGTTCTATGTGGTGACCAATGGAGCGTGTCTTGAAAAGGACACCAAGTACATCGATGAGCAGTTGGGCAAGTTTGGCGGCAACGTTCAGTGGACGAGGCTGGATGGCTCAGGGCTGATTGCCCTGCAGGGCCCTCAGGCGGCTGAGATTCTGAGCGAGGTCCTCGCTACTGATATCAACCTGAAGGAGTTCTACTTTGGAAACACTGTCAAGGCTGAGCTCAAGCTTGCGGATGGCAGCAAGACTCACCCGGTCCTGATCAGCCGTGGTGGCTATACCGGAGAGGACGGTTTCGAGATTTCCTTCAACGGCAAGCTGTACCCTGCTTTTGAGAGCACCGTCAAGGCTGTCGAGTCTCTCATGAAGACCGGTGGTCCCGAGCGTCTGCAGATGGCTGGTCTCGGAGCCCGTGACTCTCTCCGTCTCGAGGCGGGCATGTGCCTCTACGGCCACGATCTGGATGACACTACCACCCCTGTCGAGGCAGGTCTCAGCTGGATCATCTCCCCGGAGCGCCGCAAGGCTGGTGGATTCCACGGTGCCGAGGTCATTCTCCCTCAGCTCACACCCAAGTCCAAGGGCGGCGCTGGTGTCGAGAGACGACGGGTCGGCTTTGTCGTCCAGGGAGCGCCTGCTCGAGAGGGCGCCGAGATTCAGAAGGATGGAGAGACCATCGGTACGATTACCAGCGGTGTTCCCAGCCCGACTCTCGGAAAGAACATTGCCATGGGATACATCAAGGATGGCCAGCACAAGTCCGGCACGGAGGTGGACGTCGTTGTCCGCGGTCGCAAGAGGGCTGCTGTTGTGACGAAGATGCCTTTTACTCCTGCCAAGTACTGGAAGGCTCCTGCTTAAGCTGTTGATTTCATTATAGTTACCTAAAGTTTTTTTTTTTTTCGTGGGTTTTGTATTTTTGGGAACGGTACGGGAGCGGTTTTATTTTGGGCTACTTAACGTTTGTGCATTGGAAGAAAGAATATGGAAACTTCAACGTGTTTCATGGTCGGATTTGTAAAAACAGAAAAGCAAAGAAGTCATTCCGGAGAAAAGAACATGTTGGACGCTGGAATTTTGTAATTCACGGTGGCATCTGCTAAACTGGACGTAGATGCTTGTAGATAAAAAAAGCCATTCATGAATGGGGTCTGGTAATTTTTGTGTTTGTTCTTCTTTGAATTACTGAGTAAGATGCCCTTGGATAGGATTGCCAGCTTCGTCTTTCAGCTGGAGGAGTGGTCGCGCCTCTGGGAAACAGGCTAGAAGCTTTCAGATTTTTGGTGCCTAGTATTGAGGAGAGTCGTTGAGAGTTGGCGATATTGATATGCATGCTCCTATCTATTGAGCAGAAAATTTATTTGCATTTTGCCTCTCGGTATGGAGAGAGGGTGTAGATAGAGGTAGATCTATATGGAAGTGTCAAGTGCAAAACGATATAGCTGCTAGGGAGAGTAGATAGAATAAGTGGATGTATATTTACACTGAAATTGAAGTAATTCGATAGCGTTTACTATATAAATCCTACATGTCTTCACCAATAGTTTCTTTCTATTGCTACATCTCCATTTCCTCAAGTTGTGTCATTGGTACTGTTTTTCTCATTATACATATTATACAACCCTTGCCTGGATGTTGCTTTATTGATCCTTCTATCCATCTGAGGTTTGAATGATTTGTTGTTTTGTTCAAATCACGATTTCCCCTCTAATAATAGCGAATTGCAGCTGCATCTGCACCCGTCAAACGCCGTGGCTTAGTTGTAGATGCCTAATATGTACGTCATGATATGTTGTCTTCGGGCGCTGATTCTGGCTGTGCTAATGCCAACTGCCAGTTTAAGATTCTCTTTTGGGAAATTTTACAGCATTTTTAACCCACTCGGATGTCTTGAGTTCTCAGAAAGCTTTGAAAAATAGAAGCAACAGCGTGATACTTCTTTTAGGGGGGGGGGGGGGGGGGGATTACTACCAATATAATAACTTCATTTGTTACAAAATAAAACGCCATTGCTATGAGTTCATATACCTATGTACCTCTATTCCAACTCCTATTTCCAAAATGCCTTGATACCCATTGATACATGTACCTTACTCCTCGCGATGCTGATGAACGCTGAACATCACAAACAAATGCCTATAGCCTTTCCGACTCTTGGTTGCTGGCTAATGTCTCTACATCAGCAACTAGTGCAGCGATATCCGCGATGCTTCTGTTAAAACGATCTCTCTTGTAGATGACCCATTGCATTATGCCGATGGCTTTGGCTGTCTGGAGCCTGCGCTTTTCAAGGAATGCCAGGGCTCGGAGCCGTGCTGGTTGTTCGCCTAGTGGGGGATCGCCACCGCCGCTGCCAGCGTCAGCGGCGCCACTACTACTAGCAGTAGTGCTGGCGGCGAGTTCGGCCCTCATCTTTGTAGCGTCCCTCTGAGCTTTGAAGAGAGTCTGTTGAACAGCGGCGAGAATCTCTGCCAAAGATCTTTCGTTGTCTTGTATTGTTGTACCGTTGTTGCCCTCTGCCGCATTACCGAGAGTACTCAAAGTCTCGATCTGGCGGGAAAGGCGTACTTGGAGAATGTCAAGCCTTAGCTGGTGTCTTTCGAATTCATCTTCGAACTCTCTAGCTCTTTGCGCATGGACCAAAAGATGAAATAGAACATGAGGTATGTTAGCTGTATTACCTACAGCCTCCATTACTGAGTAATAGTAACAAAAACTTATAATATAGAGCTCAGATAATAAAAGAATGACCTTGTTGCAGAGGATAAGTTTACATTTTGCGGATGGTTTTCATAAGAGGGCGTCGAAAATATGAGGGCGTCGAAAATATGAGGGCGTCGAAAATATGAGGGCGTCGAAAGAGGGTCGGAGGCATGGGTGGTTCTCGACTTACTTGATACAGTATTAAGTACGCCATTTTCACCTGCGCTCCCGCAGGTCGGCTGTACCAGGTACTATGAGGCAGGGTCGAGCCATGGCGTCCGGCCGGCGGGTTCCACAGCAACGTCTCGGGGCCGGTGGCTTGCATCATGGGTGTACTACCCCTACCGACACTGGGCACTTTTCAATACAGTAGCCACTGGGTACAGCATGAAATGGCGCTAGTTAAGATATACATAGACCTACTATTTGTTTACATATTAATGTAAAGTACTTTTTAGCAGAAAACTATTTATAGCTTATACTTATTACTTAAGTATTATAGTATTATAATATATAGTTATACGCATTATATAATTTAAATATTTTTTCCTTATATATAATATTTAAATTATAATATTTAATATTTTATTATATATATATATATATAAGTATAATTATATTTTAATAAATTAATATATAAAATCTTAAAAGTAGATTATACAGCAAGGTTAATTATCGCAGCGTTATACCTTTAAGCCTTTTCCGCACTCCACCCAGTGGCTATAATCGAAATGCCTGGAGTCGGTGTTGGTGGTTGTCATTGGTGCGTGCAGTGGGATGCACTTAGTTTTAATCCTTGTCAGGCATTGGAAATTATATAGTCTAGCTATAATAGAAAAGCATTTCAACGCCGCTTTTTAGAATAATGCGCTAAAATATTACAGCGCTCAACCGGCTATAATATAGCGCATATATCACTATATTATAGTGGTGTATAACTAAATTATAGTGAATTTACATTGCGGCTTAAAAACAGCGCTGCTTATCCTGCCCAAAGAGGCTATCCCATTTCCAGCACACGACAAGGATTGAAAACTAAGTGCATCCCACAGTAGGTAGCAGACCCTACTGAGACCCTGAAGCTTTCACACTGCCGCAACAGCTTGTGGATGGCGCTACGTCCTTCGGGGCAGTGGGAGTGGGTCTAGACAGAGCGGACGATGGGGCCCCGATATAATTCGAAGGATAAACACCTTGAGCTCTTGAAAGGTTTTAGTTACATGGTTGTAAAAGTATTATATTCCTTGGGGAAATTGTATATAAGAATTTCTTGGACAGAAGCCTAAACTCTATAAGAAAAGAAAGTACCGTTACTGTAGATGCCTACCTAGTATTGTGTCTAGTGTACCTTGATTTAAATCCCCTCTTCGTAAACACCTCGCTATCATCTTATGCTCGATTCCAGTCATGTTGTTGGATGCTCTTCACACAGAAGCCTATAACTCTCCTAGCGTCGACTGCCGGATATTCCCTCCAGATTAGCAACCAGCGCATTGATTTCTGTAATGCTCCTGTAACTGCGGTCTCTCATGTAGATGACACACTGCACTCTGCCGGTTGCTTTCGCTGCCCTTATGTTGGCGGCATCCTGCTCAGCCTTGGAGAGGGCGTGTTGTACATCGGCGATAATCTGTGCCAACAATCTCTCTTGTTCTTTAGGTATTTTGTCACTGTCTCGTATGGCTTTTGCATCGTTGATTGTCCTTATAGCCTCGAGACGTTGATTGTCCTTAGTTTCAGCCGATGTCTTTCGAATTCAGTTTCAAATTCTATGGCTTTTTTTGTTTCGCGGACTAGAACATGAACAACGGCGTGGGATGTACTAGCTGTATTACCTACAGCCTCCATTACTAAGTGCAAAAGTATTCATATGGGAACGTTTGAGGCCTATAATGTAGCATACGACTTTGCTTTATATAATGTGACCCCATAACTCTTGCACTGGGTTCGTCAATCTGGAAATTTGGAGGGGCGTGAGGTTGGAAATGGCGGCAGCTTGGGCACCCCGGCTAGCGCAGCGGATGCAATGCGTCGTACTCGCTATTACCCCAAGAACTGATCAAGAATAAGAGGCTCGCACGCCCAAAATCCAGGGGGAAGGGAGTCAACTGTACATGCATGCAATTAGTGACGTACCCTTCTTAAGTTCCATCAAGCTCCATGAACAAACTCAGCCACCCAACTTGCCGTGAAGACAGGGACGGCTTAAAAAGTATCCCTTACCCTGAACTGTCGGGCTGTGGAATCCACTTGCTTTTGGGTAAAGGTACATAGACAGGGTACGGTAGGTTAGGAGCGCTAGAGAACGCTGGACATCTCCAGGGCTAGAGGCAATCGACGGCACCTCTTGCAGCTACCGGTGAGAGTGAGTTGGGTTGTAACTTTGGGATACCCCATCTCCACCATCAGGATATATATCGCATCCAAACTAATAGCACGTATTGCCACGAAATGATGTCGTATGATGCATCCTCTGCGAGCCTTCGAATTGTTGTCGCTGGTGTTGTCCTGCGGGACGTTGTGACTTCCGTAATTCCCATCATTATTCATGCTTAAGTAAACAATGCGAGATAATGTTAGTATACCTGACCTGGTCCACTGTGAATTTTAAATAGACCCAGGCTTTCAAGGCCTAGTCGATCAGAAGTTTAAAGTTCCGACGCAGGAGCCAAAAGAGAATATCTGGCACTCTGAAAGACCCTGTGAAATCTCTTGCTTGACGCAGAAGCATACAATATTCTTCAACCAAACTACACAAGACTTATAAGAGAGGAGGAGGTTTATGAAGATAGATATTGTAAATATGCGGCAATTTTGGCCAGGAGCTTCTCAGATCCTTAGTATGTCCTGATCGAAAGAATAAGTCTGTAGAGGCCGGTATTTTAGATAAGTTGAGTGAAGAGCTTGATTTGATACTAGCAAGTCATCATGACAGTACGAGCAGCTGCCCCCGAGATCGTCAAAACGGTGATGATGGCCAAAAGAGCTTTCCGTTCCAACTATCTTATGATTATATTCATCTGGAGCTCGAGCAGGGCATCGGATAGAAGCGTCCTTCGATTAAAGAAGCGGTTGATATAGTCAGAATTACATTTGCAGAGTTTACTTTTTTCTCTTCCGTTAACAAGTATTTCTCTACCTGCGTTTTCATCATCAATGCGGCCTCTCTTGGTGTCAAGCTTGTTGCATCGATGTAAACCTTTTCAATGGATCCCCAAACTGAAAAAGTTTGCACCTTGTTCTGAAAGCTCTTATTGAGTCAGGGCGTGCCAATTTTTTTTTTTTTTTTTTTTTTTTAGTGCGTTCGGTACTAGTAGCTCTTATAATATAGTCGTCAACGTCGCATGATAGATATACAGGTATGAAAGGCCAACTGGCATTCCGAGCAGCTTCACAGTATTATTGTGATGTATTTCGGGCAAGCTCGTTATCTGACCGTAAGTCTTTGTAATAAATTAGCCATATGTCTACATGGACGAAAGAATTTGAGACTCTACCTATGGATATTACTGTCTCGAATACTCGAGTAGGTTCAGAGACAAAGTGCTCAAACGCCCATTCTCGTCGGCGTTCTCGCGCTATTTGGTATTGAGGATAATTTTGAGGGAAATTTGTCTCGACTGGATCTATCAGTTTGTGGTTCTCGATTAGGATGCTTGACATATAGATGCGAGCCAGTTCTCTGGCTACTGTCAAGTTCCCACTTCCAGGGAACCCATTGACCCATATAACGGAGCCGGGACTGGGTTAGGCCAGGTAGCGAGTATACATATCATTTGAAACGATTTGTATAAAACTCTGATATCTCTTTTACTGCTGGTCACACATCGCAAATGGACGTGAAATTAATCAGTGTCGAACGGCTGGCTAAACTTGACTTGTAAGAGGGGTTCGACCCTCCCCCCCCTTCTCTCACTCTCCCACAAAAGGGAGCTCCAGAATGTAGTCTACACTCATTCATCACTTCGTGTATTAACGATTACTCTTGATAGTTTATTTGCATGGACAGACCTCACACGATACCAAACTTTTCAACATCGAGATGAAAGTTAGCTTTAGCACCTTCTTTCTGCCGGTATTTTTCTACCACGACGTAATGCTGATATTTGGTGGGCAATCTGATCTTCTAGAGTTTTTATTAGTAATTTGGATAGGGTGCGAGGCAATATAATGGATGTGGTAACTTTCTCTTGTAGTGAGAACTAATGCATATACGTGGACGAACTCTATCGAACCTCCCGAAACTCGGGTATCTACGTAGCACCGTTCGCTGTCGCCTGCCGGGGATATTTTATATTATGTTTTATGCGCTTCAACATAATTCAGCCGCTTTTATTCTTAAAGAGGATATGCTTCTCGTCAAGGCAGCTCATGAGCCCCAATGCGGTGAAATGCCATGAGGTGATGGTATTGCTCCTGACTTTGGCCATGATGAGCCAGAGACTGCAGAAGAGAACAGATGAATGTGATAATGTTAGTTTAGTTTTTGGCTTGGAACTAGATAGCAACGTAAATTGAAGATGCTATAGCCTCTTTTTCTTTTGCTTGCAAAGATATTGATGTGGAACATATACTTTCTGGAAATCGAATAGTCTTGAGCCATGTGGTCTAATTCACCGACGACGGCGGACTACCGAATCGAAAGCAGAAGTGGATGCCTTACTCAGAACGAGTTTCCAAAAGTGAAACAATTCAATATGACTAAAACTTCTCTGGACGCTGCATCGCAGTGGTTTACAGCACCGCCATAACTGCCAAGGTCAGTCTATTCAAGGATTGGCGCCACAGGTGCGATTACGGCTTCGGAGTAATATTTAGGAAAGGTTAAGTAGGGCATAAGAACATTAAGTAAGAGCTAAAAGAAACCTTGTTTCAGCCTGGCTATTGGCTGAAGACAAGCTGTGCTGGTCGACGCCTTATGGCTGTGCTACCTTCTTTGGAACAGAAGTGGCTGAAGTAGGCCGACCTAACTTCCCAATGGCATCCAGAACGCCTGTTTACCTGATATACGTCTCTCGAGTTCTAGAGGATCACAAATACATCGACTGTAGCCTAAAGCTGATCAAATGAATTAGACTGAGAGGCGTATAGCATAGCCTAGTCACCCAATCCACCGCGCCGAATATTGCCACATCTTTGTTCCTCCCATACCCCTGGTACCCACCGGCCGACACCGACAGCCGAATATTTCATTTACACAAATGATGGTGATAAAATTTGGATAATGTCATGTAAAACGAGCGAATCAGTTCTGGTAAGAGCCCATGCTCGAGCGATTCTACTTGTAGATAGACTGGCTAGAGAAGAAAGCAAGGCGGCAGTTCTTCAACTTATAAGAGAACCTGTATGTGGCTTGACCGGCTGTGCCACTTTTAGAAAACCGCCTGATCGCTGGAAAATAGGCGAGTCTAGGTCATCGGTTTCGGCATCTAAACATATCTCCAGCCCCGCGGTATAGAACCTTGTCTACGTCAATGTTCGCGACCTCTTCGAGATGCAGCTTGCAAGGGATTATTTCAGTGCATTGAAAGCTGATTTGTTTTCAAATGTGTGTTAAGAAGTTATAAGAAATGAATTCTACATGGGCTTATGCCAATGGCTTGGGATGCGACTAGACATCTCGTAACATATCTACAATTCAAGTATTCCAATTTCTCAAGAGGATCGGATGCCCAAGCAGTGGCTGTAATCGCCTTGTCTCTTCCATTTTTATTTAAAAAATTACACATCCGCCTAAACTATTCATTAATTTACAAAAGCAGTGATAAGTATATAAATATGGTCATTACGGGTTTAGAAGCGAGCGAAGTCAAGCCTAGAACATATTAGCAGAGCCCAGTCACCAAAACACACGAATGGTCGTTCTACTTACCATTTGCCTCTTAGCGTGATAACGGCCCACTTGGCACCAGTCTCATCAACCTCTGCCTCAACCTTGGTAGTGAAGTTGACTCCACTCATAATACCGTCGCCGAACTTCTCATTGAGGACCGCCTTGAAGGCGTAGCCGTAGTTCTGAACAATCTCGTAGAGACGGTAAATGAGGGGCTCTGTGGGTGGCATCGGTCCAGCCTGGCCGCGGTTGGGGAAGCCCAGCAGCTGCTGCGCTAGGACTTCGCGGGGAATATCGAGGGCTTCGCTAAGCTTGTCAACGTCCTCGGGCGTGGCGGTTGTCTGGCCATAGAAGAGCGCAGCAATTGCAACCTCGGTGCGGCCGGTAAGCTGAGCAAGCTGCTCAAAGGTTACAGCCTTGGCTGTCTTGGCCTCGAAAAGAAGCTTGCCGTACGTGGGCAGACGGCCCTCGTTGGCAGTCTTGAGAGGATGTTAGTTTGCATGCGCTCTTGAAGAGGGGTCGTGATACTTGCGTCATATGTAGCCAGACGACCAGACATTGTTTCTTTGGTACTTGGCGGTAGGATGGAAAGAGAATGGATCTATAGGTATTATCACGAGCGGGGAAGAGACTACAGTTCTAGAATGTAGAATTAACAGTTTCACAGGCGAGAAGCGAGAATTGGTGCTTCTTATATAGAGAATCGTGATGCCGACTTACGACCAGCGATGCCGATTTACGACCAGTCACAAAATTTAGCCTAAGTCACAGTTTGTATGCATCCCATTGTATCCGTAATATGCAATCTTTTGCGGGGTATGGACATTATTGATCACTATACCAGCAAGTTACAGTTTGGAATGGCACTGTAAAACATTGGATGCAGCAATTTGACTCCTGCCAATAAGCACTATGTTATGCAGCTCGCAGGAAGCAAGAGGGGTAATTCTTTAAACCAGAACTGAGACACACGACAGGCCGCTGGTAACTGCTGAATGCTTATATAACGCGGAGCCATGCATGATAATAAGTACAGCATGGCAAGTTGTAGCACTGGCATCCCTACAAAAAGTCTGCGGCAATATTCTGATTGGAGTTTATGATGGCAGGAAACACATGTTGTACTGCTCCACTCTGGTGCCCTACGTCTATGAGGCAATTCCACGTCAAAGTACCTTTGCTACCAGATACTCAGAGACAGTACATTTACAAGCCATTATGCACTCCAGGCATTTATCGCTGAAGTTAATGCACAGGGGTTTGCTGTTTTAAGCGGCTGTGTATAGTAGGCAATTACATGTGCGGCATAGGGCCGAAGTGTTATGCTCGGCCCTTGATTGGCCCAACTAGCCTATAAGGCTTCAACAAGGAATCGAGGCTTGGCAGGTCTAAATCATAGTGATGCGTTTTCCATGCATGTACAGACTCTACGGTCCCTCAGCTTCTGCAGCCACAGAATGGCCATTGGAGGAGTTGACAGATGATTGACGCCAAGGAATATCAGGCCTCGAATCTAGTTTTTAAAGTAAGTCTAAATCCTCTATATGGATCTGCTTACGTTGTACAGAAAGTCCGCGCTTGGATAGCGCAAAACGTTTCTGGAGGCGAAGCTTAAATCTAAAGCACTGGAGAAGCGATACACTAGCCTGCAAACTACAAGTATAATGCACGCCACTGCATTGCACAGGCACATACCTATATCACACATGCAAACATATTCTTCATGGTCGACTGCAGTTAATAATATGCTGTTTTACATGATCATTGCCATGGCTTGTACGGCAACTATCATGGACGGGCGTCTAGTTGCTCTAGGTTTCCAGCTTTCCCAGCCTGTAGACTCCAACTAGACTCGACACCAACATAGCTGATTGTTCTAGAATGCTGCTTTTTCAATAAGCTTCGCATGGGCTGGGGCTGATTCTTGGCTGGCAACGCCATGGCACACATCGACATGAACATTAAATTTCTATGTGCGAAAGACTTGGAAAATTACATTCTTGGCAGCAAGGCGGCGGAAATACCGGAAAAGTCTAATCCAAGAATTCCTCCGATTGGCACAATCAATTTGCGTCTGTTCCTACTAAACAATCTAGGATTCTTGTAGGTATAAATTGAAAAGAGAGCACGGGAACGACGGCGTGTTTGTAACTGTTTCAATCCATCTATTGACTCTGATAACATTCTTCTACTACATGTTCTCACAGAGTAACAGATCACAATGATTCATTTCATCAGATTCCTCTTACTCGTCCTTCCTGCCTTCTCAGTCGTTGCACAGACCTCCTACTGTACCTTTGATCAAATTCGCCGCAAGGATGTATCCGGCTGCATCTGTCAAGGCCACAAAGATGATTGCGACCCAGTTAAAGGTTGCGACGCCTGTGGGTTTGAAATAAAAGAGAGGCGCACTCACAGCAAAGCCCCGCAATGTCCCGTCGGATGCACTGCCCAGGACTGGAACTGCAGAGGATGCGGCATATGGTATACCACCCTTTGCAACAGCCTTCAACTCTGCCTCAAGGGATCCAAGTGTGTATCCTCCAATAAGATTTCAAAAAACGGCCCTTCGAGCTGGATATTGTTGCCCCAAGATGAGCCTCTCATAACCAATACAGACCTGCTTCCCGGAATTCTAGAAATGGCCAACAACCCGGGGAAATATGGGGATGCCTTCGACTTTGCTCAGAGGAATTATGACCCTGACAAACAAGCTCTGGCGTTGAATTCTGTTCGCACGCGGACGATGGAGCAGTTTCATATCCATGTCTGCTCTAAACCTACTACCCAGAACCCCAGAGTTATCAAGAGATTGCAGGCGGCAAAACTTAATCCGACCAAGGAACTGCTGCCAATTCCGAAACTAAAACCAACTGACCCAAATCTCTGGTGTAAGAGCGTCGCCAGCGGCAAAGGCCCAGTCACAGACTTCGTGCAATCTATACATGCACTATTTCAAAAGCCTAAAGCAGTTTGCAAAGAAATCGCTGGCGCAGCCATTGTACAGGATTTTAATAAAAACAGATGGGGATGTGTTACCGACAGTAAAGACGGTCCATTGCCCGATTTCTGTTCTGGATACCATTAAATAAATGACACGGTTCAGGGTGTGAGATTGATCCTAAGAGTCAGGGGAGCAAAGTGTATCTAACTCCTGACATTGATTACTTGTATTTACATTTGGTCATTAAACAATGTAGCAAACAATGCTTTTTGCTATAGAAAGGTCTATAAACCAAATATCAAATTTTAGGAAAATTCTCTCATCATTTATTCACTAAAACGACTATTGTTCTGACATGATGCGGTTTAACGCTGGCGGCAATGGTTGAGTTACATAGAGGCGAGCCGTGGGTCGAATCTACCATTTTTCTTTGGCTATTCTGATGAGAAAGCTTCCACTCTTGAAGAGCCATGTTTTTAAGTCTGTTGGATATAGAGGATTACATATCCACAAATAATGGAGCGGATAGATCTTCCACGGAATGACTGACATATTACCACCAGGCTCGTAGAAAGTGGCTCAGAATGCCTAGGAATTAGGAATCACACTTGCTGGCCTTTAGTTACATGAAGGTAGGTTAGACAACAAGACTAGGTAACAGAGAAGATAGACGATGAAGGATGAGAGCTGCAAGGCCATAAGGCTACAAGGCCAATAGGGTGAGGAGGAAGCAAGTCCACATTCCAATTCTGGAGAGCTCCATCGGGAGTTACTCGCCCAGTAGAGTCTTTTTATTCTCTTTACCTCTCGCTGCTTTACACACCATTCCTTTGGTGTGGGGTTGAGACTCCAACAGGCCCCACTTCGGATGGTCGCCCGGAACTCGCCTCCGGAATATATGGAGTCGTCTTTTATCTCCCCGGGCTTGGCGTATTGGGGTATGTGTTGGATTTGAAATGAAGCAAGTATTGGCAGCCGTAGTATTACTATGCTTTTGGTCGAATTCAACCTTCGCTTTGACAAGATGTGGCTGTCGTCAATCCATTTTTTAATTCCCGAACACGTTGCCACTAAAGCATCTAGAATCGTCGTCTAGCCACAGAGGTGGCCTTTGCTTATTTATTTCAGCATTGGGCAGTCACATCCAGCTGAGCCTGTGTATGTGTTATACAAGGAGACAGTTTGTGTGCGACAAAAACACCATCTGAAAATATGGCTGTAGACACGGACTCTAGGGCCATTGGCTTACCTGACGATGAGCTCATACGTAAATATGTTTATGGATGCCATATCTTGCACTACTACAACGTCGTGGACGCGTACGGCCACATTTCGGTTCGCCTCAGCGAGTCCGTGTTCATGATGTCACGGTATATGGCCCCGGCGCTCGTATCATCCGCACAGGACATGGTGTTATACGATGTTGAGAGCGGCGAAGCTCTCAAGGAAGACGCACCGAAAGGTTTGCCCCTCCCTTTCTGCCATCGCCTTTCATTATCTGCCAATAGGCCTTTCCGCTGACTAGATATCGCCCTTAGGCTTCTCAGAACGATATATCCATTCAGAGGTATATAAGGCATATCCGAGCGTCCAAGCGGTCGTGCACTCGCATTCACTCGAAGTGATCCCCTTCTCCATCTCACCGACGCCTTTACGAGCTTGTTTCCACATCGCCGGCTTCCTAGGCACCGGCGTACCCGTATGGGATGCGGCAACGGTATACAAAGAGAACCCTCAAGTGAGTAACGACATGCTCGTTCGCAGCACGGAGATGGGCGCATCGCTGGCCAAAGCACTGGGCCCAGCCGATGACGAAGGGCTGCCCAAGTATCCAGTGGCGTTGATGCGTGGCCATGGCTTTGTTGCCACGGCCAACAGCCTGGAGATGGCCATCTGCAAGAGCATCTACACCATCCATAATGCACGTGTCCAGAGATCTGCGGCGACGATTGCGGGAGGCATGGAGGGGGTGCACTTCTTCAGCGAGCGAGAGGCCCATGACACGGCTCTAACAGCGATGGCGGGAGCAGCCAAGCCGTGGCCGCTGTGGGTGGCCGAGGTTGAGTGCCATCCGCTGTACAAGAACAATGTGTAGTGAATACATGTAGATAATCTAGGTATCACTGTCTGCGTCTGTGGTCGATCTGGACCTGCAATCGGCAGAGACGGCTTCGTCTCGGCGTATAATAATGTTGACAGCTCAGTGCGTGCTCGACGTTGCTCCGCTGAGAACCAAGGCATAGCGCTAGCCACCGCTGAAGATGCAACTATCATGCCGCTAGCGTAGCGCATTTCCCCGCATCGTCAGTGGAGTGTGGGGGAGCTGTCCAGCGAGGGTGGCCATTTTTGCATCATTTATAACCGCCTCGATCCCGTACTCCGATTTCCCCATCGAGTGTCCGGATCGCCTGTCCGCTCACAAACAACTGCAATTGTGCGATACAGAGAAGGGTGGAGAGAGAGTCGCCTGCTTATTGCCCAATGGCTGCATCACTTGCCGCTGCCTCGTTTCCCACCCCATCCATGTCCACCAGCTCCGGGGACACTGGACGAGGCTCGCAAGTATACACGCAGCCGCAGCCGCAGCCACAGCCATATGCCCAGCCACAGCCGTCTTCGCGCCACGCAGAGCCCCCATCGTCTTCTTCTACTCGCGAGCCGCAGCAGAAGCAGAAGCAACAGCAGCAACAACAACAGCAGCAGCAGCAACGGCCGGCCAAACGTCGTCGTATTGGCTATGCCTGCAATCTCTGCCGGACGAAGAAGAACCGGTGCGATGGAGAGAGACCGTCCTGCGGGCCGTGTAAGGAGCGGCGTCAGGAGTGCGTCTATAGTCCCCAACGCACAAAGATTTCTGTGACACAAGAGTAAGTCCTCTCTTATAGAGTGATAGCGACACCATTCCCTTATATATCTGATCTTAAGCAATCAAATTTGTTTCAATTTAAACCTTCTTTTTCAGCTCCTCGGCATCGCTCCCCCTTTATAATGCAGCCTTATTCACTCGTTTGCTTTTAGATATATTGAGAATCTGAGAGCACGGAATCGTCTGCTGGAAGATCACATAGCTGCTCGTCAACACGGCCAAATTCCTCAGTCACCGTAAGCTTTCTAATCATCCTCTCTTTCTATGCAATTCAACTATGAAACTAAGGCGTTCCTTGCTAGCAGCCATGAAAGCACATACTCGAAGGAATCACCTCCTGGGATACCTAGAGCGGCTCCATACCAAGCTTCTGGAGATGGTTTACGATCGCAGCAACACGATAATCCCCCTTCACCTACATCAACTGCGGAAGAACAACCAGAACGACAACGTCAGTACCACCAAAGCGGCAGCGAACATCGTTCTGACCGGCCAAAGAGTAGCCACTCTGCTTTGCCGGGAGAGTACTTTGGAGAATCCTCAGCTTTTGACTTTATCACAAAGGTGACCTCACCAAATACCACTGACCATACGGGTGGCAATGCCATAGCGGCTGCTACAACTCCTACAGCAGGCGTAGGCGGTGGCCCTACAGCCGGAAAAGCTTCAGCATCGACAGGAAGAATCCCAAAAGCTCTGGCTGCGAGAAGAAGCATCGCAGAGGCATCCGGAGTTGGTAGCGAGTCACTAGCAGAGTCGTCGCCTTCAACAGTCGTATTTGAGGAGCTCCTTGGTATTGGAGCGGGAATAGGGGACGGCAGCGGAAGCAGTGATTTGTTCGAATTGCCCCAGCGTTCACTAGCCGACCGCTTGGTAGCTTCGTACTTCAAACACCGACATCCACTGAACCCATATCTACACGAAGGCACATTTCGCCAACGGTATGCACGGCTATGGCTTAGCAAGGACGTCGGTGGTGAGGAGGCAGCACCTAACAATTTAGCTTGGCTAGGGCTGGTGAATATGGTGTTTGCATTTGGAAGTGAGCATGCCCAAACTCGTCATCCTTATCACGGAAGTCCAGGCAGTTCAGCATCAGCGAAACCAGACCGCGCCCGCTTCTTCAAACGGGCAAAGATGTTGGCATTCTCAAGCATCTTGCAAGCCAAGATTGAGCTCGTTCAAGCGTTATTGCTAATGAGCCATTACTTGCATGGCTCCTTGGAGCTCAACCACTGCTGGACGGTCATCGGGCTAGCTATTCGCACAGCACAGGAGCTGGGCCTTTATCTCGATTCAACTGATTTCACAAACGACATTGTCGAGCAGGAGATCCGTAAGCGTGTATGGTGGGGTTGCTTCGTCATTGACCGTCTCGTCAGCATCAAAGTTGGCCGTCCACCTACTATCCATGACATACCTGCCATCCGAGTCGGCCTTCCGCTTGCAGTAGACGACGAATTTCTCAATGAGGCGTCCAATTACACCCAGCCCAGCAATATCCCATCCAAGATTGAGTTCTTCAATCATATTGTGACTCAATGCCGCCTATTGGCCAAGGTACTTGATACTCTATACGACAACACGCCAAGTAGCAGCGGCAGTGGTGGTGGCAGCAGTAGCTCGTCGTCAGCAGGCCGTGAGACGAGAGTTCGCATCAAGGTTGACTTGCCAGACCTTTTGGCCATGTCGATCCAGCTAGATGGTGAGCTGGTCGTATGGCAGAATTTGCTGCCTCCGCACCTTCGCACCGATTCGGACGTGCCGGGCTGGCACTTTGAGCGGCAGCGAAGCGTCTTGCTTATGCGGTATGAGTATTTACATATGTGTTTCAAGCGCGATCTCTAACTTACACTTCTTCTAGCTTTCTGCACATCCGACTCCTTATACACCGACAAACGCTGCTCTACTATATTTTACGCCGAATTCCCGACCCCTTCCAGGCTGATCTGGCACATTTGTGCATTAGGCGATGTGTCATGGCAGCATACGATGCTATTTTTCAAGTCCATCTCCTGACCCAAAAAAATTTACTCTCTTCTTCATGGCATAACTCACACTGTGCGTCTCCCTCCCTCCACTCCATGCAGCTCATGTGTGCTAATACATGATAGATGTGTTCACTGCTTTGAGCGTTTTGCTAGTTTATCAACACCTCGACCCTCACTCTCGCTCCAAAGTAGACATACCACAATCGTCGGATATCGACGACGTCATAGGCCACGGCCTGGAACACCTACAGCGAGTTGGTGGCGATATCCATCCTCTGGCCTCGCGCTATGTCCGCTCATTCCAGCAGCTGCAGACGCGGCTACAAGCGATTGGCACACTATCTGCTAATGCGCCGCTCTTGGCAGTGCGCGGTAAACAGCAGCTGTCGATGAGGGAGGATGGCGGATCCAATTTCCGCCAAGCTCATACAGCAAGCTCTGCTACTGATTCCGACCAGAGTAGCAGCGTAGGACATCCGGCCGGCTCAGCAACTGGCGGAAGTTCGAGCAAAGGGCCGGTAAGTATGCCTGATCAGAACCAGGATAACAATGAAGTAAGCTACTACGGAGATGCATATCAGGAACAATACAATGATCGCAATGTTGAATATGGAGATGATGGTTTTATGTGGGCCGGATTTGACGATGAATTTGCGGTCATACAAAGCGCTTTGTTAGATAGCAGCGGGTGGGGGTCTGGGTTTTTGGATCCTTGGGCGCAGTGATGATTTTATCTCCAATAGCGCTGTTTTACTTGTTTGTGGAATATTGGATTGACAGCGTATAACTAAGCTGGGAGGAGTAGACTCTATTTAGGATAAAAGCTGTTCTTCTCACAACGGCTATTAATTTACTTGACAATCACTTGGAGTCATTAAGCTAGAATTATATTCAACACCGGTTTGACAACATTGAAAATGTAGCTAGTATTTGTTCTATTTATGATGATAAATTATGTAATGATGCGTAACAGCAATACACTTAAATGATATCATATGCATACAAGACAGTAAAAGAAATTCCCGTTAGCAACATGCCCAAATTCACGTCATATTTGTCGCGCCGTTTCTATAGACCAAGGCGAGTCCTAGTCGCATTGAAATCGGCCTCCAGATCATGACCCCAAACCCAGGTCATCCGGTCCTTGAACTTGTCATGGATAACCTGCAAACGCTGCTCAAAGACCAAGCCGGCGAACTCGGGGCCTTGCATCTCGTACACGTCGCCTGCTTGACGGGATGTCAGCTGAGCTCTCTGCGCGCGTGGCAGTCTTGTTTCTTGGTAGAGCTTCATGTATGTTTCTAGGCCGAGGGAAGGGTTTTCGAAGAAGGCCTTGATGGCTTGGCCCATGACGAAGGAGTCTTCGATTGCGTGGCCGGCACCCGAGCCTGTATAATGTGAAGGTTAGTGAATCTTGCATCATTCCTATCAGATAGTGGCTTAGTAGTTATTATATCGGTATTCTTACCTTGGTGAGGCAGCATAGCGTGAGCAGCGTCGCCGCCAAGCACCACCTTTCCTCCTAAGTAGACCCATTGGTCGAGCAGCTCGCGGTCGTTGAGCTTCCACTTGCCAGGCCAAGGCTCCATGGCACGAACCACCTTCTGGACGGTCTCATCCCAGCCGGAAAACTCAGCCTCCACCTCTGACCGAGGTGCGGTGCTTGACCAACTCTCTTTCAGAGCGCCAAGCTCGGCCTCGGATTTTGACACAAAGGCGACGACGTTTAGTGTTTTGTTCTGAGAGATGGGGAAAACGAGGAAGTGTCTGCTGGGGCCGAGCCACGAGACTGCAAAGGAGTCATATGGCCAGTCTTCTTCCACGGCCGACATGGGAAGAAGGCCGCGGTAGCAGACGCGGCCTGAGTAGCGAGGCATCAAGTCGTTGCCCTTGGAGAACTGTCGTCGTACGTTGGAGTGGATGCCATCGCAAGCAATGACAAGGTCGGCTGCGACGTGGGTGCCGTCTGCGAAATGGATGACCGCCTTGCCGCCCTTCTGGTCCTCGACGATCTCAACGGCTTTCTTGTCCGTCTCCAGCTTGGCGCAAGTTGTGTTTTTGATGTGCTCGTACAAAACTTCGAGGAACTCGGCACGATGAACGCTCAGCTGGCGCACGCCGCCGTTGCTCGTCTCCTCGTCCATGGCGCTGACAGACACAATCTCATCGCCATTGTCCCATCGCCTCAAGCTGCGGTGGATGCCGTTGCGGTCGCCCGAGATGGCATTGGCAGCATCATATACGCCATAGCGCTTGAGGATGCGGCTTGCATTGACCCCGATGCCGATGCCAGCTCCGATTTCTTTGTATGCTGGTGCTTGTTCGTAGACAGTGATGTTCCTGAGAGAAGTCACATGTGTGGCTAGGGACAGGGCCATGGCCAGGCCACCGATTCCGCCGCCGAGAATGGCGACTGAGAAGGTGTCTGGCGATGCCACCGGTCTACTTCCGATGGCCATGTTGTTGTTCTTTCTTTTTTAATCTTTCTGGTCTAAGCGGTGAAAGAGGGATAGTGTATGCCAAGAAAGGATGGAAGTAGGAAAGCGTGAGATCTCCCTCGTCTATATAGTATTGGAAAAGAGCTCTAAATTGCTGCAGAAAGAAGGAAAGAAACAGGGGCGATCCGACAAGGGGGAAGAAGTTGCGAAAGGAGATGAGTTCCGAGAAAGAGGGTCAGATCCAAAGCAGGTCCATCTTCCCGGGTCTCGTTATCATCGTTCGATATGACCTAGAATTTCGGAAATGACGGCAAACGGGTAATCAGAGAAAGGTTTGGAGTCTTGGGGATTTGATTGAATTTTCGATTTACGCGGCTCATATTCCTCCAAAGCTCTATTTGGGGAAGAAAAGCTGAGGCGGGATAGATACGGACTGCGGTTCCGGAGATGTGGGGCGCTTTGAACTTATACGGGAACCGCGCCGGAGATGCTATCCGGTGCGGGGGAGAAGATGGCGGCGTATCATTGGCTCGGGAATAGGGCCATCATGCAGGTCTCAAGATGAAGTGCTTCGGGGAGATGATAAAACTCCAGTTTTGACGCTAGTTGCGGTGACATTCCACTTGTTGCTGCTAGAGAGCGCACTTGAGCTTCGTCTGACCACCTAGGAGGAATTGGATATATCGCGGGCTTAGCGGCTAGTCCAGTAGCGAACAGAGGCACGCATCTTTCTTGACGTAGATGGAGAAGGTAAAAAGGGTTATGGTACGATGTATGGTACGATTTATTCATCCATGGTATGATTTATGATGTGATGCAACATAGATATTGTAGGATATAACACAGAGTGTATCATTTTATTAAGCTTGCCCGCCGCACATATATGCGTGATAGTATATGTAAAATTATCTGTATACCCCAATTCACTTCGCACACAAGATCAACTACAAATCGGTGTGCATCTTCGGCACGCCCTGAGCCTGACGAATCTCTTGTCCCTTCCAGATCAACAAAAGCAGCGGACACCATGCACAAAAGTTAATGATGGCAAACACACCCCATGCAACGTCGAAACCAGCGCTCTGGCCAAACGGCAGCGCATAGAATCCAATAGTAAAAGCAAACGTTTGGCGAAACAAATTGATGATGGTTGAGACCTCTGCGGCTTGCGGCTTATAGCAATCGGCAATGTACGAATAGGTAAGAGTTGTGCCAGCCTGAACGCCGATGGACGCCACAGTCATGCCGACGGCCAGGGCAATCCAGGGGGCATGATTCGAGACCGACACGCCGTGGATAATGAGACCGGCAGGCAAGAACAGGCAGAGAGGGGCCAAGTGCAGACGCGCCTCGGGCTTGCGGTAACCATCATGACGACGAGCATATCGGTTAATCAGCCAGTCGGAGATCCAGCCCGTGCAAGACTCGCCAATCAAGCAGCCAAGAGTCAGCGGAATACCAAGCAGCAGGCCGTTCTGCTCAGTGTCGAAATGGTACAGCCTCTCGGTGATGCTCGAGGCCGTCAAGACGAAGACGATGGAGCCGTACGAGTTTGCAGTCATGTAATACACGCACGGCACCACCACGGCCACGTACTTGAGCATCTTGAAGTTGTGCAGGAAATCGGACCGGCGAAGCTTGCGGTTGATGACCTTGCCGTGGAAGGCGAAGCGCTGCCAGTAGGTGCGGTTCTCGAGCGTGCTGAACTCGGTTCGCGAGAAGAGCGTCTCGGGGAAAAGTACCAGGAAGCAGCCTAGCACGATGCCGAACATGATGGCGTTCCACTTGAAGATCCAGCGCCATCCCTGGTTCTGGGCAATGAAGCCACCAGCGATGGGACCAAAGTGTGGCTTTGTAGCTCTTGAGTCAGCTCTTGAGTTTTTTTATCAAGGGAATATAGATACGTGAAGTTTAGGGGTATTGTTTGAGGATGACACTTACGCCGTTGGTAAGAGCAAGTGCGTAGAAACCGATATACTTGCCACGCTCTCCCTGGAAGAACATGTCGGTGATCTAGTACACACGCAAACTATTAGATTTCTATTTGTACTAACATCAATAGCGTAGGTTACATAGAAGTGAGTCCTTACCGTGGCACCACCAATAGCCAAAGCAACACTAGCACCGACACCGACGATGCATCGGGTGAGGATCTGTGTCCCGTACGATGGCGCATATGCCGAACCAATGTTGGCGCCCATGGCAATGGCAGTGAAGATCTATTCCAGGACATTGAGTTAGAAACTCTGACGAACATTATTGACGAAAAAGGGGTGGGAGGGTTTTCCCGCATACCAGATACGCTGGGCGTCTGCCGTACAAGTTGACAAAGGGGGTAACCACCAATGGCGTCACGCCTCCGAAAAGCGTGTACGTCGTCGTGAGATAGCTGGCCGCCTGATGCGTGACTCCATAGCTTAGAGCAATTGGGCCGAATGCAGCTGGAACCATACCAGCGCCGACTACAGTTCATATCAGTTTCGAGTTTTGTGGTCAGGGCTGGTTGAGTGGGATATGCTTACACTGCACGACGAAGGCCAGCAAACAGAGCAGAGCAAGGACAAAGCACTTGTACCAATACGGCCAATTCTGCGCAATAAAAAACAAAAGAAGTGCTATCAGTATATCGTTGCCCGGGCTAATGTATAATACGAATATGATATGGATACGACGTACCAACGGATCATCCTTGTGGTCGCTGGGCTGCGGCACCAGAGGCAAACCATGGGCGTCGAGCTTGAGGTCCGAGACAGGCTCCTTGCTATCCTTGCTGCTTGTCTCGAATGGAGACGAGCTCTCTTCCACGTGGGATGCATTGGGCACCGCAGGCTTTATCAAGCCACTAGTCTTGGCTTCAGGGTCCATGGAGAGAGACGATACAATATCGTGGAAGCTGTATTATGTATATCTTCGGACGATGAGAAGTGAACCAGAGGGCAAGGGCCGATATGAGGAGAGAGAGAGAATAAGACGGGGGGAAAAAATAAGACGGTTGGAAATTGAGGTTATAAAGAAATGTCGAGCACCAACAAACGGTGAAGCTGCTTCACGCCCATGGCGTTTACTCGGAAGCAGGATGAGCTGCAATAACAGGGGAGAGGCGTTGATTATAAGTCCGGTCTTTATTGCCCCGCCGTCCGCGGGGACTTTGGGATTCCGGGGTAGCAAATTCTATCTTGGGATATCTACTATCGCTGGGGATAGATTGCTCTGGGGGAAAATAGCCTAAGAGAGAGAGAGAAAAAAAAAAGCTGGGGCTAGAGAACGAAAATGCGATGGGATGCGCCATCCGAGAGCCCTTTCAGGGTCATGGAGGAGGGAGGGGAGCCACGTGCGATCTACCAGCTTTGGAGTCTTTCTTTTCTTTTCTCGCTGGGCTGTGTCAGATGGCGTCGAGTCTATTGACTGTTTTTTTTTTCCGGGGTAAGACTAAGGTTAGGATCGATTGAGTCTGGCAATAAGTTTTGTTGCTAGTCAAGGCCGGATAGACTCTCCGAGGGAGACTTAAGACGAGACAACGGAGGGTTTCCGGGAATACAGGCTTGGAGGTACGAAGTACTTGCTCTTTCAGGCTATTTCCATTTTGGATCCGGGGCCCCGCAGCTTTTTGGAGTCGAGATTGCGGGGTGCAGCTTCGGGTTAGCCTGAAGGGTGAAGACATAGAGTTTGTTGCGCGGAATGAAGATCCGGACGGGATAAGTTGGGGGGCTGATATTGGCATTGGAGCTTCTGTGGGTTGAGAAGCTTGTTGGATATTGAGATTTTTGGGATGAAAGACTTCCACGTTGAATAAGATTCATAGTTTATGAGATTCCATGAAATAATTCATGTTAAATATTATATAGCGTGCCTATGTAGTCTACTGTGCAAACAGCCCGCAGAAGCATCGCAAGCAAACCCAAGGCCGAGACTCACGCTTGGTCTATCATAAACAATACAATTTAATCAGCTTCCTCAACGCCAGCCTATTTATCCAATCCGAAAATTGATTCGTCTCACAGGAGCAAACAGTTCCTCAATAGGCACCGTCCGCTCAATCATGTTCTGCTCATAGAGAAACTGCACAACCGCCTCCAGCGTCTTGCGGTTCTCCTCCAGACCATACGGCCAGCAGTCTCCGCCAAACGTCTCCTGGATTTCCACCAAGTCTCGCCCCAGCCAAGGCAGCATGTATCTCAACGCACCAAGCGACTCCATCCGCTTACGTGCAATCTCCTTGCTCTCTTCGAGCACGTTGAATAACGCCGAGGCGACAAACTTGTTTGCCTCGTAGAACTCGCGGCGGAAAGCAACCAAGTGCATAATGGGGAATATCCCCGTGCGCTTGTAGTAGTCGCTCTCGACATCCTTGAAGTTGGGGAACAGCCTCTGCACATGCGGAACACGGTTCAGGCATGCAGGAATATCGGCGCCAATCGTAGCAGCCACTTCACCCGACTCTAATAGATCTGACAGCGACTTGGTCGGATCTGTATTGTTCGTGATATTCACCGGCTTCAGCAGCGACAGCACCGCCGGCTGGCCGTGCGACCCAGGCGTCTCCATCTTGCCCTGCACCCACTCAATCGTCGACAAGTCAACGCCGTACTCGTGCTGCAGAATGCCGCGGATGTACACCGCCGCAGTCATGTGGTACAGCTGCACGCCGATGCGCTTGCCGTTGAGGTCCTCTGGCTTCTTGACAATGTTTGTGTTGACGCAGATGAAGGAGTGGCGGAAGACGCGCGACGCAAAGACGGGGATGGCGACGAAGCTGCGGTCGCCGGCGACGTGGCGGGTGATGTATTCGGACGCCGACAGCTCTGAGACGTCAAACTCCTTGTTGGCCACCATGCGGTCGAAGATGTCGCGCGGGTGCTGGACCTCGACAAAGTTGACGTTGAGGCCGGGCGTGGGCACTTCGCCGCTGGCCAGCGGCACCATGCGGTCGTAGAGCGCACAGGCGAAATTGACGTTGAGAGGCGCCATGAGTGCGTTTTGAGGGTTAATGAAGCTTTGGGTGCTGTAATACACGTTGCTCATGGAGGTGAGGCCTTGGAGACCTTCAGCCTGACTTGTTCATTCTATATAGCTCCGTGGATGGATGTATAAGTAGAGTTGAGCTGAGCTATCTACCTACGGTGCGGAATCTGCAAAGCTGCATGACACAAGCTTAGCTGTGAGCTGCATCTTGCCCGGCATTGGATTCCGGCCATCGCCCTCTCTTCATCTTCAAGCAAAATCGCAGTGTGCAAACGTGAAAGCCCATCAACGACGAGTGCGCCGGATGCTGACTCCGGAGCGAAGTGATGAGCGGGGCCGCCTCCCCCCCCCCAAAAAAAAAGAGAGGGGTCTTAAAAGCGGCAGCGCTTTCTACAGTACGGGAGCAAAGTTGTCGGGAGGAATAGACAGCAGCGGTTGTGGAAAGCATGTGAAGCCGGGCTTTATGTAGTGACTTGAAAAAAAGCAAAGAAAAGAAAATAGAAGTCTGCTAAAGAGGAATGCTAACCGGGACACTTCTATTCGTTCCTCCCAGACCGCTAAACGCCTCTCGATAGCGGCTAAACGCCTATCTTCCACTCTCCTTACGAAATACCCACGTCCGACTAGGCCATTCAGCGACGAATGAACAGTAGAAACAAACGTCGTCCGACGATAGCATGATGCAGTTTGAGGCGATACCATGTGGTGTCGCTCCCTAGGAATCGACTACTTGTATGATGCACCCGCTTTGCCTCTTGGGGGTGGTATCAGTCCTGATTTTCCTAATTCATTAAGTAGCCGCCAGTGATCAAGTTGCTATTCGCCTTCACATAGAAGAATTGAGGCAAATAGATTGGCCATCTGTCAAATACATATACATATTAAACCTGAATGTTTAGCCATCGAGCAGTGCATACCATGCATAACTCTGATGTCCGAATTTCATCATATTTCATGCTCGCCAATAGCGTGCAGCCAAGGCACCAGCAAAAACTGCCATTCAGATTTATCCCATTTTACCCATCCAATCTACGTGCATGAGATTCTTCTTTTGATAAGGCATGGTCGCATGCAGCTCTGGAGAAGGGTCAAACCAATAATCTCGGACATGACGTCACGAGAATTGATCTCGATGTTTTGTTTTTCCTTTCCCCCTTTCTTTGAAGAGTTCCTCGATCCTATTGATTGCATACATACTGTGTGAGAAAAAAAAAAAAAAGAGGTTCTCCACGTTCCTTATTTCTCTTTGCGTAATGCCAACATGTCGATCACTGTGTTTTCGGTCAGCCGAGGCCCCGACAATGTTCTGATGTCCGATCGCACGGGATCCCACATCCGTTTTAATTAAAATTTTCTTTTTTCTTTTTGTGTTTCTTTCAATCTCTATGCTGTGAAACATGGGGTGACACGGCATGATTCATGTGTGACCCCGCCAAAAGATAAGATATCATATGTCTCGCTTTTTTTTTTATATATCTCGACTAACGAACGTGCTAATCTGCGTATCGTATAAGCAATGGGCCCATCATCCCGTTCTCGTCTCACCCGGCGTGTTTCAGCTCCCACATCCGACTGCCGTCATTCCCTCTCAGCGATCTGTGATCCCTAGACCAGGTTCCCTCCCCACCTCCCAAATCCCGAATCCTTGCTGGGTGAAGTCACCATTTTTGCTCCCATCCATTCTTTTCCCTCTCCGGCAAATTTGCCGTGCTGTCTAGACCCGATCCAATTTGCCTTGTACGTCACGCCACACTTTACTTTTTGCGAGCTACCTAATCCGCTCAAGCCACAATTCTCCATGATAGACTGACTTTCAGCCTGGGCAGATCCTTATGAAACCACCTATGCCATTAATTGTGGGGTTGCCTTTTATTTTCTGAGGGGAAAAAAGGAAGGATGATGGATGGGGGATGCAACAAAGATGGCTTCGATCAAATCGGACCTCGCTCGGACAAGATTTTTTTTTTCTAGTGCTCAGGATTGGTATATTAAGTTTAAAAGAACAGCGCACACATCTTCCCCCTTGCATTGGATATTTTTCCTCTTTTTAATTGCTGTCTCACTTCCTTCTTTCCACCCCTTATCAATGCTTGCTTGCTCTCTCTTCTATTCGAATTTCACCGTTGTTCAGTCAGCATACCGGGCATGCAGTGATCCCTAACACCCATACCGCAGCTCATCCTCCTATATAGAGCAAATCCCACATGAAAAGAAGCTGTCCATCTACTGCACCTGCTCTCCTTCACCTATTCACACCACAGCCAGCATCGCAATTCTGCATCATCTACACAACTCCCAATCACAATGGACGCCGTCACCCCAGCCACTACCACCACCTCCACCACCATGCTCTCCGTGCCATCAACCACCACCGGCGATGCCTCACATCCAACCCGTCCCACCTTCAACTCCCAGAGAACCCAAGATCGCCTCCGTGAAGGCGAGGGTTTATACTCTATGATCTTCCGGACCGACAGCAACCTCCAGCGAGGCCGAAAATCCATTTTCAAAGAGACGGGCTTGGACGACGACAGCGCCAGCGAGGTCACTGACATCTCAATCCGATCGCCGTCTATCACATCTCCTTCGTCGCAGGAGCTGTCGCCGTTTCCATCTCACGAAGCCCATCCTCAACCTCAGCTCTAACATCATGGTGCGTTTAGGCTATTCTTTGTGCCTTGTCTAGCAATAACTCATTTTTTTTTTAGACAATCCCACTTCCTTGATAATTTCGTCGTGCCATCATCCACCAGTTGCTTTCGAGCTTGGATTGTTTTTGGCTGTAATGCCAGGCGTTAACGAGATGTCTTTCGCTGAATACCCAAACTATTTTATTCCATAATTTAATGAATCATCTGCTTGACTGAAAAAATTGAATTCAGCCAATCTGCACTGTCGTTTACAGACGCGTTCTGGGATCTGCGTTTCACGGGCCCTTCATATACAAGGGAAATGAAACAATAAGTGGTCAAGGCTACGAGTATGAGGATGACGTCATAGATATCACAAACATTTGAACAAGTACCAAGTGTAAATAAAACTTTCGTTCATCAGAAATAATAACTATATCCAAAATATATTCCATGATACTAGTATACAAACAGGGGTATATATGCATAGCCTCATCGGCCGACGTGAAGAAAGGTACTCCAACAAAATACCACAAATCTATTGTGATATGTATGTAAAACAAAAAGCTGCTTCAAAGCCTTTCCTAATCCACCACATGGCCTGCCTCGTACACAACGCTGAACCCATCCACCACTAGAATGATCAAATTGAAGTGAATCTCAAAACGCCGATGCCCTGCAACTCATCTGCTCCAAATATGACTATTGATAAAAAAAATATAGAGAAAGGGCATAAAAAAGGGGAAGGAAAAAAAGAGACAAGAAAAAAGGGGAGCGGTACGTAAAAAAAAAGCAAAAAGCAAAGTTACATCTTTTCCAATTGCTTTTTGGGAACCGTGCCAACAAAAGCACGGCTCAAAAACTTCAGCCAAGTCTTGTTCTTTTCTTTCTTATTCTTCTTATTCTTCTGCTTGTCCTTCTTGCCCATCGATTCCGGAGCACCATCTTCGAACTCATCTGTGTCGGAATCCTCGTCCTCGTCGTATGCGTCAAATGTCTCGCTTTTGGCACCAATATCCTTCTGACCCATCTTATAAGCCAACCCCAGGAAGCTCTTTACTGTCAAATCAGGTAGCTTGTAGAACTTGTCGGTAAATGTGCTGTACTCGACTTCGTACTGAAACTCGCGAGGCTTCGGCTTTCCATGCTTGGGCTCCTTGTGGTCATGCTTGCCCTTGCGCCATTTGTTGATATCCAAAAAGCCACTAACATCGAGATCAGGGATATCGTCGTTAATGTGGGTAAGATTGGCAAAGTACTGGGTGTATCCAGTTAAAGTGAACACCTGAGGAGCATAGGCAGGGCCCGGAAGCGAGCTCTTAGGAGGATCAAGGGGAACGATCAAATCGTGGTCCTTGGGTGGCTTACGGGGCCCCTTGGACTTTTTGCCCTTCTTCCTGACAATTTCGACTAAGAGTTCTTCCAAGTTTTCGTAATCGCGCGTGTCTTCTTCCGGTAGTGCCAGGGCTGTAGGGGGGTTTGCCAGGTCGTATGCATCTCGCCACACAGGCGTGTCTTCGATGCCAGTAATGTTGTACTCCACAACGCGAAGTGTGGGAAAATAGTTTGGCACAACACTTGGGCTGATCAAAGAAAGCTGGTATCGCTCGGCATATTTACCACCAATCTTGCCCAACTTCTTCTTCTTCTTCTTATTCTTTTTGCCCTTGTTCTTCGCTGTCCCTTCATCATCCTCAACCCTTGTTTCCTGATCCAGGCCCCTGGCAACACTCTTAGGCAAGTCTGCCCACACATCTCGTAGCTCCTGAAGATAGTCTTCCTTGGACGAGATCGATATTGTCTCGTCTGGAGAGCCACGTGCGTTAATCCTGTCCAGACCCAGTTCTGGGGTCAGGTCCTTGACATCTTGAAGCAAGAAATGATCGATATTCATGTGACCATAGAGAGAGCCAACAACGACGTCACGATACTGTTTGAGCCACAGGGTGTATTTTTGCCAGCAAGTCTCGTCCCAATTCTGCTTGCTCTCCGTCCGAGCAGGTGGTACATGGCCCATGAGAATGGCCTTGACGCCCCGCTCTCTCAGGATTTGTAGCTGTACGCGCAGCCAGTCCAGATGCTTGTAGCCAGGTTCCGAGGGATGGGCGCAGCCATCGACACCAGCGTTTCGATCGAAAAAGTACATTGTATTCAAGCTGAAGACGGCCAAGCGATTGGGGATGACCTCGACGTAGAACCAGCCGCCAAAAGTAAATGAATGACGCTGCTCCTCGGGGATAAATCGGCTCCAAATATCGCTGTAAGCCGCAAACCACTTATTGGGTCCTGGCAGCATGATATTGTGGGGGAGAAAGTCATTGTTGCCGAATGTGGGAATGATGGGGATGCTAAGCCCATGTTGAGGTGTTGAAAAAGTCTCGACAAACTTGTCGGCAATGATTCGGTTTGTTCTCAGAATCTCAGGCTCGTGGCGCGGGTTCTGCTCGTCGCTGTCGTGCCTGGCCGAGTCGCCAGTCCAGATGACGAAGTCAATGTCGTCCTTGAGATTCTCTTCGATCCAGGAAAAGGTCGCATTGACAAGCGAAAAGGGCGAGTCGCAGTCGGTTTTTTCGGCGCCGTACGATCCAGCTAATCCCTTTCCTCGGTGGCATGCGACGCTCTCCTCGGTGGAGGTGTGGACTCGATAAAGCTCGTCGGGATGGAAGTCTGCATCAATTATCAAAGTCAGCCAATCAAGCCAGGTCGATGCAGTGTTGCATTGGCGGATTGCAGAGATGAGATCGATTGGTGGGCGGGAGAGATGCAGGGTTCCTAATATAGCAGCGCCGCATAGATAACGCAGATAGAAGGAAAAGAAGCTTTTGGTGTGCGCGCGTGTGTGCCAAAGACATGCGCACAGATTTTAGTTGGACGCACCTGAGATATGCAGGAACCGGCCGTTCAATTTCCGTGATGCAGACTCAGTCCCAATCGGGCTCAAGACTTTTTGGCCGTCCGGGCTGGTTGCTGCAGGCAGAGCAACGACTCCCGCGCTCCATGATGCCAGGGCCAGCAGCATCAGTTTGTGTTTTGTTGGATGGCGAGCACCGCCGCCGCCGCATTGGCGAGGCATGTTGTGAAGATTGCAGTGGGAATCCAGCTGAGGATTTTTCTTTCTTTCTTTCTTTTTAAGGTGAAAGGTATAGGTAGATAGTGCTAGGTTTCGTAAGGATGCCGTGTGTAGATTTCGAGTGCGCGTAGGGTCGGCGGAGCGAAGAATGCACTGATGAGGAACGGTGGTAAAAGGAGAAGAATATAGACCAGACAAAAATGATAAACAGAAAGCAAAAAAAAAAGAGCTGAGAGCGCCGAGCTTAACGGTGCATGATTCCAGCGAGGCTGTTGGGCCAGAAAGTACGAATCTTTTTTAAGGGTCCAGGGGCTGAAAAGACTTTTGACAGCGGGAAACAAGTTGGTGTGGCAGGCTGAGCCTATGAGGTCATCGGGCGAAGCCAGCTGCTGATGACCCAAACTTTTTTTGTCGCTCTCGCCGCGTTTGCCTGCTGAGACAGTCTAGTCTCAGATATTGGAGGAGGATTATATATACTGTAGGCAGTGCCGAGTACAAGGTGCTGCTGTTACCTTCAAGAAAAGCAGAGGAGGGAAACCAGGCAAAGAAAAGCAAAAGACTACTGGGCTTCTGGACCGTGTGCTCAACTCTATTAATACCTACCGAAAATATCGTATGCCCCCCGGTCGTTAGTCTATTACATCCCATATTACCTCTCCAGCTCTTCATTTAAATCGCTCTCTTCCGTGATCCATACTGCCCGTCTTCTCCACGGCTCTCGCAGCTTGATGGCACAGTCCAGGATCCTGCTGATCCAATATATTTGTCCGAGATGCGATCCAGCCGTCTCCACAGACGGCCTAGCGGTGCAACGCTCGCAGCATCGACCAACCACAGAGACGCATCTGCAAACCCTCATCGCCATCGGCCTGCAGCAAGGGAGGGTCTGGACTGGCGCAGATGAACCGTCTTGTCCGACTCTCGCCTCCCGCCTCTCGCCTCTCCCCGCCAACAGCGGTGGCTTGCTGGCATCTGGCTTTTGCGTCTAGCTCCCGCCTAGTATTCCGAGCAACCGGACCCTTCTTTTCGTCGCAGGCAGAGCCAATCTCGACGCTGGCCCGCCTCCACGTGCAGCGACGAGACGCCCTCAGCCAAAGCCCACCCGGTGCCACCTTGCGCAGCGAACAAGCTGCTAGAGCGTGAGCACGCGACTCTGCTTCTGCGTGTGAGGGGATGGGCAGAACGAAGAAAAGAGAAAAGCCACCCATAGCTCTCCTCATCTGAATGATTTCTGGCTGTTTTCTCCACTCTATTCTCACCACGTCGTTCGGATCTATTTCTCTATATGAGCTGGGACTTGTGCTGTTCTTACGCACCCCGTGCTGCGATACAGAAACAGGGAGGATTGGATACCGTAGCTGCGCCTCTGGCTCACCTGAGCACCTTGATAGACTGGGCGGATGACGCGCGCGACATGCGGTGCATGTATGTAGTTGGTTTGCGGTCGCGTGCGCCAATGGACGTGCACCCCGGCCTGCCAAAATGGCATCTGGAGCCATGGGGGTTACGATGCTGGACCTTCACTACTGCAGAGCTGATGTCACCTTGCGGGAGCATGCATGTGCTCTTACCGCATAGTTTTTTTTTCTCTACGGCTCAGATGCTGCGCAAAGGACGGCTCTTGCATTTACCGAGATGATGCTTGATCAGCAGTAAATACCCCAATCTTTGCTGGCTTGCTCGACCACATCGCAGATCGGAAACTAGCCGGGCATCATGACGCTCTTTGTCTCTCATCCATGCATGTATGAATCAGGTCTTTTGGGAGTTGTCTCACCACCCAGCAGCCACCGCCGTGGTAGGAGTCGTGTAACAAACACCAGCATGTGTCCCATCATGGGCACACATCGACATGATATATCTGCTGCTACCCTCCACCAGCCTCCCCATTGTCGATCCCCCGGCTTACGGGTTTTGCCACTGCGTCACCTCTCAGCTCTCAGCTGTCTCGTGCCCAGACGTCAGATAATCCCCGAGACAGCTCTGGAGCCAAAGTAAATGCTGCTTAGCTGGCGCAGAGTGATATCATTTTGCCTACTCAATTGGCACCACTACTACATAGTAAAGTCCATCCAAAACAACATGACGGCGGTAGGAACAGGCCGCCTCATTACAGTGCTGCTCTCCATCTCGCGAAATTTCCCAGCCAATTCGTCTCCAACTCCAAGCCCCACCACTAAGTAACAAGCACGGCACAATTGCCATGTCGAGATCACCGCCTACGCTAGTCCCAAATTGGATTCTTTCAAACCCTCCACTTTTCCGATTTTTTTCCTCTTCCCTTTTTTTTTTCTCTCTTTCTCATCATCACGCAACACACTCAACATGAGCACCTGATTCAGGTGTGAGGCCTTCTCGTCATAACAGATACGTCGCAGTTTGGGTTTTAACGTTGCTAGACGAAACATTTGCCGCTCGTTTGAGGGGAGCCATAGATTTATTCTCCGTGATGGCTCCCTATGGTTTATCGTGGCTACATGATTTGTTTTGGGAGATATAGCTTAAAGGCAACTAACGCTGCGCATTGCCCAGTATGCACAGTGCCAAGTTCCTATGTGATTATGTGATACGCTTCCTTATTCTATTGCTACTTATCTACCTAGTAGTAAGCGATTGTGGATGACTGCCGGCTCTACAAGATAACGCTGCCCAAAGCCTCTTGATATCTTGGCTCTCTTCCTCATCTAGATTCGGGTGAAGGCAATCTACCCTAATCTTGGATTTCGATCAATGTCGTCAACTTCAACTAAGCGTACATTCAGCTTGATGTAAGACGTGCCATTTGAAATATATAAACAATTTTGTTATCCCAAATAGTACAGAAGCCCGAGAAAGGAGAAACGGCCAAGAGACTACAGCAAGTTTGCAGTTGTCAATTCAACGTGCCGAAGCGCTCCTCATCTTTTTTGCTATATATTATGTCACCCAAATCAGGCACACTGTGAAATGATGTCCGATGATATACATCCATGTTCATGATGTGCTGTTTTGTCGCACTTGTTGCGGTTGCAAAGGGGAAATGGTGGTTGACAAACCAACCACAAGGAGTAGTGTTCTGCAGCATTTCTTCCCGCACCAAGGGCATCTGGACCTCCTCTGATTCGCCGTCCAGCCACTGCCTCAACGCGTCCATGGAAAAATTGTCGGAAATCCAGGGGTCGACGCCGAGAATTCTTCGGTAAGTAAGCATCTCAGCTTGAGTGACTGCCCATATAAGCCCGAGCTGACGATTTCCACATGGGAAATTTGAATCATTGGAATGCTCTTCGAATAATTGACATTCGTCTTCATCTTCGTCATCATCTTCGTCATTGGAAGCTCTATTTCGGTCCAAATTTTCCTCGCCATCAGTATCCAACCCAATGAGCTGGATATCGGAGCTAACATACTCGTTGATTTCAGAGTTTTGCGGGGGAGACTTGTTTATATGGTGAAGTTTGCCAGATTTAGCTAACCGAAAAATCCCAAGCATACAACTCCATGCTGTCCGACACTCTGGTCTCCAGAGATCGATAGTCTCGAGCGGAATGGTTTGCATAAATTCATCAGCGTCCATAGATGCATGACGGCATACATCAGCAGATGAATCTCCTAAGATATCATCGATTGATACTTGAGTTTTATCATGGATATTTGCTCCTAGTCTTAGTAGACACACAAGTACCGCGACAGCACCGAATAGAGTTTCTCCTTGGACGCCCGACGCTGCTAAATGGTAAGCCAGAACTACTACCAAGTGGAGGGTCCCAAGTGTTAGTTTTTTACCACAATTGCCGCAGAGCCGGACAAATAGCCCACTGGGGTGACGAATGTGAGGGTTATAGTTGCCGGGGAAAAAAATGGCTATGAGATTATGGCAAACCGCTTGAACGGAGCTATGGCAAAAGGGATGCTTCCAGCCAAACGGAATACGGTAGCTACCTCGTTGGAATAGCTGGCGAATTATTGGAGAATCTGCATCCCACCTGCCACACACGTCCTTTTCTTCTCCAGGATACCTTTTCATATCGACAAAGCCAGAGCTGACATCCCTTGGCGCGACGTTGGTGTGAGAGCGTAGGATGGATATTATTAAACAATCAAATACAGTATGCCCCATACTGTCTTCGTTATTGCGAGCGATAGCATATCGGCCGCTGAAATGCCTTATGATTATAGCGAGTAGAGAGCAGCACGTATTGCCGCCGTCCAAGTAGGTGGCCGCGAGATGATAGGGGTAAATTTCCATGAAATACCTATTAAGGTCTTTCTCCTGCCGTGCTTTCCCAAGAATTGATTCTACGAGCTCCAAATTACCCGCCATGATGGCGAATTTGAAAGATTCTAGCTGTAGTGGTCTTGGGTCGTTGCTTATCGATTCGCTAATTAATGAACTGGAAATTGGCAAGTTGTCAGGAGACAAAGACGTGAAATCACTCTTAGTCAATGACTCATGCATCAAATGCGTAAGAGGCCGGTTTGCTTGGTGCCCTGATGGCCACGGCATCCATGAGTTCTGGTCGAAATTACTTGGTGGTTGATAATCCTCCCAAAGGCCCGGCACGGCATGTTCTTCAGTGACGTGGATAACCCATCGACAATATTGTTCGGGCTGAAGAAGTGCTCCATCATGAGATATTGAGGACAGTGGAGTAGGGCGGTCTGCCGGAGACACAGGCGTTAAACCAGAGTTCGCAAACGAAGTATCAGTCATGGCAGATACCATATCCTTCGTCCAAAATAAAGGGCCTCGCCCCCAGTATTTGGCCGTAACGAACGTATGAATCCAAAATTCGTGGAAATAGTTTGTCAAAGCACTATTATAAATTAGTACCGTTTTAGCAATACAAGAAAAATCACTCAAAGGAAGCCTACATCCGATCTTCTCTCTTGCAGTTTATAAAAAGTTCCTGAAAACGTCCTTGCAAGAACAAGTTTGACTGATTATATGTCCATGTCTGTTGAACAAGTTGCGTAGATGGTGACGGAACGGCTGTTGGGGACACAGCGATAGCATCTCTTGGGCTTTTGATCGTTATATAACCTGGCGTATTAGATAGATCTCCAAATGGCGAGGGCTTATCTGCCTGTCGGACAATTGATTTGATAAGAGCAGCATAAGGAAGATTCCAAGCGCTCAGCCTAGCAAGAAGTTAGCGTACCAGTTACTGATGAACTTGGACCGACTATTAGAGGCTTACACTCCTGGCACCATTGGTTCCACCACGAAGCGGCGAATTTTATCTTGGAGATGTCTCTTAAGCTGTTTCGTGTCCAACGGCTTGCCTTCTTGAAGCGTTGCGTCTGAGGTGCTTGCTCCAGTGCGAGCCCGCTTACCAAGAGCAGTGGTGACATCGTCCTTCTCGCGATTCAGGATGCGCCTGCGCACCTTCCATTTTTCTCGGAGGTTATACTCGAGTTGGTTCACCCTGAAATGCAGAACAATCACATTAGTAAAAGTATACCGGACATACATACGAAGGCGAATGTCAGATGTGTTGAAAACGAACCCCAAATGAAAAGCATATTTATCTTTCATAAACTCAGTTATTTGGCGCTTTGTCATACGCTTTCCCCCGGGGCCGTAGTTTCCCATGTACAACTGAATAATAATCGGCTTGAACTTTTCTAGCCTCTCAGAATATTCCGAGCCAAGGAATTTTTCCTCATCAGAGCGAGGAAGCAAGTCGGCAAGATTCATGTTGAATGAAGCGTGTGCAATCGTTTGGCTAAAACAAAGGAAGGAATTTGCATCGGTAATGCTCCAGGAGAAGCTCTGCACATGCCTGCGGATGAAGGGTTCAATGCTGTGATGGGCGGTGGGCTTATAGGCTGCGCTCGCCTCACTTTTAGAAAAAGTTTGGGGCTGATTCCATTCCTTCACACTGGACGAGCCTGACGGTGCGCGACGAAGATGCCCAAATAAGGCGTCCAGCCCCCACTACCAGACTGCAATAGGAGTACCCGCAAGGCTAGTAGCTGTCCATTCATCTTTTTGCAGCTAGGTTGCCTTACGTTCCTGACACGAGGCAACAGGTATATGTATTCAGCGGGTCTATACAGTAGGCGAAGCACCTTGAAGAGCCCCTCGCCATAGTCCAAGAACCGACCCAGCCACAAACGCACAAAATCCTGTAAGAGCATCTAGGGGATGTGAAAAGGGGTAAAAATCCAACCTAAGTCACAGAAAACTTGGGCCTGATGTGCAACCAAGCTGTCTCTGGCTTGCTCTAATAGCTGTTTGATTATCGCGAACAGAAAAACCAGCAATATTAAACTCACCACTAGCCAGTGTTCACCGCTGCTCTGCAACTCCTCCGAAGCAACTACTGTCCTCGTCAGCTATCTACGCCCAATGAAGCCCAATCTCATGCTATTTGTGCCGCCCTGGTGCTACACACTGTGCTGTGCTGTAGTACATACCCCTCTCATGTCTCAGCTGAATTAGGCATCCGTCGAGAAATTGCGTGGCATACGGGCGCGCGGCTGAGCTACCTCGGGACATGTATCTTTTTGTAAACGTGAAGCGATTAGCAATTCCGCTGCCTCTTCCAGCACAACGTTAGAGGTACAAAAGTTAAATGGAAATATTTTAGTGCTATAGATGTGCCTCGTAATTACATCTGGGGCCTTGCCTATCAAGTACTGTATTTAAATAAATAGGCAATTTTTTAGGTGTCATATAATGGTAGCAATAGTACATGTAGGATTTCACACTTGAATAGCCCAATAATATCTTGCTAGCGATGGATAAAATCGATGTGCAGCGAGGTTGATAGGTGAATGATACACGTAAAACGATGATCGTAATGTAGTCTTGCAAACGTATAAATTCTTTTTATGTACTATTGCGCATTGTGATTATTTTGAAGGAATATGCTTATAATAGGAAAGTCACATACACTACTTCAAAGGGCAACGCAAACACACACTTGGCGAGTGTTGACAGATTTTGTGCAAACTTACGTGAATAGCGGTCTTCTGCACTTCCTCTGTCCAATGTTATTGCAAGGTATAGGTATTTAATATAGCCTAACTTATATTCACACATCTTGCTATTTGTATATTAAAGATATCTTTTACTGTTGCATGTATATGTATATGTTAGTATATGAAAACATACAGGTACCTCATCTTCCAATACACGTATTAGCAGCTATGCGACATATGGCAACACTTGATTTTTAGCTCCATATCCCGGCTGTCATGTCGTAGGTAATGGGCACGCAAGATGTGTCCGAGCGAATCGGCTTGCGCTGTCCCTAGCTGCACACCTTGATCCAATGTACAGCTACCTGCGTACAAAACCTCGCTAGCCAACCAGGATGGAGTTCCTGATCACTACAAAACCTCGCTAGCCAATCAAAGTGCTGGGTCTTAGATAAAGTGGGATTTCAGCCCCATATACAGTACTTGGTTTGAATTGCTTCTTCAATAAATTCAGACCATCCTGGAAGGGACCGCAAGACCATGAAAACCGACCCACCTACAGCCCCCGTTTTATCAGAACTTGGCTTTCATCTGCACCTGTTGACAGCAGGACTTTTTTTCCATTCATTCGCCCCTGTGACTTATTGCCTTGTTTGAGTGCCTAACAACAGTCTTATTCGCATTGTTAGCCTAAGTGTATTACTATAATCACTTAAGATGGCACTTTGCCTTATAGTATCTTGTTGCTACACCTCTTGGGCCTGCTTGTTGCTCCCTATGCGCCTCCTCTTCCTTCGCCTCCGCCTATATAACCTCTGCTCGTCCCTCTCATCAACATCATCCCATCTTCAAAGCATCTCAATTTATCAGTATCACATTGCCATTTGGAGGATAACACCGATACCAATTGACCTGCTCGATATTCATTTATTAAAAGCATCTTACCCTCACACTTTTTCTTTCACAATGCCATATCTCGAAACAACCAGCCAGCAGTCTGTGACAGAGAACTCGTTGTAAGTCACAATGGAGATGTTTCTTCTTGTCAACATTTATCATCTGCCAGCTTTTATGCCAAATCATCAAATGCATTACACTGAAAGCTTACTTTCTTCTTAACAAATTTCGTTTCACATTCACCTTCCCTTGTTTCCTCAAACTACAAGTTACAGTTTTTGGGCCAAGGTGCGCTTCCTTGTACATCGATTTCATATCTAATTGCCTTTTTTTATCATACTTTAGGGATGGGTCAGATTTATGGAGTACCACAGCAAGGAGTGGTTCTCCTCCTCCGATGCTACAAATCAATCGTCGTGTAGCTACTCAACCAAGCAGCGCAAGAACTACCCGTACACCGCAAAACGGCAGCGAAGACAAAGCTCAAGATTATCTTTTGTTGTGTGTTGGCTCGCAATTTTCTGCTGCTGGTATGTCATGCCATCTGTGCCATATTTCCTTAACTACCTAGAGAACAGGAGCTGATAGACACTGCTTTGTGTTAGATAACTCGACCAAGAACCTTGGTGTTTGAACTTAGACACAACGGCTGCTACGCTACCTACTCTACGAAGTCAAATATCACATACGAGCGTCGATAAAGACAATGGATATTATAGTCGACGCTGTACATTGAAGCAAGAATGAAACATTGTGGTTGTTGATTTGTGACCTGCATATGGGTATTTAGGAAGCCTCAAGTGGGATCAGCACTATCTACTTCATTTGTCAATAATGCATCTGATGGGACTCTGTCATTATATACATAACACAGATATAGTATCGTATAGAGGAATATTATCAATATAATGGCTGTTCGTATTCATTTATTGTTCATCTTTGTGAACTGTAATATCTATCTCGAACTCATTTGTATAGCGGTTACATTGAGCCTCTGAAATCATTTAGGATTTCAACATGGGAGGTCAGAATAGGGTTGGGATTATGGATGAAATTGGAATGAATGGGGCACTAGCACACAAGGGGCCGCTCTTAGTGAATGAACTTAACTTTTTGTTAACTAACATGGTGGAGTTTTTGTTTCGGTGGAGACTAGCAACAGTTGAAAGAGGCTGACTGAAGAGGAAAAGAAAGCGTATGAAGCGTTTGGGGACTAGCATGGATCGCTTCTCGGGTATTATATCTCCCTGTTGTCTACCTAACAGCATTGAGTTGCAATGCCTTCGAGACACAACCGAGACAATAAGACAGCTCTCAAATCCGCCAGTATCACAAAATTTAAGTGCAACCCTGTTCAATTATTGCACAACAATTTCCTCTCCAACTTATAGACTAAGCATCTGGGCAATTTGACAAAACATTCGAGAATGTAGTTGTTCATGTGCTAAACGAGTGCAATAATACCCAGCACAGATATTTTCCTTTCAATTTAAGCGCAGAATACTTCATCCTAGTTCAACTTAAAAAGGTCTTAAACATCTTATACTGTAATGCCCTGAACGGATAACCCCCCGCTCTCATTGGTAGCTTGAGCGCCAGTAGCCACTATAAAAATTAGTACCCAGCACCTAAGAAATAAGGCCTATAATGGGGTCCTGTCATACATGCACCCCATATTAAATCCAACAATGTGAAGATTCACGCAGAAATCTCATCCAATCGGCCATGAGACTCCAATTCAAATGCAAAACGATTAGGAACGCATCGCTGTAGATCTCGAAGATCACCACGCGATGCTCATAATGGCAATGGATAGAGATATTCTTTCTTTTTTTGTCTATTCATCGGTAAAGCCATAATCATCACCATCAGCGATGCAGAGACCGTTTACCGGCGCCGTGAGATGGCTGCTCCTCAGCGACCTCCACTTCAAACGTTATGACCTGGACCGGGTATGGAAGACGGCCCAATGGATTGTTTCCGAGGCGAAGCGGAACCAGGTCCAGCGGGTGGTGATTTGCGGCGACCTGCTAACCAGCCGCACGATGCAGCCGACGCACGTGTTGTCTGCGTGCTACCGCTTCATCAGCCTCCTCAGCGACGCCGTGCCGCGAGTGCACATCGTGCTGGGCAACCATGATCTCGCCTACCGCCGCGACTACCAGACCACGGCCCTTGATGCCCTCAATATCAGCCGCTTAGCTCCCTATGTATCGCTGCATAGCAGCATTGCCCGCCATGAATGGGACGGCCGGAGCGTCTTGCTGCTCCCGTTTCGCGAGGAGCAGGACGAGCTGGCCGAGGCTGTGGCTGCTCTTGGCCCCAGTGAGGCGAGCAAGACGGTTGCTTTCGCTCATCTCGCCATCAACAAGGCTATCACGCAGAGATACGTGGTTAATACTGGCATCAACAGGCCCTACCCGGCAAATTCCATCACGTATCGCGGCTTGACAGGCCCGGATCGGTTTGCCTCTCTGGCCCGAACATTCACGGGGCATTTTCACAGCCATCAGACCATTATCCAGAAACAACCCCGTCACAACAGCACGGTCGATATGAGAGGAAGCATCACGTATCTTGGCTCGCCCTTGCAGCTGAATTGGGCCGATCTCAATGACGAGCAACGAGGTGTCGTCTTGTTCAATCCGGAAACGCTCGAGCACGAATTGCTCACCAACCCGCATGCTGTTGACTATATAACGGCCGATATACACCAAGTTCTCGATGGCCAGATTGATAAGGGTACCGTCGAGGGCAAGCATGTCATGCTCCTCGGCGAGCTTACACATATCAAATACGTCACGGCTCGCGAAAAGCTTCTCTCTCTAGGAGTGCGAAGTGTGCGGGACTGGACCCCCGTGGCATTTGCTTTTCGAGCTGGATTCGGCGCATCGGTGCCAGCGAGTGATGCTGCTGTCCAGCTCTTGGAGGAGCCTACCAATGATGAGACTGGCCCAGACATGACAAGTGACGCAGCTTTGGATTCTAATCTTTACTCTGAGCCACGAGCTGGAAAACTCGATCTCGCTGGGGAAGTTCGTAAGTATGTCGAAGCATTGGACCTGAACGGGTCTCTTCTCCTGCGACGAGACGAGTTAACGCGGGTTGGCCAGCGAATAATCCATGCCTCCCGCGAGATCGAAGACCAGGATAGCGAGGCTGAAGTTAGCCACCGAGACTTCCTCGACGGGTTGACTCAACCTACTGATACAAGGACCATTACCGAGCCATCGACTGACGTCTTCGTGGCTGAGCCGCGTAGGCTCACTATCACCAACTTTCTTGGCGTGCAGACCACTACCACCATTGACTTCCGACAAGATCTTCCGCGCGGACTGACCTTTTTAGTCGGAAAAAATGGGTCTGGTAAGAGCACAGTCGTCGAGGCGATGGTTTGGTGTCAGTTCGGACAGTGTGTTCGCAGCGGATTAACGGTCAACGATGTCGTCAATGACCAAGTGGGCAAGGACTGCTCCGTTGTGCTGGAGTTTGCCAATGGATACACGATTGCACGATATCGCAAGCATAAAATCTTTGGCAACCGCATCATCGTTTCATTGCACGGTGAACCGCAGCCACAATTTGAGCATCCAACCGCGCGTACGACTCAGGAGGCTATTAATGACCTGCTTGGTACTGACTATAAGACATATGTCAGGACGGTTGTGCTAAGCCAGGAAAGCGCAACAAGCTTTCTAAACTCGACATTAACGCAGCGGCGTGACTTTATCGAGGCATCACTCGGGCTGTCAATATTGGATCAGTGCGGGCAGGTATCAAAGCTGCTGCTTAGGGATATCGACAACGATGTAGACAAGTCGAAGGTGGAGCTAGACGGTTTGACCCAGACTAAAGGATACGTTGAACATCGGATCAAAGAACTGGATCAAACTCGAAAGCAACTCGAAAAAGAGGCAGCGAAGGTGGTTGCATCTCTAACAACGGCAACCCAAAAGCATACAGATTCCACATCAAGAATCGATGAATTAAGGCCCTTTGACGAAGAGTACGCGCTATTTGAACATGATCAATGCGTGGCTGAGACAGAAATTGTAGGTCGTGGGCAGCAAATCTCGGCCGCAAGCACGAGAGCTCAGGGTTTTCCAAAGTTGAGCCAGTCCGCTAAACTCAACATAAACTTTGACGGTGAGATTTCATTGTTGCAAGATCAAATATACAGTGAGCAGGAAAACTTGAACCGCATAGAGAAACTATTCGCTCAGATACAGGCGCAGAAGCTTGTCAAGCCGGCGTCATGGCTTGGCCAATTGCAACGGCAAACAAGTGAAAGACTTAGCGCTATGACGGCAGCTCACCCCGTAGGCGTATATAAGATCTTACACGCCATTAAGATTTCCATGCTTTACTTTCGATTGATAGCCATTGGGGGGCTTTTCCGCATAACCGGGATTACAAGCGGTGGCTCTCAAGTAACAAGCGCCCAAGACTACAGCCAAAAGGAGGCAGCCATCAACAGTCTCCGTGGAGATGTCAAAAACAGCGCATCACGACTGCAATCCCTGAAGCACAAAACAGACAAAGTCATTGCTTTGGAAACCAGTGCAATCAACTACACTCTCATGATTAAGGAACAGCTCGCGCAGATCATTCAGGGCCAAAAGGTATGCGAAGCCCTGAGGCAACGAGTTACGCTTAAGCAGAGCGAGATAGACACCTACAGCGGCTTGTTAAAAAAAGAGCAGTCGCATTTGCACTTGCTAAGCTCAGAATATGACGCATTAGATACCAAACTCAAAGATCTCAAAGCTGATCGCGAGATTTTTGCATTTTGGTCATCTGCCTTGGCAAAGCGCCCCCGTCGCGCCTCTTCATCATCATTGAGTAGATCTACAGCAAAAGCAGCAACCAATTTCCGCGAGATCGCCCTCGCGAAGTCGCTGTCGGAGCTGAATGCGCGCCTTGTGCAGGTCCTCACAGTGCTCTACGATGATACCCAACGCGGGCGCGTTATGGCAGCGGGAATGCTGCGCTCGCTGTTTGACGCTGACTCTGTTGACAGCATGATGGATACATTCATATCCTCCCCAAGAGGGGTCCAAACTTCGCTCGCCTACGGCAAACAATCGGGTGGCGAGCGCAAACGTGTCGACCTGGCGCTCTATTTCGCATTATTGCAGCTTACGTGGTCTAAGAGCGCACATCGCGCACATTATGTCTTCATCGATGAAGTATTTGACAATCTGGATGAGGCAGGCCAAGCGGCTGTAGCTAAGTGGTGCGGGCTCATATCGCAGACGGTGGCTGATTGGGTCTTGATGATTACGCACAGCAGATTCTTGTCCGAGCAAGATCCCGGGGAATACGCGGGCAAAGTTTCAGTTGTCAGAGCAGAGAAAGGACAGAGGGGAGCGGAATTGTACACTGATGGACGGAGGATTGGTGTCCACGATGGGGACTCTTAAACCCAGAGATGGTTGTCATATTCTTCACTTTTAAAAAAGGGTGTGCTATTTGAACTTGCTGAGCCTTCTATAGAGTCCGGTGTGCAGCAAGTCAGAAAGATTCCAGCATTGGCCAATAGAAATCAAGCATATTCGGGTTTCGATCAATCGACCCTAAGTGACAATAGATCGTAGCACAGACTCCTAACCCGGGCTTCATAATAACAAGGGTATTTACTAGTATTACAACTTATCTGCCGTAGCTTGGCTCAATTGCTTCTTTCGGATTTCTTTTTCCGGCACAAATATGAGGTAGCAACAGCTATTCATGCCTGCCTGCGTACCATTTCCAACGCGATCATTGGATAGCTCTTTTTACATTGTTAGCCTCCTTCGAAACCAATAGAAGGTCTGCAGTACGCGGAACGCCATCGGCGTACGGAAAATGACCGCCGTTGCAGATACCGCTTCGGCGAGGCATTTGGCCGATGTATTCAAGCAGCGGGCAAAGCTACTGGAAGTGCGCAATCCGAGTGTATGCCACGCCCTTGGAGATAGTCGTGGATGAATGAATCAAACGTTGGTTCCACGGGGTGTGTGATCATTTCCTGAAGCATGAGCTGTTGGGTTTTGGAGGGGTGTACTTACTGCTCACCGCTTGGCACTGTATGTACCCAAATAAACCGTGTTGTGCCGTTTAGCAGCTCCCATACAAATGCACGCAATTCTCGTGCTGCAGCTGCAGTTCTCCATCAGATGTACGGCGAGGCATTGCATCGCCGCTTATAGCAGCAGATCGGCGGTGTTTCTTGTCCCCCACCGGCCAGGCTGCTGTCTTCTTCTAGAATATACAGTGCGAGTGGCACACTACGACGGTGAAATGCGGAAGCCCAGATGAGATGACACGTGCCAGCCATCCACCCCACAGTTTCTGGTTGCATGTTGTGATAAGGGCAGGAAGAGTGACACCGAAATGGCTAAGGGGTTGTCTCAGACAGACTCCAAGTATTACTGCACATACAATCTTACTAGGGAGTAGTATGCATGCATGCAGCCTGCAGAAGTTTTTCGCACTGGCTTCGTGCAGTGGATTTGCTCACTTCCAGAAAAAGCACTTTGCCCCTCATCTCCTTTGTGCCATTGGTTCGATCAATATGCGTTTTTGCTTCAGCCCATCTGGCCATCCCATCCGCCATCCCATCTACCATCCCATCCGCCATCCCATCCGCCATCCCATCTCTTTTCTCATTGCCCATGTTGCCTAAATCCGCTCATGCCCTTCACTATTCTAGCATGTTATATAGATAAGAATATGAATTGGCGTATGCTGAGTACATGCATTCTCACATTATATAAACCTGTTCGCCTCCCACCTCGCCAATGAATTATCCAATATCAAACTCAGTTGTCCTACATCCCAACGAGAACTTCGCTTGCTACTCTTTCAAGTGTCTCTTCTACTTACATCTCAAACTAACCCTGTCCATCACACTCCGTCAATATGGCAAACTTGGCCGTTGCTACCACCTCCATGTAAGTTGTGCTTATTTTTATTTTTATTGTTGTTAACTACTCAATATCTGAAGAGTTTCTTCCGTGCCTATAATTTCTCAAATTCCTGCTGCCAATATTCCATCTCTTTCCATCATTCACTATCCAGCCCTACCTTCGTTGTCCATTGAGCAAAGTTACTAGTTTACTACCAAACATAGATCCTAAAGGAAAAGAGGCGATTTATCATCCTCTCCTTACCTAATGTTACTGCAACTCATCTCACTGAATCTTTTTCTTCAATCTAGAGGCGTATCAGATACATGCAGCCATAAAGCAAGGAGCGGTTCTCCCCCTCCAGCACTTCAATCGGATCAGGGTGAAGCCATTCAAAGCGATGGTCCCCTTCCGATTGAGGTATCACGAGACGAAAACGATAAGACTATCCAGAAAAACGCTCTTCTTGGAGTAGGCTCTCAGTTTTCTACTATTGGTATGCACTTTGGACCATGTACACATATCCATCACCCATAGGGAATCGTCTAACACTCATTTGAATGCACTAGACGACCAGGTCAGGAACAAAGGTCTCCATCTGGATTTAGAACTCTGATTGCTGTTTATTATTCAATTTCTACCATATGCATGAATATTTTTGATATGAAAACAGCTTATGCCATGATCAAAATATTTCCGCCTCGAAGGGAGATGATAGGTATCAATGTTATTGTTTTTTAGCATAGCGATGCATACCATAGAGGCAACTTTATATATGAAATATATTACTTCGATTCTGTAAAAAGAGTTCATAATTTGCCCGAGATACCCGAGTTACTACCATATAAAAATCAGAATGCACCATACATCCAATACCATTATCCGTCAGCCTCCATTGACGACGGCCTGCATAGCAGTCACAAAATACCTTGAATTTTTTTTTTTTTTTTTTTTTTTTTTTCAATTAGGTATACCTCCGTCTCTATACTAACTAGACGTTCGTTTAATCGATATTTACGAACTGTAGTTTCATTCACAAAAGAAGTTCAACGACAAAAAAAAAGCATCAAACGTAAAAGACGCTGCAGATGAATTAGGTTGTTAGCAAAAAAGAGAGCAAAAAAAGTGACAGGGGGCTTAACACGTAGGCTTTAGGCAAACAGCGCACGTGCATTAGCGCATTAAATCCTACAAGCAGCATCTCTCTACCTTAAACCCGTGCCAATTGCCAATTGCCAAATGCAATCCAGCCGTCCCCCGTTAGGCTTGTTTTCGCCACGGCGGCCTTCTAACCACGCCCCTCATTGGTCCACCAGCTGGATCCCGGAAAAGGCGCCGCAACTACTTGTGGGCCTATGCCACAGCACAGACTCTTCTTCGTGGGGAGGACGCAATATGCACATGGCAAAACCCTCATCTAGAGCTTCTGAGCCCATAATCCGACTCGATCAATGAAATCCATACACCGCCTAAGAACCCTAGTCAAGCATACTGGTATAGCCGCCTATTATGCACAACGCTCGACTACTATCGGTGACCCTGTGTGAAGAGAGGCGAGGGGATACAAGCACCGGCATGTCATTTGCGTAGTCTTGCAAGTGTGAAGCATAAATAAGGGCCGTGTCATCTGATCTATGAGAACTGCGCCCTCCTGACTCCGTATTGTAGTTCCTATGAATACGTACTCGACTAGAAGCTTATATCTTATTAGACATCTAGTAAAACAACGATCCCTAGTTGTCTGTAGCATCTTGCAAATCATCTTTACCTCGCCATGTACCATTAATTATTAACATCGATCAAAGCATTCTACCGGTGAGAACAATGGCATCTCTTACCCAGGCTATTAACCTGATGCTATGAGCTTGCGCCCCTCCAAAAAAGTCTCTAGCAGTGAAGAAACGAAACTCATCACATGCTTGCCTCGCTCACGATCGGAACAACACTTTTATAATGACCTGCCAGGTCCTTCCTAGGAAGAACTCCAAGAGAACTGTCGTCTCTATATAGCTTTAAACGTACCTTCACTCCACCCATACGTCCTCTTTAGCCGACGCGCGAATATGGGGATCAGATATCCTTCTATCCGAGACTTGTGAGGCCGGTGCACAGTAAACGACTTTTTGACGTTCATGCTATCAGGCGGAGAAAACGTGTAAACAGATCCATACTTCGGCACGACAGAAAACCCTAGTTCAGCCATAGCACTTTCGAATGCGCCCCAACTGATTGAGCCTCGGGCCTCGGACTTGTTAAAGAGCGTCGAAAATACTTGGCTCACCGGCTGGCTGACCTTGAATACCTGCGTTGACTCGACGGGTTCTTCTTTGGGTACCTCGGGAGCTTGTAAAATCTCAAAGATCGTTGACTGACAAGGACGGGTCTTTTCTTTGACTTTTCTCTGCTCCACTTTTTCGCCTGTAGACTGAGGAGCTGCTATTGGAAGCGGTATGTCTTCCTTCTTCTCCAACTTTGCTTTCGTTGCCCGATACTGGTTTTCAAGATCCGCTAAGCAATCCTCCATAAGATCTTGGTACAAGAATCCCATCTTCGAGCCAGTCTTGCTAACCACAAACTGGTCAAGTTTGGTCAGAGCTCCGTTCGTCATTCCAGGCTCTAGAAGATTATCAATTGGCACCGCAAACTCTCGCAAATCGATTTCGCCTCGGAGCTTATTCAATTCGACATCCAGCTCTTGGGACCTTGAAACAAACATCTGTCCCTTTTTGCGAGAAAGGGCCGGCATCGAGATGACTGGCGACACATCTTGGATAAATGCCGTGATTACAATCAAATCTCCCAACGCATCAATCTCTCTTTCCTGTAGAGTTTCCCGATCAATGGGATGAGATTCATACAGGTCGCTTAACTTCTTGATCCAATCAACTGCTTTACTCGCATTAGTCTGGGATTGACATAGGCGCAAAACATAGTGCAACGCAGGATCAGTTCTGGTCAGCTCTTCAGGCTGAATCTTCATGTTGACCTTTGCGTTACCGGCATTGTCGTAAGAATTGGCAATACGCTTGAAATGCTTCGCGCCTATGCCTGTCTGCACATGCCTGGTGAACTGAGCTTGAGCACGGCTGTACTCTAGATGGCAAATATTCGAAATCTCTTGGAGAATGATTGGTCGGTACACTTTATCAGCAGTCGCATCCTTTAAGAGACCTAGAAGACGACATATGTAATTCCATACGGTGGCACCTTTGATGGCGCTGTGAACTGCTTCGAAGAATGCACTACTGATGTGCTTATCAGAGAAGACTGGTAGGTGACGACCTTTGTCGTCTATGACCAGTTCAGGCCGGCTGAAGAACCTCATGTTGACAGCATGAGCGAGCACAACTGGTTCAGCAGAGAGGAGACTCAAAAATTCCTCAAGGTTGTCTCTCTGATCTTGAGCGCTGGATATCAAATCAGGGAGAGAAAGCTTCTTCGGTCGCTCTTGGATCGTCAGTTTCGAGAGAGCGGCCGACGCCGCTTGTTCAGATTTCTTGGACCGCTCATTTTTTGACCTCGTTTGAGAGCCTAGGTCGAGGATATCCTCAATCAGGATATTGAATGTCTGGAAAATCACGAGTTGTCTCTCTAGAATAAGTTCCCCCGTCGACTGAGGAAGACAAAGACCAGCTTTAATTGCTGACGAAAAAGCAGCCAGCGCTTCGTCATGGCGGGATACAATTCTTAATGAACTTCCATATCGGTCGTCCATGAAGAATGTGTAGCTATCTTTGAACGGGTTGACATGGCGAAGATTCTTCTTCAGCATCATTTCCAGAATGAAGTTTCGGTCGCCTGGTTTGCCGAGGGCGCCATCGCAATACTGTTGGAAAAGGGACGTTGTGGCGCGATGTTTAAGGTGAGCCAGTAGAAACTCGGGCTCCGTTGTGATGTCCTGCAAATTCAACTCCGGGACAATTTTACAGACATTGCCCAAAGTTGCGTCCAAGGAATGCGCGAGCACTTCTCCATTTGCAGCGCCAGCCTTGAGACATTTCGCTCGTTGGTCTTTGCTGAAAGAGCGCCATATGTCCTCGATTTTGGAGGCATGAGCCTTGTACTTCCAGGCGAGGTCGCTATGAAGCTCTTGCAGCGGCGAGGCATTGGAGCTGGGATCCATAATGTCAGCTGTGAGGTACCAGGATGCCTTTTCCGTATATCTTGCCACTGTACAGGCATGCCAAGAGTTTCGATTGATCAATATTGTGGGTGGTGGATTTGCAGCAACTGTCGAGTATTTTATTGCCAGCCAGTTTGTGCGGGGATCACGTGGATCGGTTCATATTTTATGGGGTCATCCGGGAGACAGCCAAATGCCATAGAGGCCATAGTCCAATACATTTGTAGCAGAATTAGGCAGCGTTATTACAATATTTACTCTTTGCTATTCCAAGAACTTGAAGCCATGAATGATGTCGGTTTTTACATGGAGTATGAGGTGGTTATAGCTGTGTGGAGCTTGCGTGGAGCCAGCGGGACCCCGGCGACTCCCTAGCGACTCCTCCGGCGACCCTCCATCGATCCTCCATCGACCCTCTGGCGAACACGATCAGATATATACATATATATATAAACGAGAGCTTGCATTCCTTTTGCTACAAAAACGCAGAGATAAATGCAGATGAGCCCATAAATTGCAGTATAGGCATAAAATCAATGGCAATATCATAGTGCTAACTAATGTTTGTCCCCAACATACACCGCGGATTTGACGATGTGTGCATCACTGGCAATATTTCGTCAAGATTACAATGTATATTTAGTTCAGAGGTGCATACTTGATTTATTGCCGTTGGGGATATTACGCATAACTACTACTATTATTTTCACAAAAAATATGAGGAGGAGGGAACATGCTATGAATCCACATTTCTTCTCTACCCTTTCGCTAAATAGTGTTCAGGCTGTGGATGCCGCAGCCATCACTCGTGGTCCTCTCCTATGCTAGAGCCCCCTTTACGTGCAAGATCAATCGCTAACATAACCTCTGTTTTTTTCATTCAGGAAACAAAGTCTTTTCAACAAGAAAACCGAAGAAACCATTCCACAGACGATCTCAAGCCAGATGCAAACTTTCATTTCCAACATAGCCTTCAGCCTCCAGTGGAGTTCTACCTAGTCAATGAGTTTCGCAACCGTTTCAAATGAGAGAAGATTTTTTCTGAAGCGCTCTCGAATTCTTCAGCTGGGATGCTTCTCATATAATCTCTTTTATGAACATTATCTTCTGTTCCTTTATATCGTCGCAGATATAGCCCAGGCCACAGGCAGCAAGGATATATCTCCAGTAACGCCCAAGCAATAATCGTGATAGAGCCTTGATGATCCATGTTGGTGCATACCGGGTCTGTATAACATCTTCCATAAATATTAAACACATCTCAAAGAAACTCCTCCTCCATACTCATAGCCGGAAGCCCCCCAAAAAACATGGCTATGGTCGAGGGTTCCAAAAACGGAGGCGCCTTGGGTGTGCTTGTTCTTTCCGTCTTCATCCTCAAGGCCTTCCGCATATCCTTATCACTCAGGCTAGGGCCTCCAAGATGGGCCATGCTGAAAAGCGTCATCCATTCGGGCCCCAGCAAGGCTGCGAGATGCTTCTGCTCAAAGCTCCCCAGATGCTTGCTTGCTTCGTTCCGTCGTTCTCGCCACGCTTGACGATACCGCGAAAGCATTTTCGTCCGGGACTTTGTCACGGTCAACTTCTGCTTCTTAGGTGACCCCTCGAAATTCATGCGCTCAGTGTAAACGTCGGCGTTGGCTGCGCAAAGTTCTTCTATGAGATGTTTGCACCGCCGCTTATTTGCAGAAAAATGACCGACTTTCAGTGAGGCATCGGCCAAAAAGACACTGAGCCCCTTACAATCGGCACAGCTGCAGTCAACTCCGTCTTGCGCGAGACTAGGGCGCCGGGGCCACTGCCCCACATATATATCGAGATAGGCTTTGATCAAGGTATAATTATTTTTGCGCCAAAGCAGTGTGTTGGGATCTTTGGACTTCTCGAGAATGAGACGTGTCATTTTGGGCGCCATTCCCTTCAGAACAGGAATCCACAAAGTGTGAAAGTCAGCGATGGATATCTGCGGTGCCACCTCACCCATCTTGGAAAGAGCTAGTGTGAATATGTCGTCGTCCTTTGTGCTTATATCCATGGTTTTCTGTATCCAAAAGCTGAGAGCCGTGTAGTGGATTTGCGTTCCCTCAACCTCAGTCGTTGCCCTGCCACCCAGCGATGCATATTGTTCGTATTGTTGGTATGCTTGGCGGTTATGCACATGGTATCCAAAGGGATCAAAGTTAGGCTCATCTAGGTCCATATGAGGGTCAAACATGTAATCTTCATCGTCGGAAGGCCATGCGAAATCGTCATCGGAGCCACCATCATCGGACTCATTTGCGTCCATGGGCTCGCCAAAAACAAATTCACCAAGCCGGCTGAGGAAATTGGTCCCAGTACTCTCATCTTTCTCCATACCATGCATCTGTGTAAATGCTGTTGAAGTTATAAAAGCCTTGGAAGCCTTCCGGTACAATTCCTGTGACTTTTCGTACGATATGTAGTCATAGCGGCCGAAAAGGTCTATTTCACTCATAAACCCAACGAATGCGTCGGGTTTATTTCCTGGATCAATTTGACTCTGTCTGTATAATGTTTCAGATCAGCTCATAGCGCGCTAAAAGGGTAGAAGAGAAGGAACCAGAGGTCCGACATACACTTGCGATATAATAGCAAACGGATCGTCAAAGTACAAAGAAAGCTTAACTAATGCTTCTCCATCTCTTCGGTCAAGCTTTTTAGACCCACAAGTTTTGACAGACTCTTGCAGAACTTGGCGAGCCCAGCGAATGAGGGATTCAGGGGGGAAGGGGACCAGCCGGCCTGAGTCTGCTATGAGAATGGGAAACAAAGTCTCTACCGCTCTGACTTGCTGCTTGGGTCGGGGGTAAGAGAGAACCGCGGCAGACAGCCTACAAGTGTTAGTGTTGAGAATTCTGTGTCTCGCAATAACATACATACCCTTTCTCGAGTGGCCTAAACCATTTATCAATGTTTCTAGTGCTGTTGTGGAAATGCTCAGGCACCCAGTTGAAGAAAGACGTTGGCAAAGATCCCTCATGGGCAGCAGCTATTTTCTCAAACCATGGGTACCACTTCAACTGGATTGTGGCTCTCAGAACGTCACTGAGGTCATTGTTCTGGAATACTGGCTTCTTTAAAGACTTGATTTGCTTCTCTCTATCAGATGAGTCCCACATAAGCTCACATAGTTCTTTGAACGTGGAAAGCGAACTCTTCGAGTGCTGATTAGATACGCAGGTTCTGGCATAGTAGCCAAGTAGCTGTGGGATTTGTTCCACTGCTGGAGGAGAATTGTCGCTGCTACGCTGGAGGAAAAATGGTAATATCGCGTCGGAAGGGACAACGACAAAGAACTAGGCAAACTTGTTAAATATGTTCATGGGACACGCGTAAAGGAGAGAACTTACTGTCATACGACCTTTTCGTATCAAAGATGGGGCCTAAAAGGAAAGTTAGCAAATGTAGCCTAACAGACAGGACAGTGAAGGGTTTCAGTCTTGCTTCGGCGCTGAAGTTTGGATTTGCAATATAGACATACACCTTGTTCTTCAGATTCCCATTTAATACCATCGAAGAACCCTTCACGGACGTGGGCCTTGTCAAGGTTGAGACTTTTAGTCACGAAACGCCCATCCAGGTCTACCAGCTTTGTGATGCAAGCGCCTCCTTTTATCTCTTCATAACTGTCACTATTTTCAAGCTTCTTCTGCTCTTGTTCAATGTGCCCAAGGTACAATTTGAAGGCAAGTTTTTCAGATAATCTTTTAAGAACCTGAATCCGGCCTTCATCCCCATGTGTCAGCTCTCTGAAACGTAGCTTGCGCCCCTTATAGTCACGTTCGAACGGGTAATAAAGGGCATTCCTCCCACGAGATTCAACATTTCCAGCAAGCCATCGCTTGAGAGTATGGCGGATTGCTCGCGTTTCATCCCGAACCAAGAGAGCAGATTCACCTATATCGCTCCTTACCGGAACGCAGCTGAAGACTATAACCAGGGCGTATCCTGATTTGACGGGCTGCGGTTTAGAATCCGGATACCAGGAAGCAAAATGCTCTTCCGTCTTACTGGGATTGAAAACAGTCTTTTCTTGACCGCGAAGCTTGACTACAATCTCGCCGCCCTGGTGATCTGCGGAGGTAAGATATATCATGATATGTCCCGCCCCGTTCGGAAGATAATGACTGGCACATCGTCAAGCCTTGAGTACATAAAAATGGACTATGGTAGAGACTACTCACCAATCAACAGTGCATCCCTTTTCCAAAAGGAGCACTGCGCTGGGCGTTGCGCAAGTCGTGTCTATCCAGTCCTGGCCAAAGTAGCCAAGACCAGGAGCAATGTGTCTATATAAGGCTTTAAGGCGGCTTCCCCACACACTGTAATCCAATTTGAACTGTGTGGGATCCAGCTTCCACGGATCATTGTGACCGAGACTTTTGTATCGCTTAGCTTGGCCCATAATCTGGCGCGCTTGTATCTCACCAAGCGGCAGAGCAATATCACCAACGTGGTATACAGAAAGGCCGCTGCGAGAAAGGTCGGGTAGCGTAAAGTAGGATGTAAGATAGCCCGGCGTCTCGAAGACCTGCAGGGCCTCCCAGAAATCAGAATCAAGCGTAGAAGCCTCGACGCTGCGTTCGCTCACAACACTCTCCGCGTCGTCGCCGTCGCCATCGTCGGGCTCCGGGCGCGAGACCGCGTTTGGCGGCTGTGAGAGATGGCTAGACATTGAATCTCGCTGAGCCGCTGCAATCTAGGTAGTGAATGAAGGCATGCAGCATTTGATGCAGCGGGCATGGATTGCAAAGAACAATGTTGATGGGATACAAGACACAAGAGGGGCAGCATGTTTCACAGAAGAGACGTGCTCGGTGTATGCAAGGCCTTGCAGTAGCATATGCACTGACAGCGTGACTTTTCATGGGTGGAAAGCTGTAGTAGTACCTACATGCCTACATTGAGTAGGTACAAGTACAACGACATGTTGTTTCTGCCAATTTCTGCCTAAGGTAGCAACAAGCAACTCTGCCAAATGGCTTGCATGGATTGCATGTTACAGGCCATGTTAATATAAAAGCAGCACCCAAGGGAGCACAGGCAGCATCACCGACAAATTGTCTTTGTAGGACAATGCAGTACAAGCGGTGTAGCGCTATTACCCCTGGAAGTGTTTTTAGTTCTATTGGCCCTACCAGTGGGCGGCCTGTTTTTTTTTTTTTTTTTTTTTTTTATAATAGATCCATAAGAGGGCGATTGCTGGTGAGAGGTTTGGTAATACTTACGGGCGAGTAGTGATTCTTGCCTTGCTGAAAAGACAAAGGCTTCAAATGGTATTACCAGGCGTTAAGCTCTTCATATATCTCTTGCCAGAAATGGGCTCCTACTCCAAAGAGTACGCACGTGTAGCCTTATCAGCCTTGAGAAGGATTATCTGCTCATGCCCATCTGCACTGAATCACGTCGCCGACAGTGCAATTAAAGCAAAAAGAAACGAGAGTCAATTATATCCAATGAACGAAAACCGGGACTCGTTATGAGCGCTTCAGCGCCGTTATAAGTTGTAATCGAAGCGACATGCTTGCGCGGGGATTGTGGGTATTTATATAGTAGCAGTAAGACCCTGTTGGAACAAAATTAAGTCATTCAATCGAGATGCATACTAGCAGCTCATACAGTATTACTACTTCGCCACCGTTTTACAATATCTAACATTAACTCAATACTTTGCAACTCGCAAGAATATCTATATATCCCGACATAGGTACTGTTTCATTCTCATACTGTTTATTTGTAGCTAGCTACCCATGAAACTCCCACTCTTTTGAACTTTCAACCGTCGCATCTCATCACGCTCTCCACTACAGCCATTCACAGGCAATCGCTAAAATGAGCTCAGATCCTAGTCGAATCGGTGCTCAGACCTTCCGTAAATCCAGATCTGGATCCACAGGGATAAGGCACATCGTGAAAACGATGCGTTTAAATACAATTTTGCAGAGTGCCGTAGCTTAGATTAGAAAGCTGCAGAGTACAAACTCAACTACTACAAAGTAAAATGGGAAGAATTTTAGTACAAACAACTTAGTTGCTTGATACCTCGTAAACCAACGTCGAAAAAAAAAAGGACGAAATTAACAATTTGATGCATCGGGCCGCTACTTATTCAAAGGTATTGCTTGAAATTTCCTCCCCACCCTATTCGAATTGTTTAATGAGATTGATTCCTGTTTTGCAATCTCAGATTTGTTGAACTCACCAATATACCCAGCGCCTCACTCAAGACTCGCCAACATCCTCCCCCAAGCCAGCCACAGGCCAGCCACATGCCAGAAAATCACTTCCTATTGCACTCCAAGTTCGACAAGCTGTCACCACGCGTCAGCCCGCGGCTCAAACCGGCAACAGATCATCAATGACGCCCAAGTCGTGTCATCCATGGTGGGGAAGTCCCCCGTGGAGCAAAACTTGGTTACAAAAGACCTTGTGCTATCACTGCGCAGGCAATAGTAGCACTATATTTCCCGGTTTTTGGCACTAACACTACGCAACTGCTACAGCCATCCTTTACGTTTTAGTTTATGCTTTCCACGGGCCACGATGCATTGGCATTTCCCAGCCCCAATGAACAGGAGGCTTAATTAATTTACTTAATACAGACGGTGCACATTCTAATCGATAGAGCGTGCAGAAAATAGCTGTGGAGGCTTGGATCCTTCCACCACTGAAGCTATCACAACGTCATTGTTCCATGCCATGGCTGTGACGTCATGAAGATGACCTCTTGCTGCGCAGAAGCTCAATAAAAAGATTTTATTTCGCGATAACCTCTCCTGTCTTCTTTTTGTATTATCTCGTGCTTGTGTCCAATATCCTTAGTTAATAGCAGCAATAGCTTTAATCTGCTGTGATACATTTCCCATCGAAACCACCAGTAAGTGTGCTGTAGCGGCCCTCTCTCGCCATCAACAGCAGCAACACCACAACACCAACAAGACTCTAACGCATAGTCTGTGTCTCAGTCAGTCCACCACCCACCATGCCTGCAATGAACGACTGGCTCCGCGAAGACCTCCTCGGCAAGGAGCGCGACCTCTGCACCGCCATCACCTCCGCCAACCCAGCCGCCGCCGTGCTCAAGCTCTGCGCCCCCGACGCGGCCCTCATGTTCCCCAAGATGGACATCATCTCCCCCGAAGACGAGGACGGCTTCAAGGACGCCATGCGCGCGCCTTTCCACCGCTTCGACGACTTCGACACCGAGGACATGAAGGCGCACTTCATCGGCCTCATGGGCGGCGTCGTCACGTACAAGATCCGCGCGACCAGGGGCAAGGAAAAGTACAACGCTACGGCCTCGTCGACCTGGAATCAGGGCGCCGATGGAGAATGGCTGCTCGTTGCTCATTCGGAGACGCAGCTGTGAGATTTTTTTGGAAAACCAGGTGTTAACCCGTTTGGTCGTTTGACGGCGCAATTGCATTTATAATCATTTGAATGAGTTAAATATATGACATTTACGACTTTTGATGCTCTTTCATCTCATTTCAATAAGCTACCTCTGTATACGATAGGATGAGCCATTGACATCTGCATAATAGCTTCAATAAGTAGCCTGCAATCTCATCCGTATATACTCCATCGCATTCACCGGTTCATACTTCTTCGGCCTGTCCGGCCCCCAACAGCCAGGCACACAATCCACCGTCTTTTCCAAGTCCGCGCCAACAAAGTACACCACCGAGTGTCTTGCTCTAGTCATTCTGTGCTTCGTCGCAGCCTCGTCCTCATCCGCCGCCAGTGGCGGGGCCTTGACCCGGTGCATCGTCGACTTCAACTCGTCGTTGCTCCAGCGCATCAAAAAATCCGCAATATTCACCACGGCCGTGTTGGGTATATACGGTGCAGGGATGAATTTCCCCTTCTCGTTGACATCCTCTACCTCGAGCCCCCCAACATCGTCCTGGAACAGCATCGTGATAGTGCCATAATCCGTGTGTGCGGCTATCCTCTCTGCTTTACCCTGTCGAAGAATGCTCTCCTCAATGGGCGGATAATGCAGCAGCCGAATCTGGTTATCCTTGTTCTTGTGAAATCGTATGAAATATTCCTCTTCAAGCCCCATTCCCAGTGCAATAAGTCTCAGTATCTCCAGCTCAGCATCATAGCATACCTCATAAAATTTGGTAAAAAACTCGCGAAACCCCGGGAGAATATCTTGAGGCGGCCAAACATTCGGCAGAGATGCCTTCTCGTCGTCACGGCCAATCTCATACGACTCTTTCACATCGGGGACGCTTCGCGCGGCTGAAATAGACTCTTCGTCAAAGATCATCTGGGAAACCTTCTCGCGGCCCACGCTCGAGTAGCCGCGGTGGTGCCACGACTCTGATGGGCGAGGTGCCTTATCTTTGTCTGTTTGCGGCATGTCGAAGAATCTATGGTTCTTTATTTTATGAGAATTAGCCAGGTTTTCCTCCATCATTCCAACCGACTATTCCGTGAAGCGGATGCTTTTGGGTGGGTGAGGGTTGAGAATGACAAGTAAACGACATACCCAGACGAAAGCCTCATCAACAACTTCCTGAGGCACTCCATGATTCCTCACATACGCAAATCCAACATTCTTAAATGCCTCGTAAAGCTCCTTCGCAACTCTTCGCCTATCCTCTTCAGAGCCCGTGTGGGCAAGGGTAAAGTCAACCACCGGGATACTCAAATGCTGGTCAACGCTGTTTGCCATGTTTTTCCTATTTGACGTTTAGTTAGTTTGTTTTTAAAGATAAGAGGTCCCAAAAGACTTCGTTTCACTTTTATAGAGTTCTCTCCCTTGATAAGCTTTTTCTCCCTGGTTCGTAAAAAGTGGAAACGCCGGGATTGAGGGAGAAAAACTGTCTTAAAAGTGCGGCCATGTTTCCGTGATATTTGCGGCGGTAACGTCAGAATTAATGCCTTGTGTATTTCTGCAGCGTAACACTTGTGCCGCTGTTATGAACAACGTGTCACCTTGATTACTCAAAACTCAGAAGTATACTCTAGCAGACTGAAATAATGTAGGGCGGACCCTGTGGCAGATCTACATATGATGTTTCATTTATCAAAACAACTAGCTCTATTGACACATTTGGTAAACTCTTCCTTGGTATCTAAAACACAAAATCCAATAAATCCAAAACACGCCTTGCCGTCGTTCCAGCAACAGCTTTCATGGGGACGGTTCCTTCTATAGACATTTTGGTGAAAAAGAGTCAAATATTGGCGCCGCGTTACAATTCTTCGTGCTCTCCAAACGGTACCCGTGCCTCGGGCGGCAGAGTCAATTTAGTCGAGTAGGTATTCAGCCCTTGTCGTATTCCTAATTCTCGACCTATGTAGAAGAGGTATTCCGATGCGGTAAGTCGCTGTTCTGGTCGGCAGATGTCCATGACATATACGCAGATAAGGGGCCATATGATCCGTAATGCATCGAATACGGTCTTAGGAGACTTGTCCTTTCCTTTTGCCGCCAGGGGCCCAAGAATACGCGGAACAGTCTCAATAATCCCCTGTGCTGATGTTTGAGCAATTTCGATGCAATAATCTCGATCAGCAGTGAGTTGCTGGAGAGGAATTGAGCATAGGGGATAATGCGTGAGGAAGTTGATGAGAAGCTTTACGGCGTTAAATCCTTTGACAATGGCTGATTGGTAAAGGCTGATCACGTATATTTCCAACATGTGGTTTCCCACGGGATTCGATTCCATCCAATCTTCAATTTCATGTATAGCTGCCTTCATCTGGGCAAGGAGATCATTATACTCCCTGGATGCGCCGCTGAAGTCTCGCCGCCGAAAAAAACTGAAAATCCGAGCCTGAACACTGCAGATTTTGATCATGAATAGAGAAACATGTAGCCCGAGACCTTCTCCTGGGGATAGGGATTGTGCTATAGCATCGAACCATTCTTGTGACTCCGGAGGACACTCTGTGTTATTGATTAGAGACTGAATTTGCTGTGCACATATCAAGTCAGCAAAAGATTGCAGCTATTCGCATTCGGAGTACCACTAATACCCACCACCATGCTATAGGCAGGCCAGAACATCATGCGGCCTTTCACCGTATGTAGCGGCGCGACTCCTCTTATTTTGAGGATACTGTATAATCCTCGGGCATGTAGATGCCATGGACTTAGAGTTTCCGTGCGGTTGAGGGAGCCGATAAGTAACTGTCTACTAGTGAGCATTTGATCCAGAGGTTATCCAACTCACACTGCGCTGCTTTGGGAATTTCTCACCTCATAGTTGCTGAGAAGCCATATAGTGGCGAGAACGTCGTCTCTGAAAGCTCCTTCGGGCGTGCCAAGCGCCTTGTTGACCGAGTTTAGGGTCTTGACCAGGTAAGTACCCAGCTCGCGCTGGGTTTCTTCGTGGGCGTCCCTGGATATAGCAGTCGGATAACGGAGGTTGGTCACATAGGTGCGGGAAAAGAGATGAGCTGCCCAAATAAGAGGTCCATCGTTATTGTAGCCACTGTATATATCCTGGATAAAGTCGAGATTGGAATAGACATTGAGGACGATGGGAACAGAGTGTGATGTCCAGTGTTGAAACACCGGCCGCGTTAGAGGAGCAGCAGCGTTGCAATTGACACCCTTGGCCAAGACGACGTCTGTTGAAGACGTGAACATGAAGTCTCCATTCGGACTGAGGACCGGCGTCGGATAGGCCGTACCAGATGCTGCTGAAGACGGTGACCCACTAACCCCCGGAGACTGCGACGTGCGCTTCTTGCGCTTCCTAACGGCAGTGGGGTCTGCGTTACGGAAGACCAGCTCTTGCTGATCCCGGTATCCCGGACACTCGGTGCCGTACTTGATACATCTCTGGCACGCAGGACGGGCGAGATCACACTATTCCATAGGGGCATGTAAGTACTGGGACACGAAGGAGATCAAGGGTGGAGAAAGCGAGTATTATAGGGAACGAAACGAGCGGCTGCTAAGACATGGCAGGTATAAACAGCTGTAGACCCACTACCGGATGAGCTGGACAGAACATCATGCCGCCAGATATGTAGGTTATGTGTATAAATAGCAAAAAGGCGGAATGTCACCAACCTTGACTCGCCGTTTGCGGCACAGATGGCAATCCCGACTAGGTCTGCCTGTGTTGGGCATGGCGGGGAAGCAACACGAACACGAATAACCAAGAGAATATTTGCCTGCAAGTCACGCAAAAGCACGCAAATCAAGGCCAAGACGGGAGCGTTTTAGGCATCTCGGCCGGGAGGCCTCGTCTGGAATTTTCTAGGCGCAGAGACGAAATGATGGACGAGAGACAAAGAGGAAATGCGATTCGAGGTGGGGGCGGGTCGCGGCGCTGACGAAATAAAGAAGCTCTGGGCCAATTAGCGCGGGGAAGACACGTGCAGCTGCCCGGTGGCTGAGCATCTGGGTTACGACTGTGCTCACGCAGTTTGTCAGAGGGCTATGGGTACGCCATCCTGCGACTGGCTGGCGGCTGAGTATAAGTAGGTCCATGCCCCGTTCAGCAAGCTTTTGGAGACTGATAACAAAGGCAAAGCCACAATGGTGATGCTTGATGCTCTGTGTACACAGCCTCGTGGTTCGATCTCGCTTGTTGCTGCGAAACTACATGTCACTTGCGGCGCCGGCTTCGGCTACGTAACTCCTCATTGCGGCCCTCGGCAGAATAGACTTAGGCGGTGCATTGTCTCCTAATCATGCCAAATGCTATCTCCGCCGCAAAACGCCGAAGGCTTGAATAGTAAAGCTAACAGGTACAAGCCATGATTTTTCTTCCTTTTCCATCAGCCAAAGCCCCAAAGTAAAAGAGCCTATCCCCGCATTCTTCGAAACACACAGCAGAAAACAACAAAACAAATAAAAGCCACAATTAGCCAAAATCAATCTGTCCCTTGCCAGCCAAAAAGCCCTCAGCAAGCCAGCCTGAGGCCACAAAAAAAATCCTCACCTTTCCTGATTCCACAGTCAATTGCCTGTTTAGGCCATCAAGTCGCATCTGAATGGCTGCAAGAGAAACCCCACACCCTGTTGGGCTTTCACTTACAAACCCTTAGGCAACCAAAAACTTCTCCTCTTTCTCCTCTTTTGACCCCTTCGTCTTACACTTACACACTCACACGCCTTTGTAGCCTTTGCGTTGTACATCGTGAAAATCCTTCCTCATCTTGAGCCGATATCAAGTAGCCCCATTCTCATCTCATCCCATTATCATCACCATCATGTCTCATTACGCCGAGAGAAAAGATCTCTTCCCCATGCAAGGCGGCTGTCCCTGCGGCCACATTCGCTACCAAATCAACCTCCCTCCCCTCCTTGTTCAAACCTGCCACTGCACCCTCTGCCAGCGTCAAATGGGCAGCGCCTTTGCCATAAACGCAATCATCGAATCGTCTGCCGTCTCTCTCTTACCCCCTGCTCCGCTCACGACGCCGCTCAGCAAAGCCGAATCGTCATCTTCATCTCCATCTCCGTCCTCCGGCTCTGTGTGCGGCGTTCTCCCTGCTTTCGCCGATCTTACAAACGCCACGACCACAGCAACCGTCGCTCCCGTGGACAACGATGCCGACGCCCAACATAAAACAAACAACCCCGTCTTTGTCGCCATCCCAACCCAGTCAAAGGTCGGTCAGACCATCGCCCAGTGCCCTCTCTGCCGCGGCAATCTCTGGAGCCACTACGCCGACGCCGGCACCTTGGTCACCTACCTCATCGCCAGCACTCTTGACCGCCCATGGGAGCTCGAACCCGATGTGCACATCTACACCCGCAGCCGCAGGGATTTTGTCTCGCTCAACGACGGGAAGCCCCAGTTTGAAGAATTTTATCCCGACAGAGCGGCATTTTATAGGCCCGAGACTCGGGAGAGGGTAGATGCCCTGACGGAAAAGCAAGATGCCTGGAGGAAGCAGATCAGAGCCGCCTACAAGGCCCAATTTGCCAAGATTTAAAAAGGCCGCTGAATATTTAGCCATGTATCCTAGATTTATCAAGTATACAAGATTGATAGGTTTGAAATTCACACCGCGATTTACTCCTCTACATTGTCACACTTGGCTACTCTTTTCCTCTTTTTATCGTTGTCTTATTTGAATTTGAATTTTCGCTGCTACAACGCGCCATTGGCTTCAAATAGGGGTATTATCCATGTCCTCCACTTTTTCTCCCAGCCACCTCCTCAGATGGACGCACCACAAGCGAAATGCATATAAATATAGATCTTGCTCGCAAGATGAAAGAAACAAATGATAAAAAAAATAAAAAGCTTTGAAATAACAAAGCAAAAATCCAAGTACCAGGTAGCCATGACACCGGTGCCATACCTCGCAATAGAAGGGTATCAACCACTGCCTTTGCTTTCATCCGAACCGATACTCTTTTAGAGTTCTCCATTAGTCCTACCTCTCACTACCCAGCTAGAAAGCCTCGGCCTTACCGAGGGGAACGTCACAGAACACCACATTCCGTCGAAACGCCTGGTTATTCTTGCCAAAAGACCAATAATTTGATTAGTTGAACCACCGTAGAGATTTGAGAAAGGAAACGTAGTCTCGCGTAGGTGTTGTGAAGCTATCGGAATTCCGCCGAGATATTCGTGCTGCTCCAGAATTATGTAGCGATCAAAGTGCGTACTTTCCCCTCTGTAAAATCGAGATTTTATACTGGGTACCGGATAGTTCAGAAGCTAGTGAGCGTGTTTTGTTGGTTGTTTATTTTGCTGTGAAGCCAGTTGGTATAATATCAAGTGTGCCAAAAATAATTTCTGCTATCTTTCTTCCTTTTTTTTCTGATTCATATGCCGTCTCGAAATTCGACCAATTAATCCAGTGCCAGAGTATCATCCAAAAATATCATGCTAATTACCCCCAAGAAATGTATAGAACAGAATATGCTGTATCGAAATATTTGAATATCGCCAACGCCAGTTGAGATAAGGCCATATAGAGTATATATAACACGCCATGTATATCGCACGTAATGATCCAAGAAAAAAAAAGTAAATGATCGAAAAAAGAAAAAAGAAGCCCGTAAATAGAAATCCAAATTTGTTGTTTTGCTGCAGCGTAACCTAAGAACCAAGATACGCATATTTCTGATAGGCCGTACCACGTTGATGAGATCATGTGCTTAACCAGCCATCTTACGGAATCCCTCGACGCCAAGCAGTGGTACTTCAATTTCGCTGAGGGTGATGATGCCTTCATCGCGGCGCCTCTCGACAAAATTGTTACACTCCGCCACGACGAGACTCCACTCCGACAATGCACGCCCAGAGTAGGCCAGATTCTTCAGGAACGCTCCTGCAGGCTTTACGGGTCCCATCTTGCCCTCAACAGGTCGTTGTTGATTCGAGTTCGGCTGAATGATGGGAGAAGATGGAGAAATGGTTTCAATAGGGGTTGTATCACCACTGCTCGTCTCAGAGCCGGTTGCAGTAGAAGGCTCTTCCGGAATCCCTGCAGTGGCTATGGCTAGTGATAGCTTTCGACGAGGTTCTATAACCGGCGAATCGAGGGGGCTCGCATTCCTTGCAGCTTGCACCAGACCACCCTGAGAACTGCCAGAAAACCTTCTCGTCGGTATCATCAGCGGAGGGAGAACTGGACCGCCTCCACGCTTTGCTTGGAAGCCAAGTCTTGATTGAGCCGGTGTAGGGAGCTTCGGGCTCACAAGCATTCGTTCCAACGGAGGCAGCTGCTGCTGCGGCTGTGGCCAGCCGAGGACAAATTTGAAATTGAATTTAGGATCTTCAAAAACCGGATTTGATCCATCAGAGTCGTCGCTTTTGTCAGACTTGGCTGTCTTGGGAGGGCCGATCGAAGCATTTTGCCGGGATCGGGAGTTTGCAACCTCTCGGCGCGCATTCTGAAGTCCATCATCCGAAGATTTGACAGGCGAAGTATCTAGGGCAGTCTGAGTTGGAGAACTCGCCGAATTGAATGATAATAACTTCAGAATGGACCACTTCTTCTTGGGATCGTTCTTGGCGAGAAGACCTGCTTCAGCGTTCTTCTCGCTAGAAGGCAAGTCTATTATACTCGATGCCTTAGAGAATGTATCAAAAGTCACAAAGAGACCCGGCTGCGGAACGTTGACTTCTTGCCGAATAATGATGAATCGCTTTCCCAAGGTAGGTGACATTGGCGCCGTAGCGGGACCCATCTGGCCGGCTTCGTCCGCAGCCTGTTTAAGATACAGATAGTGCGACCAGACCGACTTGAGCCTCTTGGATGCAAGAGCGAAAATCTCCCTATTAGTAACGGTTAGACCTTCCTTCCTATTACAGTATGCATCATCAGAAGGCTTTGAACTTACATATCTACCTCATCCTGGCTGCCCACTTCGCGACAGACTCGCCAGCAGAGCAGCCGCATGTAATAGGCTCGAACCATTGGGCACCAATTATTGAAAAAGGCGTTGAACGTTTCTTCCGTCAACAACCAGTCGCGGCACACCATTAGCTTTTGCTTAGGGTCTTTGGCGATGGCGTCCCACACCGTATATATGAAAGATATGATTCGAATCTCCGATAGGGTATTCAGCGAGGTCAAGGCGACCTTACAAACATCAATCCAAAAGGCCCAGTCAATATAGCTTGTGGGGTTTTCAACCGTCTCAGCCCGGTGATAAATGAACAGAACCTCTTCCAATAGGTCACACAACGTTGAGCATGCGGTGCTGTTGTACCTGGATGTCCTGCTTGCGGCGGCTTTTAACAGGGCGGAGAAAGATTCGGCGAATGTGTGCCTCGCCCCCGCAAACGTTGGCGAATTATCAGCGAGGATGTCCTTGAGCAACATCACCAGCCTGTTCTCCGACATGCTCTTCATCAAATTGCTTGGCGGCATCGGCATTTGCAGAGCCGCCGCTTCGGCTCCTCGAGCTGAGTTGGCTACGAAAGAGCCATGTGGAGGCTCAAGCGCAGCCTGGCGATGAACGGTGCTGTCGAGAATCGACAAAAGCTGTGCATGAACAAGAACAAAGGCCGGTGATGTTGCTTTTTCCATTAAAGAAAGACCTGCTGGCATAAACTGGTCGGACAAAAGGTGAAAATATCTGCAGAAGATGAAAATGAGATCGGTATCGCGGCCTTTCCAGCGCATGACCCATGGGCCCGTCCATGGTACCCTCGCCACAAGCAGAGGCATCTTGGGAATCCGCTTCAGAGTGTTCCACAAAGCTCGGGGCGAGGACCAGGCCAGGGTGCTCAGCTTCGGCGGGAATGACGCCGTTATGTCCGCATCAACTTCGCCGTTGTTCTTGCGGGTGAGGCCCATGCTCTCAGAAACGCGGCGGATCAGGTCTGGGGTTAGGCCCCAAAGCCGTACCAAGATATCAGATACACCAGGCGCGAAGAAGAAGGCATATGCGCAAGTCTTGCCGGCAAACTCGATCAAGCTCGGAGGCACGTGGCGGAGAGACATTTTTTCGACCACAAATGCCATCTGCCTCACCAAGTTGGACACAAACATGGTCCTGATGTTGTGCTCGGCTGACTCTGCCAACAGTGCAGATTGATCCGAGTTTGATGAATTAGATGAGTTGGTGGATGACCTCGCGCGAACGCGATCCTGAGGAGACCTGTCTACCAACGGCAAGAAATACGGCGTTGTCTGGCGCCACTCCAGGCGCATCATGATAACGGTCGCCGCCTCGAAGAGCAGTTGGCGATCCAGTCCCGGCACAGGCTGCTGGTGTTGAGCCTCGAGCATTTCCAAGACAGCGCCCCACCATTTGTTTAGGACACCAGCCCTGCAGTCAACATCCTCAGGTCGCAGACCGCTAAGTGATACCTGACTCGTAGCGCTCTTGAGGAAAGGCAAAAGCAGCGTCTGAATCAGCGCGCACTTCTGGGCCACGGATTTGGAAGCGAGCCCTCTGAACTCTAGATCCAAGTTCTTGAACTGCGACCACAGAGGATCGGGCATGCGCGGTGGCATTTCGATCGACGACTCATCTGTGGTGAGCGCGGTGGAGTTTGTCTCACCAGAAGTGGTGGATTGCGAGACATGCGAGTCGATGCTATTGGAGCCTGGTTGAGCTAAGCTGGTAGCAGAAGAGGCGCAGCTAAAATCGGAGTCAACGTTGTCACTTGTTTTAGACAACGAGGACGCGGGCTTTTGCTTGATTCTGGAGAAGTAACTAGTTGCACGAGCGAATCCCTTTGTCGCGGGTTTAGCAGCTGAGTCAACTGGACGGGTTTGGCCCGTCTGATTGGTCGTAATTTCCTGGAGACTGGCTGCAACAGCCCGTTTCAGCTTGTCGCCGCGGCTGGGCTTGGCCTCGGGCTTGACGCTCGTCTCGTCCAGGGTCTCTGGCTGCATCTTTAGCAGCGTGCGTGACGACGGCATCCACGACCTCTTGGTGAAGCCGGCGAGGCTTTCAGATGTCGAATGGGAGCGATCCCGGGATGGTCGAGGAGGAATCGCCTCGACGTTGCTCAGGGGGCTTTCACTTGCTGTGGCGGGCCGTTTTTCTTCGCTAAGCGGAGGAAGGGGGGCGATGGGCTCAGCATCGTCGTACTGGGCATCTCGAATAGTTGTCAAGCTGCGCAGCCATTGTCGAGGCCCATCGCTAAGCGAGGCTGCTGATTTGGTCCGCAAGTGATCATAGATTTTCGATGGTGGAGGAGAGGGTTCCAGCTCGACATATTCGGTATTAGGAGGTGGCAATTCGCTCTCAGGAAAGGTTGGAAGAGAGATGTCGAGATTAAGGTCTATGTCAGTGTTGAAAGAGGGTATTTCAAAAGCTGATACCTCAGCCGAGTCCTTTGTAGAGCTGCCGAAGAGCGAATTTGTCTGCGATGATAATGAGGGTAAGTTGGGAGATGAGTGGGATCGTTGGGAGAAGGAAGAAGTCGGTGGCAGTTCCACAGCCGAGGCCATGATTGCTGTTCCGCTCATTGCATGGCCAGCAGCGGCGGTTCTGGTTAATAGGTAGATATGTTGGCTGTTCCGGCAGGGTCCGGGAGATGCTATGGCCGTCGTCGAAATGCGCCTGTCTGCCCGTCACGCCGTGCAGATTAATTCAACATGGCCTGTTGGTAACGACAGTGTGTGCTCGGTATATGATGGCCGGGGTGTGAGTGAGTGCCAGACTCAATGCCGCACGAGAGTGAAGGGATGTGATGGGCTCGAGAGAGAGAAAAAGCTTTGCCGTCCACGATAAGGATAGAGATTAGAGGCAGAGACGCAGGGCTTTCCGGGAACGGTGAAGCAGCCTCCGCATCGAGAGAGAGAATCGCCACGGCAGCCCGGCCGCTGCTAAAGACAATCGTCGCTGCAGCGCGCTACATGCACAGGCTCAGGCACAGGAGGCGCTGCTCTGCACAAAATGGCCTGCCGATTGCGCCCAGGAGAGCGGAATGACGGAGATGGGCAAATTGGATGCGGTTGCTGGTGGCGTGGGCTAGTGCAGATGAGGGCCAGCGAATCCCTACAAGCCTCCGTGGGCGCTGCCAATTGGTGTGGCAGCCTGGCAGGGAGCTTTGCTTCTTCAGGGCTCTGTTTTTTTTTTTACTCTCCGGCATAGAATTAATTAATTACAGGCGACTCCGTCCCAGTGCATGCGCGAGGCACCGCTACTCCATTCAGGGGTTGTTCGTTGCCTGCACTAGAACCCTTCGGTCTCTTTTCAGCGCCAGCGCTAAATAGCTAGCATCGACGAGATTCACTGCGCGTTTACATATAAACTGCATGTGCCATTGACGCCACAGCCACCAGGAATTGGATGCGGTCGAGTAGCTTTAGAAGTATTTGCTGCTGTGCTACGGCCGTTCGCGCTCAGTCTCGGTTCAAAGGTAAGGCAGACGACGAATCCGGACACATATGATAGTGCGATAGATAGCCTCCCTCCCTTCTTGTTCTTTTCTTGTTCGATCTGGAAAAACAAAAGGGAAGAAGAAAGGGATTGCCGCACAAGGGCCTTTCTCCATTTCGCCCGGGACTTTCCCAAACGGTACCTTCAGCAGTTCTTAGCGCTTCCTAGCTGCCGTGCGCCATGTCCTGTCCTCTCCGCCATCAAATTTAAGGTCACATCACGACTTGTCCAATGGACGGGCTGTGGCGCGGTGGCTGCTCTATCTAAGCATTACACAATTCAACCACACGGACTTGGTTGGAAACGCTCTTCCGCGGGCCTTTCCGATAAGCGCCTGCAAGTCCATGGAGTTATCCCAAAGTTACTCCATATGTAGCAAGTAATGGCCTCGGGGAGCATACGCAAATCGTTCTCTGGCTCGGGGTCACAAACTGCGCGACAATGTCTTGGGCCAATTTCCCGCCTCACGCTGAGACATCAAAGGCCGTTCTATCAATGAATAAAGCACAACAAGGCGGCCCATCCCCGCAAAAAAGTGGCGCAACTCTACGAATCACCAGTTTCGTCTGCAATACAGAAGACATCATACAGCAGGCGTGCAGAACGTGCTCCGACGGCTCGCGTCAAAACGCCCTAGCAGCTGAGGTCTGCAGCTGTCCAGTCGTTCAGCGCAGATCTTGACCCCGTGTCTCTCCGCAGCTTCAGTCGCCACTACCATCAAGGGAAGCGCAGATCGGCTCCGGGGCCTTTGATGTTTGCTACCCACCTGGTTGTGCGCCTCTTGGTCTGTGAACCGCGCTGCAGCTCGCATGCTTGCGCCTGTAAGACGGACAATAAGGCTTCTATCGCCACTCAAAGATGCTTACCGGCCAACCTGCTTTATATGAGACGTCGAGAAATACATAGCAAATGAGTCGAAGGGAAGACTGGAAAGGGTTCCACAGCCATCGTACCATACCTACAAATAATTGGGCGCAATTTAAATGACCCATTAAAGATACAGGTGGTGAGATGTACATATGTGTATGCGCATGTGCCGCCCTGCAGTCGTCATAATGCCGGATGATTTGTCGATGTAACCAACCATGGCGGAGGTCATGTTGCTGATATGTGTACCTTTGTAACGTAATTATATGGATACTCTAAAAGAGAGAGAGAAAAACGTATTTTAGGCATGACTTGAATCTCGCGGCATATGTCGAAAGATGTCGAAAGCTCGGTGCAATCTTCAAAGGATCACACCGTAGTCCAGGCTCTGTAATTCAATTCATGCAGCGAAGCATAATGCTGTAAATCTCTTATCTTTACACTTTGAGCGGTGTGTGCCCCGTGGAACTCTTCTTAGTATCGGTCAAAACTAAGCTGCATGCAGGCCCAGTTTCAGATCTGTTGTCTCACAGTTCAGCTTCCTAGGAACATGTCCTTAAGACTAGAGTAATACATACTCCTAGGTATTAGCTATGATTTACGAGCAAAGCAGCCCATCGGCTAACACAAACAAGGGCGGGCCAGCAGACAAGAAGTCCATACTGAAGAGTCATGTCATGGGGTTAAAAGAGGCCCAACAAGCTGAATCATACGAGGCTTGGCCACAATAGCTGGCACTCTTGGCGAGGCACGGACGCGCCGTCTAAGAGGATCTAACTGTAGTAGCGATGGAGTAATGCAAACACCGCGGCGCCGCTACGTCGTGGCCTCCGGCTTGTCATCATAGCCCCATTCTTAGATCCAGCTAAAGTTCGCTGGTGGTTTGCTTGTCCCGCAATAAGATCCAATATTATGGCTTCTAGAGAATTTCGGTCGTCTTCCTTTTCGAATGTGGGCTAATAATATTGCTTCTACCAGCGATAGCTCGGTAGGTAGTAATCCCAAGGAGAATATGGATAGCTACATCATCGAATTGCACAAAATATGCATCGAGTAGCGTGAAAGGGGTCGTCAGCCAAGACCCTGAGAGGCGAAGAGGCGAAAGGGCGAAAGGAGAGCGATCTCTGTCCTTGGCAAAAGTTGTAACAGCCCTCGCACAAAAGAAATCACCAATCAGTGCAATTCGCCAGCAATATGGCTCTAGAGCTACAGCACAAAACAGGACAGGAATAACTTTTCTTGAAGGAAAAAAAAAAGGATACGGGTATAACGGTGTCTCCCTAACTTCATGCACTATGTCTTTAGGATTGTCAAGACATCAGTGTTTGGTAATAGTAGGGAAATTGATCTTGGCACGTAAAAAAATCCTTCAGCATTCGAGCACTAGTAAAGCTCGGTGCTGTACACACATATGCCGTTTTGAAGATTTCACATTGTTCATTTTCACCTACCGTTTGGGCTGCCGCCTGTTGCTTTGCGCATCTGCGTCAGGATTCTTCATCCCTGAGCAAAGCGATTGTCATTACACATCCCAGTCCCCTAGTGCCCCTGAGGATGGTATTGTCATCGCCGGCTTCGACGGTAGACCGCGGCTGTGCTCAGCTTCATCTCGACTAGATTTGTCTGCAGATGCATGTCGAGCTGAAAACAAGACGAGGTTTGAGCTGGCAAGAAAAAAATTTCTGCTCCAAAGTAGTATGCAGAGGGGCGTTGATTACATAATCCACAATTGACGACGAGCTAGAACTGGCCTGGATCTTACGTGGGTACAAATGACTAGTGCGCAGTGTTTCTAGAGAAAATAGATAAGCTTTCTTCTATAAGATTATGAAATTGATTTTGTATATTTGAATCCAAGAAGCATTTTAGGATTGAATTGAAGAAATGAAACTAGCATTCACTTATTACGCACTATATACGCATCCAAATAGAGAGCAGTCATCATCGAGACGGCCTTTTCAAGATCGCGCAGATCGGCCCTACATAGTTCCGATTACCTCAGCAGATCAGCTTCTGCGGACTCGATCTGCAAACCATGGCGCCCCACCGCAATCTCACTTGAGCTTGTCCACTTCTCTTAATTTCCAAGTCGCTGCGCAACGCCGTCTTCGTCGCGACAGCTGGATGCCTCTCTTATGACGCACGCAGCTGCATGCACCCATCGCCGGGAACCACGAATGCGTTCAATCAGCACCAATATCTATTCCCGCACAGGTGCAGGGCGACTCCAGGCCGGCTCTCCGAGTCCCGGCAGTTGAGCTCATCCAATCAGCTGCCCACCGTTCGGGGCGTTTTCTCAGGCTGTCTTACCCCTGATCACCTGTCCAACCCTCGGCCGTTTGCTCCGTTCAAGCGGTACTGGCATGTGTGTGTGCGTGACTTGAGTGCGTGAGAAGCTGAGGGGTCGCTCTGGCAACCTTGAATGGCCTTGGCGGCTCTCTTGGCATAATCGTATCATCTCATCCCACTGCAATATCTGACTCTCCCTGCCGTGGAGTGGTACATGTACTGACTACTGACTGCGCCAACACGATTACAGGTAGGGGGTAATAGCAGGAAAGTTCTTACGCGTAGAGAGAGGCATTGCTAGTAGTAGATCATACGAACAGCAATCACAGGAAGCAATAGTCAGCCACGCAGTCATCTCGGCTGTCGTCAGCGCTGCACGCCTTCACTGTATGCGCAGCATCCCACGATCAGCGAGAAATCTTCAGAGAAACTATCGACCCTGTCGTCATTGGCGAGGGCCCGGTCCACACTGGCTGCCCCTTTAGTTCCCTTTCAGGCCTGTTTATGTTTCTGGCGCTGCTATGATCCCTGTCCAGCAGGCCGCCAGATCCTGGCCCCAGAACACGCTACAGCGTTAAAGTAGCTCCCCAAGCTCCCGTAGTTCTCCACTGGGCGAATATTATCAGTTGGAAGCCCTCTCGTCTGCCGTAACGCAAAAGCTTGTTGGAAGCCCAGCCCCCCCAGACAAAGACGAACTTGCATCTGTCAAAGGAGAGGTCGGAAATTCCGTCTGCATCTCGTTAAGTGCATTGGAGCCGTCAAGGTGCGCGACGGGGGAATCGACAAGGTCATCGCGGGTAATTCGATCGCAGAGGCCGCCAACTGGGGAATCCCAGAGTCGCATCTGAGCAACAACCTTGGACAATTGCACTGCCAAAACTTCTGTTTGAACTGTCGCATTCACTAGCACAAGAGTCGCCAAAGACTC